AGATGGACAGGACGCAGTGGGACGGCTCCGTGCGGATGGCAGAGACAGCTCCTGGCAGCACGTCCCCCTGCGAGGGTGTCCCAGGCACGGCCGAGCGTCCTCAGGGGCGCTCTGGGCAACCCGTGAGGCCACGTCGCATCAGGGAAGGTACTGTGTCGTCTTCTGGTTTGAGAAACCTTGCAGCTTCTCATAATCTTCGCTGCCAAAGCTGCCAGAGAGCCTCTGATTTCACCTGCTGGCGACTGTCCATCAAGCACATCACTGTAGTGTGATTCTGACCCCGCAAGCACCTACTGTGTTCCAGGCACCATCTGAGGCCTTGGGGATAAGCCAATGAACAAGACAGAAAGCTCCTGCCCTCGTGAACTTACTGCCTAGACGGGGAAGCCAGAATACAGCGACATCACAAAAAAGACAATCAAACAAAGTGGCTTCCGACAGCCTTGTGCACGGGGTGAAGAAAATCAGAGTATTAGGGTAAAGACAGGCGGCGGCAGAGCGGCCATTGGCCCTTGGTAATGGCGCACACCAGCTGCGCATGACCCTCCAGCCCTCCTCCCGGGCGCCCACCACCCTGGGCTCGTCCTCTCTTCGGGTCATCAGACGCTGCGCCCTGAGCTCTGCACACGCTGCCCCCACAGCATGCTCGTCACTCGGGTCTCCGCTTAACTGACCCTCCCAGAGAGGGGCCTTCCCGAGACCCCGAACTGGAGCGGGCCCCTCGCTCTTCCTGTTCCCGTACAGCCCTCACCACAGGGATGAGTGTGCAGTCATCGGCGCCGCACTTGCATTCCGCTGGTTGAGCTCATGGGGACGGAAACCAGGACCTCGCAGCACCCAGCAGGGTCTGCCACGTGCCCGGCACAGAAGGGGCCCCCGGCGAGGATCTGCTGAAATAACCAAGGCGTTAATTACCTTCTGAAAATGACCAGGCCCGGGAACAGAGAATGCTGGGAAAGAGCGAATGAATGAAAGAAACTTGGGCGAGTGGCCTCAGGGATTGCGAGGAGGAACAAAGTCACATCTCTGGGAGTGTCGGTCCAGATCGAAAAGGACAGCAGCTGCGGGGAACGCACGGCCTGGCCAGCACGCGAGGAACTGCCTGCCCGGTCCCGTGCTCAACAGGCTCGACTCAACAGAGGCGCGCTGAACCCCGACTTTGCACAAGACATGCTTTTGAAGCAGTTGAGCAGGCCACATTGGTACTATCGAAAGACAGCAGTAAGCTTCCTCCTAATAACAGGGGAAATAAACACAGGCTCGGAAATTCCTTCTTCTCTTATTGTTTCTTTGTCCCTCTGGAAAAATTTCAGCTTGGTCTTTTTTAAAGAGCGGTTATGCCCATCGAACAGTGGATTTGAAAGCACTCAGGCCCAAATTCATCACCACTGTGTGACCTCCAGCGAAACCACAAAGCCCTCCTGGACACTGGCTTCCCTGTGAGAGTCACTGCCAGAGTTAAATACGGTTGCCGAGCAAAAGGTGCTCCGCAGTGCTGAGGGCCGGAGCGGGGCCAGAGCTCACGCACTGCAGGCGTTCCCTGCCTCCAGAAGCTTCCGGGACCGGCCAGCAGCACGCAGCTCCTCCCTCCCTCGTCCCCCCGTGCCTGGCGCTGAGCCACCTCCAACCACGAGGACACCCGTCGAGGGGCCTGATAAAAATTGAACAGTCCTCCCTCAAGTCCTCTCTGTCAGGGGCAGCCTGTGAGTAATCGGCATAAAAGAGAAGCAGCCACGTAAACCAAGGAAACTCTTTGTCCAAAAAAAAAAAAAAAATCAGGAAGGTCTGACCTGCGTCATCCTGCAAAGCAAAAGGTTTGTGGTCGATTCCCAATCAGAGCACGTGCCTAGGCTGCGGGTTCAGTCCCCGGTCAGGGCACATGTGAGAGGCAACCGATCAATGTTTCTCTCATAGATCCAGGTTTCTTTCTCTCCCTCTGCCCACCCCCCCCCTCAAAATACATAAATAAATCAGTGAGACAGAGCAAAGTAACTGCTCTGATGGTCCTTAGAAATGAGGTGGCAATCAAGCCCCCTAATGGCCTAGTCAGAATCCCAGCGAACCCTCACGGAAGAATCCCAAGTGAGGTGAGGGGCTGGCTGGAGGAAAAGCTGCTTCTCGTGGGAGACCGTCACCGGTTTGCAGCACACGAAGCCCTGGCTCGCGGAGGCGTTTTCTCTCGAGGTGCTCCCGTAAGCCAAGACGGAAAGAAGAAAAGGAACCCACAATGCTACGATTAAAAGTCTGCCACCAGTCCCTCCCGCGAGCATCCAGCCGCGGTGTCTGGAGCAGAGCTGGCGTTCAATCAACAGGGCCTGCGGGATGGGTGGGTTGGGGTGGCCGGAAGCTGGGGGGCAGGGAGGGAGGGAGGCAGTCTCAGGTCCTGCTTGGTAATCAATGTTAAACACGCTTCAGGCAAAATAGGATCGGCTCCCAAGGAGACATAAATACAAAATTCCAGAGCTACAAGAATACGCCCTTGGTAAAACTCAACACCCCGCACCAGCCAACTGCAGTGGCTACGGACATTTCATGTGGTGCAGGGATGAAGGGAGACAGGGTTTCCGACACTCCACCGCCTCTTGAGTCAAAAATAAAGGAGGATTAATCTCCACGTACTTTCCTGTTTAAAGTACTAATTCCTCCAGCCAGAAGGTTGAACAATACTACCTCCTCACCGGTTAAGTGTGTAGGTGCTGATCATACCAGCCAGTCACTCGACTCTGCATCTCCCTGGTTTGGAGGGACACCGGCTTTGAGCTAGGGACACTTTGGTAATCACCTGCCTGCTCACACCACTACATGTAACCGGAGACACATACCAACCTGTCAGGGCCTCCCTCTTCCGTCCACTGCCCATCCTCCTCCTCCTCCCTCCTCCCTCTTGGGCAGTGTGGCAAATTTTAATTTGTCACCCCTGGCCTTCTGATTAGGCAGTTAAACTAAAATGAAGGGTCACAGCTGGCGGCTGCATGAAGCTCAGCTGGCCACGCTGCACAACCCTGACGCCCGGGGTGGACCAGCATGGCCGGCCCCCAGGCAGGCATGAGGTCAGCCTCACACTTGCGGGGGAAGCCTGGCAGGGCGCGGAGGGTGCAGCTGAGCGGGCACGCCCCCCGGCAGGATGGAGGCCCCTCCCACGGAGAGCCGCCACTCAGCTCATGGGGAGCCCCGGGTCAGACCCGGGCGGGCTGTGCTCTCGGCCCAAGCACTCGGCACTCCTGGCACAGTGGCGGCGCACCCTGTTTCTGTGTCTGTCTTGGGTCCATCTCTATGTGCCACAGGATACGGCCACAGGACACAGGACACAGCCACAGTGCACAGGCCGCAGGACACAACTTCAGGTTCCAGGGACACTGGATTACACAGCTGCTCAGCTCTGCCTTCAAGCTTTCCCCATTTCTGCTGCTGCTGGCAACCCTCTTGAGAAAGACACAAGGAGACCCTGGTCACCTGGATGGCCTCTCTGCACGGCGCGTTCTTCTCCCTGCGAATCAGGCTGGGCTCAGGCCAGCTCCGCAGGGAGGACTCATTACCACCACGTCTCTTCCGTGACGTTCGGTTTGACGCTTTCCCAAGGTGATAGCTTACGGTGCCCCAGGGGACAGGTGAGGAAACGGAGGCTCGGCGAATATACATAAACCACAACATGCTTGAGGTTAGATACTGAGAAAGCTCAAGTCCTATTCTGTCACCTACTAGCCGAGTGGCTACGGATAAACCTCTCCACTGAGCCGAGCAGCAGATCCTTCGACTGCCACATCCAGGACACGGATGTCCAACGAAGAGGTCCGCGGGAGGACCGCAGCAACCGAGGGGTGGGAGAGGGGCTGTGTATCTTTAATTGCTAAACACCAAAAGGTATTATCTAAAAATATAAGGCATTTCATTTGTTCGGCCTTGTGATCGCTCCAAATCTATAGAAATGGCTCCCCAGGGGGAGGCTGTGCATTTTGAACACAGAATCAGAGACAGTTTGCGATAAGTGGACTCCAGTTTAAGAGGCTCCCATGTGGCCCCATCACTAATATAATCAGTGTCATAAACAAGCAAAGAAAAAGCTCTGATAGGAGAACCCAACCGGTTCAGGTGCTGCGCTTGGCACAAACGGATCGTGCAAAGATCTCTGCCCAGACTGAGCATCAAACGCCAGGCGAAGGAGGATGCCCTCCCTCCTCCTGCCTGGACGGCCCTTCTGCCTGGCGAATCCTGGCCCGCCCACTTCCCAGGGCGCCCTGGGACAGGCTCCCTCTGGCAAGCCCTCATCCGTGCAATGATCTGCAGCAGCGCCTGCTTCCCCCGGGTGTTGAGAGGATCTGAGTTAGTGTTTGCGATGTCCTTACAGCTGTCCCTGAGACTATGCTCTGTGGCGCTGGGCGGCACACGGTAAGCACTCCTCAAATAAATAAAAAGAACTGGATCGGCACAGCAAACGACACACCACCAGGTCTGGCCTTGCTCTCCAGCTGCGTCTTCCTCGACCTTACTGAACTCAGCACCTCAACCTGCACATCCACCGCGCAGAGCGGCGCACTTCACCCGACGTATCTCGGTCATTTCCTGGGCTGCCCTCTGCCCTTCCTTCCCTCCGCCTGAAGAGCTTTCTCTCTTTGAATCCACTTGGAAAGCTTCTACCAGGGCTTTGAGAATTAGATAAAATATCACCTCCCCGGGCAACCACGCCCATGACCCCCTCAGAGGCAATTTCTTTGCCTGGGCTCGGCGGCCCTGACCTTCCCTTAAGAGGATGCTCATCAAGCTGTGAAGGTCACTAGGTCGGGCTGTGACACAGCATGAAGTATGTCACATTCATCTCTTGTCCCAACGGCCAAGCATAGTGTTCCATGTGCAGCAGCTGTTTGACTGTGACGACTGAGGGACGGATGCCTGAACGAATGGATTTGTGAATGAATGAAACATACTCAGCGTTCGCTCTCATGCCTCTGCTGTGAACCCATTCGTCACACCCCAAAAAGCGCACTGTGAACTGGAGATCTTACTCTTCCAAGGCTTGCAGCACGCTCCCGGGGTCCTCTGAGGACAGAATGTCTATCATCTGGTCATTTAGAGCAAGATCTTCATTCAAAGCATCGGCCGACGTAAACTGGGCGTGCTCCAGCTTGCTCTCGCGATGCCGACCCTGTGGGAGGATTCAGAAGCGGCGATTGAGTGGGCCTTCTTGTGACTGTCACCTGCTGGAAAAGCCACCAGGGAAGGTGGGGGTCTATAGCCCCCCCCAGCTGTCCTCACCCCTCGGGAGCAGGGGAAACTCAGGCAAGACCGTGCACTTCCCCGAGTCTGTATTTCTCATCAAAGAAATGGGATCATGGTCCCAGGAGCCCTGCACAGAGTTGTGTGGATGAAACAAAGCACCGAATGGATAACGTCAACACGTAAAGACCCATAAAAATATTTCACCATCACCACCATCAGCACCGCCATCATCACCATCACCATCACCATCACCACCATCAGCACCGCCATCATCACCATCACCATCACCACCAGCACCACCATCATCACCATAAATCTCACCACCATCAGACATCACCTAAACCATCACCATCAACATCATCACCATCACCACCATCAGCAGCATCACCGTCAGCACCATCAGCACCATCATCATCACCATCAACATCACCACCATCACCACCATCAGCAGCACCGTCAGCACCATCACCATCAACATCACCACCATCACCACCATCAGCAGCATCACCGTCAGCACCATCACCATCATCATCACTGTGTAGAGGAAAATTGCCATTGGCAGATGGACACCCACATCAAGGACATGGCAGCTTTCTGATCAGATCGTGGAATTGTAAGTAGGAGAAGCTAAGTGGCCGAAGCCTCGTTCATTCCTTCACATGTGTGCTGAGTGCCTCCTAAGCACCAGGCTCCACACCAGGCGAGGGGGACTGCAGCAGACACCATCTCTTTTCTGCCCACGTCCCCTCGCCCTGCCACTGCAGTGCCCACCAGCCAAGATCAACCAGCCAACACCTACACTTCCTTCCCAGAATGCTTTTTGCTGGCCTTCGGAGCCCACGCCTGGGAAATGTCGCCCTCCCATCCTCAAGCAATAATGAACGGGACTCGGTAGATAAACACCCCAGCTCCTTCTCTGCTCAGGCGATGACTCTGAGGTTCATCACTGTCCCCAGAGCTCCTGAGCAGAATAAAGCTCCAGGTGCCCGGGGGGTAACTTGACTGGCTGTGCCCCTCTTCCTGCCTCACGCCCCCAGCGCCCGCCATTATTCCCTGGGGCCACTTCCCATACCAACTGCCTGCATTCGGATTCTGGTCTCAGGATGTGCTTCCAGGGAGCCCAGACAAAGACAGGAGTGTGGAGATTGAGGGGTTCACAGAGGGGTCCAGCAGATTAGGGTAGGTGCCGCATGGGGTCTACAGAACCTAGTGTGGGAACCCAGAGAGAAGCCCCCAACCCAGCCAGCAAGTGGCCAATGACAGCTTCCAGGGACAGACAAGGCCCGAGCTGAATCTTAAAGAATGAGTCAAAATTATGCTCATTGAAAAGCAGAGAGGGGATTGAAGAAGCATCTGGGGTGAGTGTGAAGGCCACGTCGTTGGGCGGAGAAGAGGCTGCGGCTTGAGGCAGAAAGTGGCAGGAGCGGTGGGCAGAGACAGGACCACGGCATCTTTAGAGCCATGCTTGGCAGTCTCGGCTTCCGCTGGTGACATGAGTCTCCGAAGACGTTCAGATGGTGCAGGCGGTGTGGGACGGAATCTGAGTTAGGGCGTGGCAGGGCCACGGAGCTGGCCACACGGGTGGGCGCTCAGTTACTCAGCGACACTGCAGGGGTTCTGAACACTGGCCATTTGCTGGAATCATCCAGGGAACACTTAAAAATGACTAGTGGTGGGGGCACATTGGGGACAGTCCACTAAGGGTCTCTGCAGGTGGGCCAGGACGTGAGCATTTGTCCCCAGTTCCCCAGGGGATTCGGATGCCCACCCAGGGTTGAGACCCACTGAACAGGAGGACAAACTTCAGCTTCCCATTCACAACCAATCAAACGACCCTCCGGGAGGAAGGCGCACGTGGAGACTCACCTGATGTCTGCTGAACACGCCTCCCTTCAAACACTGATACCGAACCATGAAGAAAAGGGTGACCCAGGTCAGCACAAGGGAGACAACGAAGGCCACGAAGAACCCAGCTGCGTGGAGGCCGTGGTTTGGTAGAATCTATGGGGACAAGAAAGTGACAGGGATTCGCCTGTGGTCATACTTTACGTCTTTGAAATTGAGTGATAACTCACGTATAGCAGAACAAGTCAGCGAGCCTGAGCTGGGTTTGGATCACGCTTGCCGCCCACTGGCTGGCTCCCTTAAGGGAAGTCCAATGTCTCTATTTTTTTTTCTTTCATTGCCTGTGCTTTGGGTGTCACAGCCAAGAAATCATTTCCAATCCCATGCCATGAAGCTGTCCCTCTGTGTTTTCTTCTAAGAGTGCTACAGTTGAGCTCCAGTTGTAGACCTTGCACTTGTCTTTGACCCATTCTTAGTTTCTGTATATGCTGTACAGCAAGGGCCCGACTTCATTCTTGTGCACGTGGAGATCCAGTTTCCCCAACATCATCTGTCAAAATGCCCGTCCTTCCCCCACTGAATGGTCTTGTCACTCTTGTTGAAAATCACTTGGCTATATGTGCGAGGTTTTTTCTGGGCTTCTGAGTCTGCTCCGTTGGTCCATGCCTGTCATTATGCCAGTACCACATGGTTTTGATGACTGTAGCTTTGCAGTATGTTTTGAAATCAAGAAGTATGAGACCTCTAGCTTTGTTTTTTTTTTTAGATTGTCTTCACAATTTAGAGTTCCTTGAGATTCCATATGAATTTTAGGATGGGTTTTTCTATTTCTGCAAAAAGATGCCATGGGGATTTTGACAGAAATTGCATGGAATCTGTGGATCATAAGACTATGCGGTCTTCCAGTCCATGTACAAGGATGAACTTCCAATTACATGTGTCTTCTTCCGTTGCTCTCAGAAGTGCTCTGCAGTTTCCAGGGTACGAGTCTTTCTCCTCTTGGTTGATTCCTAAGTATCTTATTCCCTGTGATGCTCTAGTAAACAAAATTGTTTTTGTAATTTCCTTTTTGTATTGTTCATTGTTACTGTATAGAAATGCAACTGATTTTTGGGTGCTAAACTTTTAATAATATTAAAGATGCTTATTTCCTAATGTAACATTTTTAAACAATATACAAAACCACACACACAATAAAATCCCAATTTCATTATAGTAAAAATAGTATCTATGCGCACATGTACATATATAAGCTCTGAAGAGAGTCCTACAGAGCTGTGCTGAGCGTGATGGCTTGATGAGTTTTTATGCTTCTGTGTTTTCTAAGGTCTCCACAGTGGACATGTATTACCTGTATAATCAGGAGACAAACATTATAATAATAAACATTCTTTTAAGGGGAAGTTTGATAGATGAGGATGCAGCACCCAGCTCTCCCTTGAAGGGAGGATCTGGTGCCCAGCCTCGGCAGTGTGGTCAGCAGACCCAGCTTCAGGGTCTAGATCAGCTGCAGAGGCCACCTCGCCGGAGGCCATGCCCTTCCCAGGGAGGCACAGCAGCAGCCCGACGGCCAGTCAGCTCAGCCCGATGCGGGGTGGGTGGCGCCAGCCCGGGAGCACTCACCGCACGGCTCCCTGCCGGGTGAGGGCGAGGCTCTGTCAGCCTGGGTCACAGCTCGACGTCTTCCTCGGTCCACTTCCGCCTCCCCCTCCTCCCTCGCACAGGTGGCCACTGATCGGCTGGGTGGGGAACCCCTCCACGCCCGCCCCCCCAGGTTCGATGTTCACTGAGAGGCCTCACAGGACTCAACCTGCAGTCATACTCACAGCGATGATTATGACAGCAAGACGACTCACAGCAAAATCAGCAAAGGGGAAAGGCACGTGGCGGGGAACCCCGTGGAAACCAGGAGCCAGGTGCCAGAATCCCCCCCGAGTGGAGTCACACGGGACAGGCTTTTCCCCAGGCAACGAATGTGACAACTCACGGGCAATGCTGTCATCCAGCAAAGCTCGCGAGAGACGCGGGGCTTGGGGGCTGACTCAGGAAAGACCACTCGGACGCCTGCTGCCTGGCAGGTACCAAATCCTCAGGCTCCCAGAAGGCAGGCAGGCATTCAGCATAAACTGCAGCATTTGCAAACACAGCCGAGGCCCCAAGAGCCACTCCTATGAGTGTGGGGGATGATGGCAGCCCTCCTGAGTCCAAGGTCCCAGAGGCCAGCCCAGGGCCAACCTTGCAGGCCGGCCTTCCTGAGGAGGCCGCCTCAGGCCCGCCGTGCCAGCCGCTTCTGCGCCGCGGGGCCGCGCCCCGCCCCAAGCCCTGCCTCTGCGCCTGCCTCTGGGGAAACAGCCAGGGAGGCCGAGTTCGATTAAAACCGGCTCCAGAGGATGGGAACATCCGATGAATTTAGGAGCTGGAGGACGACTAACCCATTCCCCACTCCTGCAGTCACAACGCGGGCGGTAGTCAAGGTTAAGTTTTTCTGTCAGACCAGCAAGGTCAACCTGACCTTCCAGACAGTCACCGTCAAGTCAGGTCAGAAACGGGAGCATCGGTCCGGTCATCGGAACCGGAATCAACTGTGATGCCACGTGCAATGAGTCAACACAATGTAGTCTGCCTGTGCGGTGGAATATTACTCAGCCACGAAAAGCAATGGTATGCTCATACGTGCAACAGCACGGATAGACCTCGAGGATATTAGCTAAGCGAAAGAAACCAGGCAGAAAAGGCCGCATACTCTACGATTCCACTATATGAAATGTGTACATCAGGCAAGTCTACGGAGACAAGAAGCAGATGAGTGGCTGCCACGGAGTGTGGAAGGGAAGGAGGAATGGAATGCTGCTCAATGGGTACTGAGTTTCAATCTGGGGTGGTGAGAATGTTCCAGAACTAGACAGCGGTGACGGCTGCACAACACTGTGTGAATGCACTAAATATCGGTAATGGATAATTTTGTTGTATGTACTTCACCGTACACACGACAGAGGTCCTGCTGCGGCGCACTTTGGCACACGGAAATCAGGCCGTAAATCTGCACTGTAATTACTTCCACTATTGCCGGACTGGGGAGAGGGGCACAGATCAGAGGCATATTTAGGAGACAGAGCTGACAAGATGCAGTGACCGAGTCGTGGAATGGACGTGGAGCGGGTGGCAGGGGTGGAGGGAAGCAAGAATGTCCCTGGAGGTCTTGCTTGGGAGGCTGGGTGGTGGTGGGACCCACGACCACAGTGACAAATAAAAAAATCAAAGCAGCCTGGAGCACAGGAGATCAGCCCTAACTTAATCATACTTGAGATTTCCCCTAAAAGTCTAGCAGCCAAATTCCACGGATAATCATTGCAAGTACAGATCTCAAAGAGCCCCATTACCTTAAACTTCGCTATCGAGGAATGAAGAGAAGGAAGTGGCTGAGGGACCCCGGCTTTCTCATCCCCTGAGCCCTCGCTACCTTCCCTTCTTGCCTCCAAAAAAGTCAGCTCTGATTACCGCTGCTTTTAATGGCTGACGGCAGACATCTTTGACAGGTTCCATCACTGCACTTGTGCAGCGTGACGCTAGACACCAGGCCTTTCCAAAGGAATGCCTTCAACACTGAAAATCCAACACCAAGGCACAAAAGCATGAGGAAGGACTGCTTCCACAGTTTGACTTTGATTATGTGATAAATATAGTCATAGGCTCCTGGAGGGCAAGAAGCTACCGCGCCAGCAGGGGCTCTCCCTGGTGGTAGGGTTATGAGGTAATGGTACTTTATTTTTACAGTTTTCTCTCTCTGGTGTCCCCCTCTGCCTTCCCCACCTCTGGCATAGAGTGGATGTTTCCTCAAGATGTCCACAATGGACACCCATTAAATCCCACCCATCCATCCCCTCAAAACCAGGAAAAGCGTGAATAAAAGGGGAAAGCGCACAGAATGATTTCTCCAGAAGAGATTTCAGGAGTCATCTAGTTGAGATGCTTCACTTTGAGCTTAAGATCCAAGCATCAGAGGGTCAGGGACTTGCCGACCGTTGCCCCACAGCCATGAGGAACTGCTCCGAGGGCAGGGACACTTGCCTTCCCAGGTGACAGTTCTGGCGAGAGCCAGAGCTTGAATGTACCCATAGGCACAGACACCCTCATTCATGAATAAGTCACCCATCAGGCATCTATGTGGATTCCAGGACTAGTGCACGGCGTGATTAGGGTCCTCAGCTTCAGGACCTTGGCCAGTTCCCAGAGCCTCTCCAGACCTGAGCTTCTCACCCTCACAGGAGGAAGTGAAACTAGACGATCTCTACAGTCTCTTGGGTGGGGGAAGGAGAATCTATTTTGATATCCACAAAAATGTATTAAGTGCCAACCAAAAAAAGGACCTCCATGTCACAGAGAGTGAAGGTTGACCAGATGCCCCAATGTCATCGGCTCCACCAGCACACCTGGGTGAGGTTTGGGAATCACAGAGGAGGAGATGCCGGTCAGGATTCGCAGGATGTGTGGGAGTTGCCTGAAGGGCAGGCAGGCAAAGAACAGCATGCGCAACTCCAGAGCCATGTGGAAGACAGGCCCAGGGCACCGGGAGGCAGCCGACCTGCCCTGGGGATCCCGAGAACTAACCTCTGGGAACCGGGCTTTGTCCAGCAGGCTGTGGGCGTCCTCCCAGAACAGAAAGCCAGCAGGCCTGTGCTTTAGGAAGGTCACTCCAGTGGGGGCGATGGGATGGGGGGGAGCAGGACTTGACAGGTGGGAGGCAGGTGCATCGCCAGAACCACAGAAGGCAGAGGGGTCGCACAGCAGCAGCCCCCAAGTTCAACTCAAAGCCACGTGACTCTGCCCAGTGACATGTTCCCTCCCTGGGCTCAAGTGCACCCACCGTAATGCTTGTATTGGAGAAAGGAATTCTCATGTTACACATAGCTACGTCTGGGGGCACTCTTTTTCTGATTGAGTAACAGAAGTTTTTCTATGTTAAAGACATGGATCCTTTTTAGGTTACAAATATTTTCCCAAGTCTGTCACTTAACCTTTCTTCAGGCTATATTTCAATGTCAAGTTCTCAACTATTTGTACCCCCGAGTCCATGGCTTTCCTCACATCATGTAACATTGACCTGGACCTGCTCTTTACAACTTGTTTTATGTAGTTAGGTATTAATCTGGTGAGGAAGCTCATCTTTAGTTTTCTTCCAAATGATCCAGTTAGTTGCCTCCAAATTTATGCATGACATTCTTTTCCCATTGATTTGAAATACCATTTTGTTACACACATCTGTGTAGATATTCTATTTTCTTCCACTGGTCTGACTTTCCCTCTAGGAGGCGAACATTGCCTTAATGTGGCTTTAGAATGTTTTACTATTTACGAGGATGAACCCTCCCACCCCAGTCTTCATTTTCAACTTTTCTCCATCTAGTTTGATAAATCGGTGTTTTCAGGTGGAACTTGATGGCTTTGGCCACATCCGCTCCGCAGATCCCACCAGAATTCTCACTGGGAACGTCGCAGTCGCTTCCGATGTCTGTCTCTGGCTTCCAGCCGAGGTCCTGCTGGCCCGCGTGTGGCCTGGTGCCCAGCCCTGCCCCGGGCGCTTGTGATGAACACAAGGAGCTGTAGTGACGTCTGGCACACTGATTGTGTGGCGCCAGAACCCAATGTCCAACACAGGGCGGTGTGACTTTTTCCCTTTCAAAGAGACTTTATCTGGGACACATCAGTTTCACCCTCAGGAAAGTAGCAGGAATTGAAGGACCCAGTGAGGTCTCTGCCAAGACGTGCAGAACCCCCATGCACGCCAGGCACTACTTGATGTCTTCACTTCGTATTTTTTAGCTGCTTGATGAACGTGTCCGGGAGCCCCACCGCCGAGCCCCACCCACTCAGGACTGTCCCGCCTTCCCAGTGTGAGGATGTTCTCCTTGCGGGTGCCCACGTGAGCCTGCCAAGACATGCCCTGCGTGGGGAGGGTCTCGCCTCGCCTCCCGTGTGTCTCACCGGTGCCAGGCACTGAGCTTGCGCCCCGGAGACCTCGGTTCCCATCCACCCACAAACTGGCGTGGCCTGAAGCCAGATTTCCAGCTACACAGTTTGGGACATCCCTCCTCTTTCGTGGACAAAATCCTTCCTTTAAGGTCCAGCTGAACGCCTGCCTCCTCCAGGAAGCCTGCCACCCAGCCAACCCACACGGCTCTCTTTCTCCCAACAGTGTCCATACTGCACATGACCTGGACTTCACAACCTCACAAATTCAGTCACGGAATGTGCATCTGTAGGCCCCTTCTTTCCTCATTGAATGTCTCAGTGTGGGGGGAAGGGCAGTGAGGGCGATGGGCGATCTGAGTCTCCAGGCTGCCCCGACTCCATGACACCCCAGAATCTCGCATGGGCCTCACTCACACACCTACAGCACCCACATGGCCCGCGGGCATTTGAACTTGAGACACTGACCCACACCATTCATTCGTGACTATCACAGCACGCGTGCCAAGGGTGACATCTGCCTGTGCATGTGACAGTAATGCCGGTGACTGCAGCCGATGCTGCTGACCGCTCACAAACGCCAGCACCGCGCCGAGTGCTGGGCACGCATCCACACGTTCCCTTTGACGAGCGCATCGTGAAACAGCTGCTATTATCATTCTCGTCTCACAGCTAGGAAACTGAGGCCCAGGAGGGCGGCCACATGCACAAGTCCACATCCGGCCAGCGAGGGGACAGGGATTCACCGCCAGGCCTTCTGGGCCGGGAGCGCGCTGTCCCCACGGCACTGCAGGGCCACCACATACGTACACCACGTCTTCCCACTCGCAGCCTGAGGTCACCTGGCTCCACCCCATCATGCACTGCCGCGCCAGCGTCCGCGGGCCTGCAGCCCGGAGGGACACATGCGCCTGCGGCTCCTGAGGGCCCTGGTGGGCCGGAGGCAGCCCGAGGCCTGCGTGGCTCATCTCCATCCCAAGAGACAGTCTGGGGCCTGGGGGGAGGCCCACAAATACTGATTAAACGAATGTCCTCTGACTTCTGTTACAATCATACAGCGACCTGCCACCTCCTCCCCTGAGAAGTCATCACCGCCATTGATGACAGTCAGCTCAATCGGGGGATGTGCACCTGTGGAGGGCCACCCACAGGGCAAGGCTCGGTGGGAGACACACGGCCGAGTCAGACACGCCCACAGCCAGAGCTCACGGACCTGTGGGGACCGTCTGCACTGCCTGCGCCCCACCGCACAGACGGTCAGCCTCCCCCGGCCACACTCAGGCGTTGCCACCATCCCCTGCCCCGCCGGCAGGGATTTGGGTCCCCAGGAGGCCGCGCAGCCCACCCGCTGCCCAGCAGCAGGGCTCTGGAGCCAACGGGTCTGCGCAGACCCTGGCCTGAGCACCTGCAAGCTGGGCCGAGACGTGCGTACCCGGCAGGCCCGAGGCTGCACCCCATGTCAGCCGGCGCAGGAGGCAGGCCTGGGACCGGCCCCTGGGGACTGGGTTCCGGGCAGGTGCCCACCATTCCCTGGTAAGAGGCGCTCACCGGGCCGACAGCAGGTGTACGCCGAGCACCTGCTTTCCTTCCGGGGCCTGGAACCTTGCGATGTGCCAGGTACAGGGTGCCCATGTGCCCTACCCCCAATAAACACCCTGGCGCTGGGTCTCTGACAAGCTCCCCTGGTGGACAACGCCCCACACGGTGGTCTAACTCAGAACTGGAGAAACTGAGTGTGTCCTGGGCCCTCCCGGCTCCGCCCACAGGCTGTGTCCCCGGCTGACTCTTTGTGTCCTCTCCCTGTGACACAAAGGCACGAGTGGGACCACCATGCCGCCCGTGAGTCTTCCCAGGGAGCCATCAAACCTGGGGGTTGTTGCAGGAACCCTGATACACTAGCCATGTGACCTTGAGCAAATTACATGACCTAGGTGTGCCTCGGTTTCCCCACCGACAAAATGGGGGCGACTTAAAAATGGAATCTATCTCCGACGGTTGCGAAGATGACAGGAGTCACATATGTAAATTGCTCAGACAGCCTGGCACATAGTAGGTGTTTAGGCAACATGCAGCGTGGCTGCGAGGAGGAGGAACACCTGGTGACTCTGTGAGGGATGGAGTACAGGAGCTGCGAGTGATCGAACGGATGGACGATCCGTTCCCGTGGGAACGGGCCCATGGTGAACAGCAGGCTCCAGGGGAAGTGCCCCGGGCGGTGGAGCTGGGGGAAGGCTCAAGAAGACACAACACGGCCCCCAGCCGCCCGGCTGCCCGGCTGCCCGGCCGCAAACTCGGCGGGGCGTGTGGGAGGGTGGCTGGACAGACGCACAGACAGCGGGGTCATCCTGGGAAACTAACCATAGAGCCTCAGGCCACAGCGGGGACCCCAGGCCGCCCGAGCCCCCAGCCTGGCGTGGGTCAGCGGCGGGCCCTCCCCTGGCTCTGAGAACAAGAAACCCCACCCCACAGGCATAAAACACACATGGGGCTGAAGGGCGTCCAGGCTGGGTGTTTTCTCTCACCTTCACCTTTTCTTCGGCTGTGATAGTGAAAAGTGCCCTTAGCTGAGTTCTGTTCTAGGAAAAAAAAAAAAAAAAAGATGTTTCGGTCAACAGGTTTTGGACTCTGACACGTGGGGTGACATTTGGTGTGTTCCCTGCCCACTGGGCCCGGAGCTCTATGCGCCCATGACGGCTGGGGGGTCGGAGCCTGCCGGGGGTCTCAAGGGCCCTGCACGGGGGGGGGAGTCGGAACTGCGGAGCCCCTTCTCCCCCAGAGGCTCGCAGGAGGTTCGCAGGGACGCACTGGAGCCCCTTCTCCCCCAGAGGGTCGCAGAGGCTCGCAGGGACGCACTGGGCACTGGGGCTGGGCCAGAGCAGCTGAGAGCCAGGCCGCCAGCTGCTGACCAGGCTCCGCCGCCCGTGCCCCGCTCTCCCTCCGCCCCTCTGCGCCCCCACGCCCTGTCTGCGCCTCCGCACCCCCTCCGCACGTCTCCCACCTCCCGTCTTTCGTCTCACGACGCCAAAGGTCCACGTGGACGGGGCTTCCAGTGCACCCAGAGCTGGTCTTCATCTGCGCGAACCTACGCCCGCAGCCATGTTTACTACAAAACCTCCAAAGCTTGAGAAACATGCTTTCGGTCAAAGCGTGGGGTCAGAAAACGTGGCCCCGGGTCCCAACGCTCCGGCAGGGCCACTGAAGGCTCCCGCTCCCCCTGGGCCTCTGAGCAGCTCACGGTTGGTTTCGGACAAGTCGCCTTATCTTCAATTTTGGCTGAAATCGGGATAGTATTCCTTCCGGGCCAGTTTATCTCAATTTTTTATTCTTCCCTGCCCTCCATTCTTGACTTTGTACTTAATTATTTTCTGAGACATCTGTCTTTTCTGACAGTTTTATATCACTTTCTCGTACCTGGTCCTTCTCTTCTGGGATCTTCCGTTTGATTTCATTTTATCTGGGGCTTTTCTCCGCCCGCAGCAGCAGACCCGACAGCCTCAGGGGGCAAGGGGCCGGCAGCCGCGGGGTCTGAGCCTGACGCTGCCACGGGACCCGGGCAGTCCCGTTGGAGCTCCATTTTCCGCACCTTTTAACAGAACTTTCTCCAGGGGCTGACGTCAGAACTGACCAAAGTAACTGGTGATGGAGCTGCTTGAGGACAAGGACAGACCTGCCTCATCCCAGGTCCCCAGGACAGACACAACGCCTCCCGCCTGCCACGCAGCCACCGCACTCACTGCTGCGGGGATTGATAAAAGGTGAACGAAAAATGAAGATGCTGATCGTAACGGTGCAGTGGCCTGTGTCCCCCGAGCCACATGTTGAAGCCCTGCCCCCAGCCTGACAGAATGTGGCTGTGTTTTGCGACGGGGCCTTTGCGTTGTGGGAGAACAAGGCCATGAGGGCGGGCTCTCAGCCGGTGTGACCAGTGTCCTTATAAGAGGAGACGTTAGGACACAGAGGGACGCCCGTGGGAAGACGCAGGGAGAAGACGGTCTCCTGGTGCCGAGGAGAGAGGCTAAGAGGGAAGCCACCCTGCGACACCCTGACCTCGGACGTCCAGCTGCCAGAGTGCCAGGGATTAAGTCTCCGTTGCTTCCCGGCCACCGAATCCATGGCCCGTTGTCACGGCAGCTCCCGCAAGCCATCCAGTTTGAATGCCACTGGCTGGACGCTCACCATGCAAGGCACAGCCCGAGGCATCAACACCTAGTGTGAGTTAGTTATCTTTACGTGGAGCCCGTGGCAGGCCCACAGGGGTTAAGGAATTACTCAAGGTCACAATGAGCTGCTAAGGGACCCAGGTTCGTGGTAAAGTATGTGAGATGTCGGGCCTGTGCACTTACCCGGAATTTGATATCATTGAAGGAGGGAGGGAGGGAGGGAAGGAGGGAAGAAGGAAGAGAAGGAGGAAGGGACATATCCCAGGCCCTCAGCATCTGTGTTTCTAGAAAAATCCCACTGGGTAGTGACAAGACAGAGACCAGAGTAACAAGGCCATACGCACCAGTGACGAACTCTGACAGGTGAGCTGGGCAGGCAGCACCAGGGCTCCCCCGCGCACGACGGCTCCGGCCTCCAGCGAGGCTATGTAGCTGACTGAGAAGGAGTCTCCGACTGCTCAGAGAGAAGACACAGCGGGGTCAGGACAGGGGTCAGGACAGGGGCACTGGCCGCACGGCCACACCTGGTGACAGGCGATGCTAACTGCCACTCAGACACCTCCAGGCAGCGGGGTCTGTGTGTGGAGCAAGCGGCACCAGACAGGGACCTGGAGGGGCAGCGAAGGTCCCTGGGGCTCCCAGAGGGTCCCCAACCTCATGGTCTCTATTTGGCCCTCAACTGCTTCATTACAAGCATTAATCGTTCCCACTGAAGGGAGACCCCTGGGAGACGGGCCAGCCGGAGCTCTGCTTGGGAGGAGCCGGCCCGGGAAGCGCCTGCCCTCAGGAGAAGGGGCCACCCTCGGTCACACCCGGGGGCGCGCCGTTGGGTCCTGGAGGCCTGGAGGGAGGAGAGGAGCCCCGAGCGAGATTGGGGTCTGCAGTTTTTACAGGACGCCGCGATGTCTCACCACCGCTTCCGGAAGGGAGACAGTGTGGCTGGCACGCGTGCCACGGATGCTGGCCTTGGGCCGAGTCCGCTGTGACCACGAACGGATTCCTCCCACTGAGCCTGCTTCTCGGGTGGGCTCTGGGCACCACGCGTTTTGCAAACTGAAACCAAAAGCGAGGTCCCTGTCCCTGCTCTTCGTGGCAGCTGCCTTGGAGCCTCAGCCACAGCCTGGGGACCAGGGACACGGCTGGGCGTGTCCAGGGACTGAGACTAGCTCGTCGTCTGATTCTGGTGATGGTGGGGCTGAGCTTGTGAAAGTCTTTTTGTTTTGTTTAAACAGCTGTGAGATACAACTTGCATACCATTCGACTCGCCTATTTTAGTATAGTTCAGAGTTGTATGGCCATCACCATAATCTAATTTTAGGACATGCCCTCACCCTAAAAAAAGCCCTGTACCCCAAGACAGTCGCTCCCATTGCCACCCCAGCCCTTACCGCTAAGCTACTCTCTTTGGGACAAACCTGCCGTTTTGGGTCAGCTCCCAGCAATGGAGGTGTACAGTACGTGTCCCCTGAGCGTGTGTTTTTGGGGGGCACCCCTGCCCTGGAGCGTGGACCAGCACTTTGCTCCTGTTCGGCGCTGAGGAGCACTCCGCCATGCGCCGCCGCCACACTTCCTGTGTGTCCCTGAGGGCCGTGCACTTTGTAAATGCAGTGAGGCATGTGAACACTCGACATTCAACTAATTCAGCTTCTGAGACGAGGGGCCGAACCCCGTCTGTAGCGGAGAACCCCGCTCCTTCCAGCCACCGCCAGCACCGGGGTAGCCGGGACAGAATAGCACGTTGGGAAGCTGGTTTAAGGAATTCTAAATTTAACCTAAGAATGCTGGACTTTGGACTTTTAAAAACCTATCAGGGCTAATATTTTGGCCTCAGATTTTAATTCCTTTCGGACTTGCATGTATTTGAATTTCAATTTGTAGGAGACTTACCCCTGAGATTTTCATTTCTCCCTGAGAATTTGCAAAAGGGTTGTGTTGGCAGGTCACTGTTGAAGGATTTTATGCAAAATAAACTCCAGGTTATCCTTTAATCATATTGCAAATCCATGACTTATAATACCTTGTTGAATAACATAGCTGGATATGATTTGAGCAGGTATTAGAATTAGGGGGAATTTGCAGCCTTGGGTAAGGTTTATTTCAATAGTGTAACACTCAGAAGCATTTCCAAAGCCTTTACAGAGCAGGGAGCAAGGTCTCTTCTGCTCACTCACATTCCGGAAGGACACACGGGGGCGTGGACCGGGGGTAGGGGAGCAGGGCCGTCCTGAGTCCGGACCGACGGCTGATCCCCTCCCCAGAGGACCAGCCACCACCCTTCCGTTCAGTGAGAGGCCCGGTGGACTTGAAGGCTAAACCGACAGAGCGCATCAGCGGAAACACACAGTCACACCCCTGTCATTTCCGTCCATGGGCACCAGCACCCGGCCCAAAAGCGGGGTGGCCGCCCCTCCCTGCCCCTCCTCCCTGGGAAGGGCGCCTCCTCCGGCTGGTAAGGTCAGGGGGCATGGCCAGTGAGCCCCTCTTACTCGGCTCACGGCTCAGCTCCTGCCAGCCCGGAGGCGCCAGCCCCCGTGCCGGTGGGTGACAGAGCCCATCCAACTCCGCGGGCCCGTCAGCGAGCCAGCCGACCTCCCCGCCTTCGTGCCCGAACACGCTCCGCTGCGCTCCCTCTCTCGAGGTGCTCAGACCTCGGTCCAGCACAGCCCGGGCCAAGCTCTGCCGTCTACGGAGTGATGGCTGTTTTGATCGCGTGGGCGACGGACATACTGGGGTTCACTATATGCTCTGTCTTTGTTTATGTTTGCGGTGTTTCATCATAAATATTGAATATATATAATTGTTTGAAAATGCTTCCCCCTCAAGCCCAGCTTTCTGTAATTAAGTAACAGATCCAGCTTGTTGCGAGGGGATGGCGGGAGGTGGTCCCTCCACAGATGCCCTCGCTGTGAGGATCAACTACGTGAACACACGGAACAGGGCTGGGCAGGTGCTCCGCGGGTGCGTGTGTCCCCCCGCCCTGAGGACACGGGGCCGTCACCTGACAGGAACCTCCTCCTGAAGGTCTGGAAACCCGCCGAGGTCCTGTTTCCAGTCGACTCCCTGACGGTGAGGCCGGTGATGTTGTCGAGCAGAAGCAGGTCTGAGAGGTTGGCTGCTGCCGGCGTCTGGGTGTTGTTCACCAGTAGACGTACCCGAACCATCTGCGACACGCTCGGCCCTGACACCTAGGACGGGGGGAAATGAGGGCAGAGTCGACAATGCGTTCAACTCCCTAAAGTGACACTCCAGCTCGGCTTGTGCGTGGTAGGCCTTTAGGCAGAGAAGATGCGTGTCCGTGTGCATGCGTGTATGTGGAGCTGTAGGGAGGGGTACACACACTCGTCCTTGCGTGTGCATGGCAGATAACGTCTCCAGGAGAACAGAGGAGGGCATTATGGTCCCAAAAAATTCTGAGGATTCATCAGGTCTGACTTCCAAGGCCCCAGGAGCGTTTGACACTAGCCAAGCTGTTGCTTGGCGACCGTTTCAAAGTAACTGGAACCCTGAAATGCAGTGAAATCATTCCTACAGAGAAACTTAGAAGAAAAATCGTCCAAGCACAGGACCAGCGGCAGGCTGGGGAGATCGTGACAAATGTGTCACCCAGAAAAGCAAACGGTGTTCTTTCTGAGTCCCTGGTTTTGAAGATCTGGCCCTGAAGCCCTGCCGGGGGCCTCTGACTGCCATCTGGCCTCCAGGCTCGTCCCGCGCCAGCCCGCGGCCCACAGGCCTGCCCCCCGCCGCCCGGCCACATCTGACTGGCGCAGCTGTGGGAAGGCGCCCGGGGCCCAGCCGCTTGCCTCCCGAAGCGGCCTCTGCAGCCTCGCCCGGCTCCCCGCTCCAACTTAGCCGCCCCCATCCCTCCCCTCTGTCACCCGGCTCTGCTGAAAGAGGCGCAGGGGCTGAGGAAGGAGGGGTGCCACGCAGGTCCCCGGAGAAGCGACTCGGGAACACCGGTGCGGAAAGCAGGCTGCAGGACCCTGGGCCCAGTGCCCGTCACTACGCAAAGGGGCAGAGGAAGAAGGTGTGTGCGCGGGCACACACAGATGCACACGCTTGTGACTGTGCCCGTGGCAGAAAACCCCTCCGGGAGGACGCAGGAGAGGCTGGAGCACTCCGTGTGCCTGGGGAGGGGAACGAGGCCCCTGGGGGCTGGGGGGAGGGGAGGGCCCTGCCGTAAAGGAGCCACTCGGCAGGCTGGGGCCGCCGGGCCCTGCGCCCTCCACGGAAAGCACGGGCCCTGCACCGGCTCCCGGCCCCAAACGTCCCGAACCCCCCGCCTGGCAAGTGTCTTCATCCACCCGGGGCCTCGGGCCACACCAGGTGGCTCCTGCTAACAGTGTGATTCCTGGGGGAATCGTGTCCCGGAGACCTTGGTGGGGCTGGAGACTGAGGCAGTGACACGGATGCTCCGCGCCCGCGTGCCCCACCCACGACGAAAATCCTGGACACCAAGGCCGAGTGCGCGGCCCCAGGCGATGTCCCGCATCGCAGCTGGGAACGCCAAACGCTGTCCAGACAGCGGCACCAGGAGGACGGTGGGGGCTGTCCCTGCGGGACCCCGCTCTCCTTTGCTGGCAATAGTCGGGGTCCTTTTGCTCTAACAAACTGCACCTGGCGGCCCAACCGCTTTGCGGAGCTCTGTGAGTCCTCCTAGTGAGTCCGACCCAGAGGGTGGCCTCGGGGACCCCCCCCCCCAAGGACAATGTGAAAAGCCCTGTCGCGGGATCAAAGAGCTAAAGGACGTTCAATAACTTTTTAAACGGTCAAGTACTAGGTCAACATTACGACCTATTCTAAGTGATCACAGTGTATTTTCACTAACAACAATTTAATTGTTAGCAAAAATCTTAGCCCTGGTGAAATAATAATAAACCCCCGTAGGTCACCTCATCACTCGTGTGTCCCGGCGTGGGTGGATAGCCCTGCTCTCTGCCAGGTCGCAACTACAAAATCTCACCAATACGTGATTCGGGCAAAATCCAATTATTTTCCCTGCTAGCAGAAGCCACCTGTGAACACTTACCACTGCACATTTCTGAAAAATCACTCCATTCTCAGGAGTTCCTTGAATGTGTCTTGAAATGTCTCCATGCTACAATAAAATATAGAAATTATTAGAAAACAAAAAAATAACGTTTCATGCTGCACATACTTAATAAAAGTACAAGATGAACTTTTAAGGGGAGAGGGGGTTAAAGAAATTACTTTGGCTAGTCTAGGAACTGCCTTATGGAATCTTGAAGATTTTTTTAAGAGTATTACAGGATTGGAACTTAAAACCTACAAAGACAGAAGAACGTGGACGTGGTCAGTGGGGCTTTTCCTGGTCCAGGGTGCACATAAAGGACACCCATTACCACAGGGACGCAGCAAAACAGACCGGACACTTCCTCAAAAGCCATGTGAGCAGAGCGGTGGACAAATGCTTTAATGACCGCTCACCCGGATGGGGCACACCAGCCACGCAGCAGTGACTGAGTGACCCCACACACGGCGTTCTGGGGCGGCCTCCCGTGCACTGGATCCGTCCCCCAGTCGAGAAGCCACCCGCTCTGGCCTGCTCCAGGCCCCGGCGGCTCCCCTGGAAAGATCCCAGTGGAAAGCCAGGGCTCAAAGTAGGAGGCTGGGGGAGACCCAAAGAGAACAGTCACCAAAGGCCAGCGGGAAAGGGGCGGGGACTGAGCCCAGGGGCCGGTGAGGGCGGGGGAGGGGGCAGGCATCGGAGCTGACCGGGAGCAAAGGGCTGTAGGACCGCTGACCAGTTTGGGGGACAAGCGGGTGCGGAAATCTGCAGTGACGGCCAGGGCTCTGAGCCTTCCCCAGGCTGGGCTCACAGAGGGAGGGGCAGGGTGAGGAGGGCGTGGCTAAACTCATCAGCCCGGAGGGTGCGGTCAGGTACCGCTCCAGCCTGTACAGCTCAGCGCCAACAGGTCTTCCCACGCCGCTACTCTCGGGTGGAGCGCGCCCCTCTGCAACGCGCTCTGCCTCCGCGAACTCACCAAACTCCCACACCGGCCCTTCGGGCAGACCCTGCCGCGCTTACAGCGCAGGAAACGCGGGCATAAGAGGTCAAGCGACTGGCCCTCGGTCGCAGAGCTCTCGGCCACCCCGCCGCGGGCTTTCCGCAGCCACCTCCGGCGGTCCCCACCTTTGCGGAGAGCTCTCGGCCGTTAGCGGGGTGCACTAGGGAACGTCACGCTGCGCCCACGGTTCCTGATAAGTTCCCCAACTCCACGGAGCCCCCCGCCGCGGGTGGAGACAGAGTCAAGCCGCCCGAGTCAGAGCCGAGACTGGGGGCCTGCTTCCTTACCTGCGCGGCGCGCTCGGGCCCCGCCCCGGGGGCTGCGGAGCGATCCGAGGGCGCTTGCGCGCCCAGCGTACGCCGGGGGAGTCGGGGGCCCGCGGGGAGCCAGCCTCGGCCCCCGGACCCGGCGGGCAGAGCCAGGGCGGCGGCCAGGAGGCCCCCAGCCAGTACCCAAGTGGCGCGCCCCGGGGCGGCCGCCGAGCCCATCGCCTGCCCCGGGCCAACGACTCCAGAGCAGCGGGCGCAACGGAGTTGCAGCCGCTTCCGGGCCCCAGGCCCGCCCCGCCGCCGAGCATGCCCAGTGCGAGCCGCCGCGGAAAGTTTTCTGGAAGACTTAGGCATCTGGAGCTTGGCGGGTCGGCAGGCAGCTGCCGCCGAGGACGGGAGCGGGAAGCGGCGAGCCAGGCGGGCGCGGCCGGCGCCGGGCGGCCACACTTGGGTTAGCTCGTGCCCCACCCGGGGGCTCGGCAGTACCCACAGCAGATCCCGTGACTCCCCAGCTCCCAAAGAGGCCAGGGGCTCCAAGTGCCCCTCCACTTAATGCCTACGTTGCTCCCTAAGCCGTAGCGGAGACCCGCCTTCTCCAAAAAACCTTTCCTGATACACAGGGCTGAAGCCCGAGTCTGCCCCAGGCCCAACAGCTCCGTAATAGACAAGCATTTGGAGACGCAAAGCCCTGTGTCCTGGGGCCGGGGGGGGGGGGGGGCGGGGCGCCAGAGGGGACAGGACAGCCCAGACGGGGTCCCGGAGGGAGGCTGGCAGCGCTGGGGCGGAGAGAGGAAAAGGCTGGGTTCAGTTCAGCCCAGCTGGGCACCCAGGGCTGAACCTTTGCTGTGGATGAGCCCCTGTCCCTGCCCTCCCCCCACACAGGCTCCCAGGGGGCCCGGGTGGGGCAGGTGGTCAGGCCAGCCTGTAGGATTCTGGGGTGAGCCAGAGAGAGGGGAGTTTGTGTCTGGAGCCAGGAGGCAGCTGCTGAGCAACCTCTCTGGACTCTCCTGGGATGGGGCTGTGCCTTGCAGCGGAGGGAGCCGGGGAGGGAGACAAGGCCAGGGGGCCTGGTAGGCCGCTTTCTCTGCTTCCTGCTGCTCCACAGGCCCTCAGCTACCGTTTCTACCTGTTCCTGGGGAGGGGCTCCCTTCCTGCAGCCCCTTTCCTGCCGGGCAGTGGGTCTGGCCTGCAGCCCCAGGCCAGGAAGCCTGGCAACAGCCCTCCCCTCCCTCGCCCCCCAAGGGCAGGCCTCCCGTGACTTGGCATGGACAAGGCCATGGGGTTCGGGAGTCTGAGGATTTACTAGCTCAGCTTCCTGCACAGGGCAGCTGGCAGGGAGCCAGGAGCGAGACAGGCCAAAGGCTAGGTGCTAGCGTGTTACCGGACCATCAGTCCTATAATAGTAGACAACGAGTAAGGTAGAAGATGATTTTAATATTCAAACAACTTTATACTAAAGTAAAATGCAAAGAACGTGCTACATTTTTAAAACCAAAGCTTGAGTAACCAAAGAAATAGCCAGTATAAAGCCAGAGCGCCAGGCCATTGCGCCCACAGACATTCCTGGAGCCTTGGGGACACTTCTGAGGGAGCATTTATGAAGGACTGCACAGCCTCGCATGCGCCAAGCTGACACCACTTCCCCGTGACAACACCCTGGGCCAGACACTTCTCTCCAGCTCTCAGTTTCTTCATCGCTGAAAACTCCATCTGCTGATAGTTCCCATCTTGCTACCTGGAAGGGCTGATGGGAAACGGAGGGAAAAAATAGAAACTTGCGCTGCGCTTCCCAATTAAGAACACAAAAACTGTTGTCCTCTGCTGAAGTGGCCCCCGTAGCCCCCTGCGCCTGCCTTCATGGGGAACTGAGCCCCAAACTCTAGGAGCGTGTGTGCGTGTGTGCAACACACGCATGTTCACTGCTGGGCCCCCAGCACCCAGGACGAGGGCTGGCATCCAGGAGCTGCTCAGCAAATGTTGCGTGAAGAAAGACGCCGGTGTCCTCTGGCTGTTTGTCTGCCCCCCCCCCCCCCCCGCCCCCGCACGGCCGCGAGATCCCCCACGCCTGGGCCTGGCCCCGGCCGGGTCGGCGGGTCTCTGCAGACGCTGAGGGAATGAACGAATGACTACGCGGTGGCGCGTGTCTACTGGGGGCGGGAGTAACGATCTTCTTGTGCGCTGTCTGAGAGGAAAGCATTGCCATGGTGGGAGAAAGGGCGTTCCGGTCGGGTTCTTGAGAAAAGTCGGGAGGCACACAGGCGGGAGTCAGAGGAAGGCTGGAGCCAGACGTGCACTGAGGCACGTGGCTCTGGCTCTGAGCGTCCTCCTCCCACCGACGGGGGATGATCATACCCATCTCAGGGGGCTGTTGAGAAAGTCACTGAGATCATCAGGCTAAGCGGTTGGCATATCCTAGGCGCTCAGTAAACTTATCCGAGCAACGCCCTCCTTCTCTGCTGGGATCTAGAGGTCCAGGGAAAACCAAGGATCCTCCCAAAAGCTCTCCTCGCTGAAAAACAAGCCTCTCGCCGGGCATGCTCAGTGCAAAGGCAGGGCTGGGGCGGGGTGGCTCAAAGTTTTGGGCGGACGATCGAGGCTCCTCCCTCTGACTCCGGCAGCGCGGGCACCGGGAGAGGCAACGGAGGAGGGAGGCGGCACAGGCCAGAAAGTCGGCAGAGCGCGCTGCGCCCCTGGCCCGCGCGGGCTCCGAGTCCTGCGTCGTGGACCTGGCGGGGACGGCGCTCCGGGCGGCGGGCCGGGGCGGCGGGCGCCGGCGGCGGCGAGCGGAATGCGGCCCGGCCGCGGCCTGAGCGCCACCGATGGCCCGCGGCGGGGAGGCCTGCGGGAGCGACGTGCGGCTGCTGCTGGGCCGGGACGCGGTGCGGCCGGCGCCCGCGCTGCTGGCCCCCGCGGTGCTGCTGGGCGCCGCGCTCGGCCTGGGCCTTGGCCTCTGGCTCGGCTGCCGCGCCATCCGCCGGCGGCCGCGACACCAGGTGGGTCGGCCGAGCGCGCAGCCGGGGTGAGGGGCGCACGGAGCGCGGTCCTCCTCGGACCCCGGGTCGCCCTGGGGCCCGGAGCCCTACTTCCCCTGGAGCGTGATCGCGGGCTTCTCTCGTAACTGGCCCTGCCCCGGGCTCCCTTCTGCTCCAGGAAGAGGGTGGAGATAGCGATTCCAGAGGTGCACGCTCCATCCTCCGCCGCTGTGCGATGTCAGCAGGCGCCAAAGCCCTCCTGGCCTCAGTCTCCTCATCTGTAGCACTGAGGGTCTGGACGGGAAGCTGGTGGGGGCCCAGCTCAGCGTGGTGGCCGGAGGGCTGGGGATCCCCACCCCTGGGTGCCCATTCTGCCTCCCTGCTCCTTGTTTTACCTTGTTAGCCTCTCCTGAGTCCCTGCTGGCTGGTCCTACGGGCTGTGTCCACACCTCCCTTCGTTCATTCATCCCTACAGTAAAGTTTGCTGAGCACCTTTCTGCTGCCAGCTCCTGACCAGGGAGCTCAGACTCTACCTCAATGAGCAGTATAGGCCCTGCTCGGGCCTCTGGAGGCAGACAGCCTCCAAGGACAGGTTACATATAAGTCAACATGTGATTATAACAGGTTCTTGAGTTCTGTAGCAGGGAAATAGAGGCAGCACGTATTCAGTGCCCTGTCTTCCCTGCCCCTAGAAGGTTCTGCGTTTGTACCATCCTGTTCGTACTCGGTGAATGTCAGGTGGGGTTGGCCTAAGTTTGTTTGGATTTTTTCCCTATGAAGGCTCTGGTTGCCTTTAACTTCATTGGAAAAATTTTTCTTAGAGTGTATGGTGGCAGCTGTCTTATCAACGTGCATTTAAAAAACACTTGTCAAAATTGGTGAACTTTGCGTAGCCCTTCTTAATATCGAAGATGGAAGAAAATAAACAACATTTTCGGCATATTGTGCTTTACCATTTCAAGAAGGGTAAAAACTCAACGGAAATGCAAAAAGAAAAAGGTCTATGGCGTGGGCGGAGAAGATGCTGCGACTGATCGAACGTGTCAAAAGTGGTTCATGAAATTTCGTGCTGGAGGTTTCTCGCTGGACGGCGCTCCGTAGTCAGGCAGACCAGCTGAAGTTGATAGCGATCGCATCGAGACATTAACTGAGAACGATCACCGTTACACCACGCAGGAGGTAGCCGACATACTCGAAATATCCAAATCAATAAAGTTATTGGTGAAAAGGAAAATTTGTCTCTTCTTTTACGGAAAAAACCATACGAACTTTTTGGGCAACCCCATATTTTCTCTTCTCCCTCTAAGGATTTTATAATTCCTTAAGTTTCCCCCCCATGCTTGCTTCCTCCTTTTGTTTGCCTCGTGTTTGTCTTCCATGTTGGACTCTGTAACCACGTGACTCTCGGCCTCCCGCTCGTTTTTTAACTGGGGAGCAAAAAAAAACGGATGTTCCCCCATGGGGTGGATGAGACTTTTCCCTTGGAGTCTTTACGGCAGGATGATCCGGCGGGGCCGTTGCTGCAGAGCCCCGCACTGGGCAGCCGTGGCTGCGGAACGAAGAGCCCCCGGATCTCCGGCCCCGTCACATCCCCGACCCCTCTCCACGCCGCCAGGCCGCGCCAGCCAGGGCTTCCCTGGGCAGGCCGGGCAGGCCCCTTCCTGCCTCGGGACCCCTGCCCTGGCTGTGCCCTCCCTGCAGACCGTGTCCCCGAGACACCTGGGTGGCTTGCTGTCTCTCACGTCCTTCAGGCTTCTTCTCAAAGGCCGTCTTGCCCAAGGAGACGTTCCCTCCCAGTACTCTCCCTCCCCCTGCTGCTTTTTCTCCATAGCGCTTCTCGCCTCTGATATCCTCTGTGTTTATTTCTTTGTTGGTTTACATCTGTCCCCAGTCACTGGAATGGAAGCCCCACAAAGGCAGGGGCTCTCTTAATTTGGCCCGTACTCTGAGCCCAATGACGAGAATGAGGCTCGTCGCTTAGCCGATGCTCCACGACTAACTCGTTGACACACGGGTGGTATTTCTTCAGTTCGAAGATTATACCCCTGAGCAGCCAGTGACCAGAGGGGCTTGGTAAATGTCGCTGGCACCATAGGATTTTAAACACCGTTGACAATTATGTTCGCTGCAAACACAGGACGCGCAAGCACTGAATTGTTGTCCGTCGGAGACACAGGGCTGGGTTTCTGCAATGTTCTAGTCACAGCATTTTCATCAGCCCATCAATGCGAAGCCTTGTCGTATGTGTGGTTCTGTTTAAAGACACAGTATGTGATACCGGCTGTGGACTCGTTGACGTTGGATGCACAGCCAACAGCGCTGTAACTAGCAGCCGAACGGAGCTCATCTGGCACCTGCTTTTTCTCCGAGAGGCGCAGCGCAGCCTCCCCGTGCCCAGGGTGCTAGACCACATGCAGCGCTCCTCTCAGAGGGCACTTCCAGCAGCAAAATCACCTACAAAAGCACAAAAGTGCAAACAAACAAAAGAACAAGGGCGCAGAATAGGATGCAGAAGGCACGCCTGTTTGCAGTCTGAGCTGAAGCCTGAGGCAGTTCCTTCTCAGCAGAAACGTTGCGTTGAGCACCTCCAGCATTTCACCGTTCTGTACACGCCCTGAAGGACCCCACCAGCACCCCAGGTGTTGCTTCGTGGGGTTACAAGTAAAGCGTAGCCAGTAGGGGAATGTGCAAGTGCCATTCTGTAAGTGAAGGTAATCTAACGTATTTTCTGAAAAATCATCCAGCGATGTTACTGGCAGTAACAGGAGAATTGATATTTCTGTGCCATCTCCCGCGTTAAGCTGCCACCCCCAAAGAGCTCCCAGGCCACCGGCGCCACCGGCCGGGATAAACAGTGGAATGAGCTTTCACCCAAGTGTGGCCTCCAGGTCCCGAGGACACACTGAGAAGGGGCTTCGGGGGCGCCTGGGGGGTGACGCCTGGACAGTCTCAAATGCGGAGCTGCCCCCAGGTGGGAGCGAGGGGCGGGGCAATGCACCCAGGGCCCGGGGCAGAAGCCCCAAAGGAGCACATGTGGCTGCTGGGGGTGGGGCCTGGGGCTCCTGTCCGGGGCACCGGCCGACTGAAGTCAGTGTGTCCCCACCTTTGGGTTTCAGGTAGACGACACTCAAAGTCTGCTCAAGAACCTGGAGTCTAACACCCAGGCGCCCTCGGAGACCGGCTCCCCGTCCAGGGGGAGGAAGAGAGTGGCGCGGACTTCAAAGGAGGCGGAGGCTCTGGACGTAAGCAGGGTGTCCCCTGTCCCACCTGGCAGCCAGATGTCACCCAGATGAGCCCCTGACAGAGCTTAGGTCCCAGTCGGCTTCTTTTTCGAGGCGCAGTTTACCTACAATGAAATGCACAGGTTTTACGTGTACAGTTTGATGAGTGACAAGGGTACACCCCCTTGAAACCCGCACCCTGGCCAAGAATGTTCCGTCACCCTGGAAAGTCCTCCAGGGCCTGGGCCTCCCTGGCTTCCCCCCGACCCCGAGCCCCTCCCCGTAGCAGCCGCTGATGTGCCGCCCTGGGGCTGCTTTGGGGGTTTAGACTTTCTCACGTGCCTTCCTGGGCCCGCACCCCCTCTGCATCCTGCGTTTGTCGCCTGGGGCGTGGCACGTGCCAGGGATCAGCCTTCAGTTGCTTGGTCCCTCGTGGGGATGTGCCACAGCGTGGTGTTTGCGGTGTCTGCTCTTCTGAATAAGGCTTCGGTGCATGGTTGTGTAGGTTTATTTGTTTTCATTTCGTTTTATTTATTTTAAGTAAATCTCTAGGAGTAGGAGTCCTGGGCCTCCAACACAAATGTTAAAAAATGGATTCTCACCCTGTCCACTGGCTTAGATGGTTGGAGCATCGCCTCATACACCAGAGGGTTGTGGGTTTGATTCCTGGTCAGGGTACGTGGGCAGGTTGCCAGTTCAGCCCTGTCAGGGAGCGTGTAGAAGGCAACCAATCAATGTTCTCCCCCCCGCTTTCTCTCTCCCCCTTCCTCTCTCTGAAATCAATAAAACATATCCACTGAGGATAAAAAAAAGAAAGAAAAAAGATGGATTCTCCCTGCACCCCCTTCCTGGCCCCCAACTCAGTCCGACCCAAGCCTGCCCTTGGGGCGTCGCTTCCTGCTTTGGAACCCAGGATCCCGGAACCCAGTCCCAGCTCAGCCACCCGTTTGCAGGGTGCTGTTGGGCAAGAGACAGGACCTCTGTTCTCTACGTAGCAATGATTTCCCTGCTCACTGTTCAGCCATGCCTGGGCCATATCCATTACCGGGCTAATAATTGCCAAGGGTTCAGTTAAAGGTCTGTCCGTTCCGGTGAGCAGCTTGCCCCCACGCCCCGCCTCCTGCAGATGGAGCTCGTCAAAGAATGTGCGCGGGGCCGATTTGACAGGGGAGTCGAGCTGTGACCCCCGTGTCCTCTAACACAGGAAACCAGGGCATGTGTGCTTCGTGCCACTCTTTGCATGAGCTGTTTTGATGAATAGCTCACACCAGCCAAAAGCAAACAGAAAATTCCAGAAGGCTCTGGAGCGTGCGACTCCACAGCCTTGGCCTCGGTCCTCTCCGTCCAGGCCCGTGTGTCGGCAGACGGACACTGGATGCGTTATGGATGCATGTGTGCGTTTGCTGAAAAGATCGCCGCTACGGCGGAGTGTGAAATGACTTCTTTTCTGCTAGTTGTGCTTTAGTTTTCTGAATAATTGTGTTGGTTCAGCTGAAGAAGTTTCACACTGACATTCGTGCCGCATCCCAATTCCTGGGCGGCTGCACAGCCGCGGCCGGCCGGGGAGCCGGTCAAACTGGGAGGAGAGCTGCAGGAACCGCCCCGCACGTCCGCTCGGGCGGCGGGGCCGGATCCCGGCCTGAGTCCGTGTGCCGGTGCCTCTGCGTCCTCGTCCGCGGACGAGGGCTGTGATCGTCACCGGGGCCCGCCCTGGCGGACGGCCGGGAAGGCCACAGCAGCCCGAGGCGGCCCACCTGGCTGGGCCGCGCCAGCCGCTCGGACGGCGTCGCACTGCGCCGGCCCAGAGCCCCCGTCCCTGGTCCTGTTCCCACAGGTGTCAGGTGTCAGGTGGACCCCAGCCCCTGCATCCTGTCCTTCTCCCAGTTACGTTCTTCACGTGAAGTGCAGCTTCCTTTCGGGGCTCCCCTGTTGAAGGTGAACCCCTGGACCACAGGGCTCCTGCCTTTGTCTCACTTGCAGCCCCTCCATCCTGTCCTTATGTTGACTCTTTGGGTGAAGAGTTTAAAAAACGCACCATGCACTTCTGCTTCCGCGCCGTTTCCTGGGGTTAGCGTGTCTCCACTCGGGCGTCAGCCAGGGCCGGTGTCATGGGTGTGCGGCCCGTGAAGTGACACAGGCCACGTCCCGCCTTCCCAGACTCTGCTGTCTTGAAAGTCTTAATCTGCTGTCCTGAATAGGGCCCCCATACTCACTTTGCGCTGGGCCCCACAGTTGCGCAGCCGGGTCTGAAGACAGCCTTTCCATCTCTCTGCCACTCCTTGCTTTTGTCCTGAGATGCGTCGAGCAGAGAGCGAGTGTGGCTGGACGCTGGACCCTGGGGGCTGGGGTCCTCCCGGGGTCCGAGGGAAGCCAGGGGGCTGTGAGCTGGACAGTGACGGGAGCTGCATGTTTAAAAGACGCTTTGATTGCCGCGTGGAGGATGAGACGGAAGCTGTCAGCCTCGAGCCTAGGCCTTGGTGGCCCCCCTGGAGCCAGGGAACTTGAGTTCGAGTCCCAGTTCTGGCATTTGGTAGCTGTGTGACCCTGGGCACAGGGCTTAGCCTCTCTGTGTCTCCTCTGCGCTCTGTGAGAAATGGGAGCTGAAGAAGATGGTACCTGTTGGTGGTCTTTCCCCCTCTTGCCACCTACGCCTGTTTCTGTGAGTCATAAGGGACCGATGGAAAGGACAAGAACGGGGCCCTGCCCCTCCCTGTCCTGTCTTAAGGGCATCATGGGAAACCTTTGCTGGAGAATCACAGGGACCTGGTTGGCAGCTCGGTCGGGTGCTGTTTCAACCCTTCACATTATGAGGAAGCAAAACACCTGTACTTTTCACTCATTGTCATTGTCGCTCAAGGTCTAGCTGAAGAGCATGGACGTAGATGCGGAGGCCGCTGGGTAGCGATGCTCGAGGTGGAGACGGCAGGCCCCTGACCCCTCTGCCTGCGCACCTCTGTGCACCTGCTGGTTGTCTCCAATGCGCCCATTCAGCAGCGACTTGGCCGAGTGCGGCGGCGCCGCAGCGGGGGAGAGACACACAGAGGCACGGGGGGAGGAGAGCGGGTGGGCTGAGCATGTCCGGCCACAGTCAGGACGGCGTGCTGCTCCTCGCAGCTGCCGCGGTCTCGCGTCTGCCCGGTTCCTGCCACTCTGCTGCGGCTTTACCTACCCCGTCCTGGGGCAGATCCAGCACCCGGTGCTGTCAGGGGAGTGAACAGACTTGTCCAACCACTGCTTTTGGTTTAAGTGTCTAATCCAAAGTCTTGCATAGACATTGCCACATTGAAGTGTTTATTCTGCTTGGCAATGTTAGCATTATTCTATTTGACTTTTCCACTAAAATATGTAGTTTTTAAGAACACTCTTGTTAATAATGGTCGTGGGTTTTTTGGGGGGACACCTTAAAGATGGTATTTATTTATTCTTAGGAGAAGGGAAGGAAAAAGAGAGGGAAACATCAATGTGGGGTTGCCTCTCAAGCGCCCCCTACTGGGGACCTGGCCTGCAGCCCAGGCCTGGGCCCTGACTGGGAATCAAACCAGCGACCCTTTGGCTCACAGGCCGGCTCTCAATCCACTGAGCCACGCCAGCCAGGGCCTATTATGACATTATTTAATCCTGATTTCTTTCAAAGGTGAAGACTTGGAATTCAATGATTGTGTTACTTCTTATCTGTCTGCCCATCCATCGGCCTGTTGGTGTATCTGTTCCTCCCCCATCCATCCACCTGCCTTTCCATCTATTCATATCCATTCATCCCTCCATCTGTCCGCATACCCATCCACCCATTTGTCCATCAATCTGTCCTTGCATCACCCACCCATCCATCCACCCACCCACCTGTCCATTCATTCATTCACCCACCCATCTCTCTTCCAGCTGTCTGAGCATTGCTCTAGCTACCCATCCACCCACCCATCCACCCATCCATCCATCCATCCACCCACCCACCTGCCCATCCATTTATCCATCTCCCTGTGTGTTCATCTGCCCATCCATCCATCTACCTATTGTCTGTCCGTCCATCCATCCATCCATCACCCATCCTTCTACCATGTGAGTCCTCACTTAGATCCCTGTGTGCCTTTCCCAGGCCACTGTTACAAATAGGGCGTGGCATTTTGGAGACTCCGGGCGGGCGGTCCTCCGTCCTGCGGAAAGCCCCCAGCCGCTTGTTCTTCCTCCTCCCCAGGAACGCGAGCCGTCTTTCCACAGCAACGTCACGGCCTTCGCCCTGAAGGCGAAGGTCGTCTATCCCATCAACCAGAAGTTCCGGGTGAGTCCCACGCTCTGTCTTGTTCGGTGATGGACTAGAGATTGGGGGAGGGGCCGTGGCATGAAAGGTGCGGTTCCGGGTTCTCGTCGAGGGTTTTGTGGCACGCCATTTTAAAAGGGATACACGTGAGGCTTTGTCGTCGAGCGGCGTGGTGGGGTGGACCCGCTGATGACAGCGTTGTCAGGGTCAGAGCGTGCCCCCCGCCTCCCGAGGCAAGGAGTTACCACCGCCGGTGGCATCCCCGGGGACACCAGGTGACAGCACTGTGGGGCAGCATCCGCCCTGCTCGTTCAACACCAACACAGATCCTGATACAGGCGGAGTTCCCAGGGTCTCTCTCGCAGCCCCGAGATGAACGCCAGCAGCTGGCACTCGGTGAACACGTCCCGCAGCGCCCGTGTCATGCTGAGCCTTTGTCCTGCGCCAGGTACTTCAGCCTCACAAGATCCCCGTAAGAGAAATATAGTGCCATCTCCGCATGAGGAAACCGACGCCCAGAGAGGCCAAGGGCCTGCCCGAGGTCACACCACAGGAAGTGGCAGGGCCAGTGGCCACCCCCTCTCCCGCCAGCCTGGCTGCAGGGCTCGTCCCCGAAGGCAGGCGCTCACACCGGCGGCCAGCCGTGCTGGAGCGGCGGGTCCCAGGCTGCCCCAAGGAGCCCGCCGCCGGTGAGACGCCCTGTGAAGTAAAAGCGTTTCCTGGCCAAGCCAGTTGGGGACAATGCTGGCCATTCTCCGGGCAGGAAAGGGGACCAGCTCTGGAGTCACGCTGAGGTCACGCGGACTCTGTCCTGCCTCCCACCCTGGCTGCGTCCCAGTGTCTGGAGCCTCGGTTTCTTTCTCCGTGAAATGGGAGTGATGGGCCCTCCGGCCGTCCCCGTTGTGTTGAGGGTGAAGCTGGGCAGCAGACACACACGAGGGCTCCGCGCGCTCAGCACGGGCTCGGTTTTCTGAGTCGCCACTCGCTTGTGGAGACGGCCGGAGCACAGCCAGGGCTCTGAGAACTCCCGCCCCAAAGAAACGACTCCACCTGGTTCAACAGAGACTTTTCCCCCGTTAGGTTTTCTGTGGAATTCTGATGGGAACTGCGGGTACGGGTCACGGGCCTGTGCCCCAGATCACGCACTGGGCACCGCTTCCTTGCCTTAGCTCTCTCGGGGGCGGGGGAAGGGGCAGACCCCCAGGGCACGGGCATTTCTTCATCCTCCACAGTGGCTGCTGGGCAGCCTCTGAGGGGGATGATCCAGTGTCAGGAGAGCTTTGTCCTGCCCCAGGAGGCCATCCCAGTCAGGGTGGGGGACAGTGTGGTGTCGGAAATGATGGGGGGCCTGTGGAACCTGGGCGGGGTGGGCGTGGGAGAAGGTAGGCTCTGGGGTCTGTGTCTGAGGGAGGGGCTGCTTCAGCCTGGGGTTCAGCTGGGGGCCCAGAGTCCTGCTCAGGCTGCACCGAGCTGCGACCTCTTGTGGTCGTGTCAGGAACTGCATGTCTTTCATGAAGCACTTGAGCCAATCCCAGGACAATGGGGTGCCTGCCGCTTGGAAGGCCTGGGGGCAGAAGGTGATGCCCAGGTCAGTGGAGTTGAAGAAGAGCTAGGTGGTCAGCAGGTTAGAGGACAGTGGTCTGGGGGGCCTGAGACAGCAGCGAGAGAGGTGGGCCAGGCAGGCGGGCGGCATGGAGGGGTCGGGTGGGCAACCAGGTGCAGGGAGCCATCAGGGAGCAGAGGCCGGGTCAGAGCTGAGGGGCATGAGCCTGGTGGCCTCTTGGGGACAAGGGGCCTGGCTGTCCTGGGAGAGGCTGGTGGAGTTACCCAAACGCCTCCTGGTGGCCACGTGCACTAAGCCTCGGTGTCTCTTCTGCTGCCCCAGCCGCTGGCCGACGGTTCCTCCAACCCGTCTCTGCACGAAAATTTAAAGCAGGTGGTTCTGCCCAACCAGCCGATGGAGGCATCCCCGACCAGCAGTCTGGGGAGCCTGAGCCAGGCCGAGAAGGAGGACTGCAGCTCCTCGTCCAGCCTGCGCTCGGCCGCCAGCGACGACCGGCTCCTCAGCCGCACCTTCCTCCGGGCGAGCAGCTTCCCCGAGCTGCTGACCTGTGAGAGGTGAGGAGGGGCAGGCGGGCAGAGGCCTGGAACCAGGGATCCTGTCCTCACCCGAAGAGGGAGGGGAGGCCCTGAGAGCCGTGGACACCTAGCCACCCAGCATTTGAGTGGGACCCTGTATGCCTGTCGCTGGCCATGGGGTGCCGACCGGCATGAGGCTTATGGAGGCGGGCTCGAGCCTCCGGGGGAGCCACCAGGGGCCCCGGCGCGGCACGGCCGCAGCTTCTCCAGCTGAGTGCCTGCTGTGTGCTGGGCCCAGCGCTGAGCACTTTGCAGGGACCACCTATTGCGGGAACACAAGACCAGGCCTGTCTCGTTGCCTGCCTGGTCTCTCCGGCCGGTGTGAGCCTGGCGCAGGGTCAGCGACGAATGCCATATCTGCCATGTATAATGTGCACTTTTTGCCACATGCAAATTTTTTAGGGAAAAATAAGGATGCGCATTATACTTGGGTAGTACTAACTCCCTATCTATATAAACGTTTTTAATTCTTTTATGTATGCTTGTGCATTAACAGTGTAACTCTAGAAAGCCAAAACAACGTCCAAGTGCAAAGTAATAACCTGGAATATGATGATCCATTTTGTTTCTAAATATAAATAAATAAAAAATTGAATTGGAAAACTAAAACAAAAGATTTTTTTTCCCCTGAACGTTTGGGCCAAAAGCGTGGGCACGCTTTACACATGGACGCACATTACACACGGCAAAATACGGGCACCTGTTTCAGCCAGTGAGTTAATTCCTCCTATCAATGCTATCGGGTAGGTGCTATTTTTGTCCCCATTTTATGAAGAGTAAAGTGAGTCCCAGAGAGGCCGAGTGACTTGCCCCGTGTCACACAGCAGATGATGCTGGAGCCCAGGTTGCCCCCACCTTTTGTCTCCGAAGCCCACGCTCAGTGCCCTTAAACCCCCAGCCCAGAGCATGTGGCACGTGCCCAGGAAACGCAGTTGGCAGGTGTGTGGTCGTCCTCGGACCTGGCTGCTCTGAATTCTGGTGCGTCCAGCGGCCGTGCACACAGTCCAAGGCTGTAGAAAGAGCAGGCTCAGACCCTGAGCTGGCCGTGGACCCTGCAGGTGGCTTGGGGCAGGAGGGACTTCGCTGAGCAGGAGCCTCACTGGCTCGGCTCGCCGGGAGGGGCAGTTTCTGAGCATTTGGATTTAGAGAACGTCTAACAGTTTGGATGGATGGTAGTCACTTAAGACACATTTATTTACACCCCACTTCTCCTCTGTCCCTGTGACCGTGTGACCAATCCTTAATTTCCCTGACCTTCAATTTCCTGAGTCTGTTTCCTCCTCTGTAAAATAGACACAAGAGCGTCTACCTTTCTGCCCTCTGGAAGGTGACATATGATGCTAGACATGCAAGTGACCGGGAGGAAGCGTCAGTCTCAATTCCCCCCTTCCAGCTCTTCCTGTTTCGTCTTTGAAGTCCAGGCAGTGGTTTCCCTCTGGCCGCGGCTGGGTGCCAGGCAGCTCCCGTGGTTCCTGTCTTGTGAACCGGCGCTGGCTGTCGGGGACCTCCGCGCGCTGCCCAACCTAACATCTGGAGCAGGACGCACATGGCTTGTACTGAGGTGTGGCCACTCTCTGCACCTCAAACACGCTGAAGGTCTTTTCTGTCTCTCTGGTGACGTTGCAGCGCGGACCTCGACTTGTGCATCTATAACCTTCACTTAAAAGATCTGCGGCAGCTGGACACGGCGCTGAGGCAGGACCGGCACTCGGTAGGTGGCGAGGTGGGCCTGTCGCCCTTTCACGGCGCGGGGACTGGGGCACAGGCTTCGGCACCCTATGTCCCGGAGACCCTGGGGGACGGGCGTGGGCAGCAGCGGAGCCAGCACAGCAGGAGTGGAGAGCGACACTCAGCACAGACTCCAGAGGGCAAAGCAATCCCTTCCACTGGTGGGCGCCAGCTTGGCTTTACCCAGAGACAGACAGACAGAGAAGCAGGAGGAGGGATAGGAGGAGGAGGAGAGGGAGGGAGGTGCCACTGTTTAAACTTTTTGCTATATTTCCTGTTTTGGAAATATAGATGTTTATTCAGACTTTAAAAATGTGCCTCCTTGACGTTTTTCCGAAAAAGAAGTCTGATGATGAATTCTACCAGAAGATTCTTTCAAAACAAGAAAATGTAAGTCCTCAACCTATTATTTCAAGGTAACTGAAAAATGGTGTATTACAATACATAAAACTTGTGAAAGTGTTTTTGTTTTCATGTATAGGAAGTTTATTACAATGTACACTTTTTAACACAACATAGAGACATAAAAATATGTGTGCCGGTAATAAAGATAACAAAGTGTATTTTTAAAATGCCAGATATATTGGAAGCAGAGAACAGAGAAGGATGTTGGTCATATTCACTATCAAAGGGAATCACTACTGATGCTTTCGCTGGCACAGGCTTGGGGTATTTTTAAATATATAATTTTCCAGATCTTCATAAGGACTGAAAGATCCTATTTTACTGGTGATTAAGTGTGGTCTCTTTTTTGTGGGCGGTGAGGAATATAGAGGAAAAGAATCCATTATTCTTCAGGCTCTGTATTTAATGAGAAAAGTAGATTTTTGTCACCAAGGCTTGAACAGGACAACACCCAGGGCATTTAATTACGGTGAAGAAATACAACATGATAATGAGAAAAATAAAAGCATTTCTTTTTCTAGAGTTGAAGACAGATCAGATGTTCGTCTTTGTTTTCTTTGGCTTTTTTCAGGATTTGCAGGAATTGGAAAAGGGACTTCAGGCCAGACTGTCCGACGCGGAGGCGCTGGGGGCGGGCGCCTCGGAGTTCATCGCTCTGGCCGACGTGGAGAAGAAGGAGCGCGAGTGCTCCGAGCAGCTGCTCGACCACGTAGGTGCCGGGCCTTCCTCCTGCGCGGCCCGGGTTCCGCCGGGGAGCGGGAAGAAGCGGGTGGGCCCGCGCATGCGCGTGGAGTGGGCATTCCCTGTCGGCTCTGCCCTGCGGCCAGGGCTCAGCTTGTGTGAAGCAGGAAGACCGAGAAGGTCTAGTGAAGGGCCAAGGTTTTCTTATTTTAAACCAATGTGCCTTGTTTACGTTTTAGGTGGACATTTTTATCCTTCAAAGCAAAGACTGCCCTCGCTCTCTCTGTCCTTAGCCGGGGGGCCGAGGGGGGGGCGGGGAGGTGAGAGCGGACGCCAGCCCCTGGCCTCTCACACTGCGGGCCTCGCTGATAAAGCGTGACTACAGAGAGGGTGGCTTCCTTCATATGCCCCCTTTTTGCATTTGGGTTCCTTCCACACCCCCCTGTTCGCATGTTATGTCTTAAACAAACATTTGCTCGGCACCCAGGCACTGTGCTGGAGCCTGGGGCGTCAACATGACCCTAGACCTGGCCCTGCCCGGGAGATGGCCAGGCCAGCCTGCGGGTGGGGACCGGCGGTGGGCAGATGTGGGCTGTATGGGCTGCAAATGTGACAGGTGGGGACACAGGGGAAGGCCGCGCACAGCGGAGAGAGCTCTTCCTTTCAGGCCAGGGTTGGGCAAGTCTTCCTCGAAGAAGGGCCCAGGAGACTCCTTGGGAAGACACAGCAGGCGGCTGAGGAGGGCGCCGGGGAGGGCCCTGGCCCGCGGGCTCTCTGCCAGGGGGGGGCCCCTTCCTGTTCTAGAAGGTCATGGCCGGGTTGCAGGGCTAGTGCAGGAGGAGTCCCCTGAAGGCGTTTGCAGCAGGGACGGGTCGGAGCTCGCAGGGTGGCATCTAATGAGGTGGGGGGAGAAGAGGGTGCAGGGGGTCAGGTCCATGGAAACAAGGACCCCAGAATGAGGACCAGGCTGGGGGTCGGGGGATGGTGAGTCCAGCTGGGCGACCTGGAGGTGCCTGGGGACGAGTGTCCCCCAAGCTCAGGTGGGAGGACAGGGAGAGCGAGCACATCCTTAGGAGGAGACGGGGAAGGGAGGGTGCTCGGCCTGGCCGGGCGGCGCCCAGACTCCGCGGGTGGTGGGCCATCTCTGTGCCTGCACGTTTCAGGCAGAGGGTGTGTAGTTCTCAGAAGAGCCTCTCAAGTGTTGGTGACCTCCAACCACAGGAACGCCTCCGGCCCCGGAGCGTGGCGGCTGGGGGGGGCGGGGTGGGCAGAGGAAGGAGCCGGTGCTAGATCTTGCATCCTGGCCGCAGCTAAGGCACAAGGGAGGGCCCGGGAGAACCAAGATGGGACGGCTGAGCAGGGACGCGGAGGAACCAGGAGAGACCATGTCACGACGCCAAGGGGAGTCGGGGCTTGCAAGAAGGATGACTGAACCTCTTGGCTCTCGGGTTGGAGGAGAAGCCGCAATGCTGGCTGGACATGGAACGATTTCCGGGTGCATAGGAGCTCATGGACGGTCGTCCACGCCCCAACCCGGCCGCCGGAAAGGAGGCCATGTGATGGGCCAGAGGGTCAGGGGCCGGATGTACGAGCTGCTGACCGGGGGCAGCCGAGGGTGTGCCGAGCGGCCCGGAGGCCCCGAGGTCGGGGAGCGGACCTTTGAGGAGGGGTCAGTCCCCGCGGGCGCGGGCTTCCTCCGGGCCGGGCCCAGCCCTGGGAGCAGGCTGGCCAGATTGAGTCAGGCTCCGGTTGTCGATTCTCTCCAGCTTCAGCCACAGCAGCAAGATCGGTGCGGGCCTGGGGCCCCGGACCCCTGACCCCTGTCCAGCAAGATCGGCGTGGGCCTGGGACCCCTGCCCCCGACCCCTCCATGCCTGTCCAGCAAGAAGCGTCTGTCTCAGCGTCAGAGACGTGGAGCCGAGGCGGAGGAGCTCAGAGCCGGGGCCTGCACGGACCTGAACCAAAGCTGCCTCTGCCTCTCTTCAGCCCTGGGCCTCAGACAAGGGACCTGTCTTCCTGAGCCTGTGCATGAGGCACATGCCCTGCCTGCCATTCAATAAAAGAGAGTGGCTGAGACTCCTGGTGACGTTGTTCGTTGTTCTCGAGGCCACAGCGACAGCCGTGACACCCAATGCTCTAAGCTCCCTGGCAGCTCCCAGCTCTGCCCCCGAGGGCGTGGGGGAAGGGGGAAGACATTGACACGGAATGTGGTCACAGCCGGCAGCCTCTCCACCTTATCCTCTTTGGCGCTTTTAGGACAAGAACTAATATTTAAATGGCCATTCGTGCTTTTGTTTCCAGAACACATTGAATCCCTTGTAAAGATCTGGGAGCTTCCCAGAGCAAACTGGAATTCCGTGCGCCCGCCACCGGCAGGAAGCAGCCCTGCGAAGGGCCCTTCCCCTGGAAGCTGGCGGTCCCCTGCGCCGTCCTGCCCCGGCAGCCGCCCGTGGCTGTGTGCTGAAAAGCCGCCCTACGCTGACCGGCACCTGCGGCAGCCGGAGGAGAGGCCTCCAGGGAGCGTGCTTGTGGCCAAGATGAACTTGCTCCCGAGTGTGGATGGTTTTGAATCTCAGCTTGTGATACAAGGAGTGAATCGAAATTCCCAAGCCTGAACCAGATAGCTTTATAGCTTTGCTAACTAAGTGTTCTCCCCCCGCCTCTTGCTTCTCCTTCTCATTTCGCAGATGGAAGCTTTCTGGAAACACATGGGAAACATCCAGCACTTGCTCGTGGACCAGTTTAAGTGTTCCAGCTCCAAAGCCCGACAGCTCGAGATGAGCCTGACAGAAAGAATGATCGCAGCGGAGGCGCGGCTGCGTGACTCCCAGGACCTGCAGGCTCTGGTACGCTGCAGGGGGCGGGGAGGGACGCAGAGGGACGTAGTCAGAGCCGTGGGGTCAGGAATGCTGGAGTGCTGTACGGGTCATTAAGGTGAACGCCTTTGTGTGGTAGAGGGGGAGAGAGAGCCCAGGGAAGAGCCATGGTCCTTCCATCCTTCCTTCCATCCATCCACCCATCATCCATCCATTTCTCCGTCCATCCATCCTTCCACCCATCCTTCCCTCCACCTACCCTCCGTCTCTCCATCCATCCTTCCATTCATCCATCCATCCACCCTCCCTCCCTCCCTCCCACTCTTCCACCCTTTAACCCCTGCATCCCCGGCATGTAGACGCCAGGCGGGCTCCATGTTCCCACAGCGCAGAGCACTGCTTCTCAGCACCAGCTGCACGTTTAAATCCCCTGGGGAGCTTTAAAAGGGACTGATGCTTGGGTGCCGGGGAGTCCCCACCCCGGAGACTCTGATTTCATCCGTTGGGGGCTTTCAGAGCTCCAGGCAGCCACGGTGAGCCGTCCTAGGCGATGCCCACGGGGGTGAGCTTTGGTTCCCTCTCCGACCCGCCTCAGGAATCACCCAGGGAGCTTTCAGAACTTCCTCTGCCTGGGCCCCGTGCCCAGCGGTCCTGCCCGAGGGGTTTGAAGTGGAGGCCCTGGCTCTGCCAGTTCTAAAACTCCCCAGACAGTCCTGATGTGCAGCCCGGGGAGCGGACCCCGGCGCAACGGCGTCTGCAAGTCCACCCGCGGCTCTAGGCCCAGCCCCTGGAAGCTGCTTATCATCAACTGTCACTCCATCCCTGTGAGCCTCAGCGACTCTCTTTATAAAAGAATGGCCCTAGGAGCTGTCGCAGAGGAGGCCCGTGAAGGGCTTGGTGACCTGTAACACCCTCGTCACCAGGGGGTTTCTCTGGGGAGGTTTGGGGCTCCCTTGCCTCTGACCCAAGGAACGAAGTCGCGCCTCACATTTCCGACTTGCGTGCCACCGTGCAGGGCGGAGGCTTCCACCCTGGCTCGGAAGCCTCCGGCGGCCGCCCTGCCCCCAGCTCAGAGACCCGACTGCTCAGACCCGTGAAGCGGGTCCTGAGGAGCCAGGGCGGGTTCCTGCGGCTTCTCCACAGGCCCTCTCGCCCTAAGGGCGGCCTGCAGGCCTGAGAGCTGGTCAGAAATGCAGCACCTCCCCACCCGCCATCAAGCGGCCCGTGTTAACAGATGCCCCGGTGCACACGGCTGCTGGAGGGCTTTGTGTGGCTGTTCCCATGCGGAGCACACGGCCTTCTCAACCGCCTCGGCGCCTCGAGAAGATAGGCAGGTGTCATTCTCCCAGTGAGTGGATAAGGAGCCCGCTAATGACCCTCCGAGGACTCCCCCTGCCAACAGCATCGCCCAGCCTGCGCCCCGCGCTCCCCGGTTTGCCGTCCGAGCCCCTTTGAACTGGATTTCAGTTGGATCAGTTTGCTGATAGGAATGCTCGTCAATAGATAAAGACTTTTCCTTTTCTAATTTTTCTTTTTATTATAACCTGTCAGCAGGATAGCGAGGCAGGGGGAAAAAATGCATGCTTAGCAGACTCTGGCCCAAGCATTCGCCAGAAACTTGCAAATAGAAAGAAGGGAAAGAATTATCTGGCTGCTCAGTACGCTCTTCCGTCAGCCAACATCCAATGAGCACCTACTGGGGCCACATTCTGTCACAGAAACGGTACCGCGGACTCGGGCCAGGAAGCTGAGTGCGTACCCCAGCCCTGCCACTTGGCAGCAGCGTGCCCTTGAGCAGTTACTCAGCCTCTTTGTGACTCAGGTTCGTCCTCCATAAAACGGGATCAGAGTGGCAGCTGCTGAGACAGGCTTAGAGTTCGGACAGTAGGTCAGAGGCCAGCGAGAGAAGCTGGCACATGGGAAGTGTGCACGTGTGTTAGTGGTTAGACTCCTGCAGGCCACGTGTCAGCAGGCAAAATAGTCGTCAGCCATCACGGCGATGCCCGGGAAGGGCTGCAATGGGCGCCTCTGTGGGTGGGGCCAGGTTAGCTCCGCCCACCTCCACGCAGGCCCCACCCCACGCAGCCAGGGCTCTGCCATTGACGAACTCCAGAACTTCAGTTCTTGGGCCAGCATCCGAGAACCTGGGCACGTGGACCCGGAGCGTGTCCCGTGACCTTGGTGACTGTCAGAACAGAGCCCTGGAAAGCGCCCTGACAGTTATCCGTCAGTATCCGTCTCTTGGGGCGTCGGAGGCCAACAGGAAGCCATGGGCGGCGAGGGGCCCGGCTGCAGACGGTGAGGAGAGCAGCCGCGTCCCTGAGCACCCACTGTGTTCTGGCTGCTGTGTGAGCGTCTCTGCACCTTGTAACATATTTAATCGCCACAGCAGCACTGTGCATTAGGGGTCAGATGAGGACCCTGTGCCAAAGTCCTGCCGCTCTGAGGGTGGAGCCAAGTTCGATGGAGCCCGGGGCCCCTGTCTGGGGCCCCTGTCCGGGGCCCCGCTGCCCAAGCTCACTGCTCTCCCCTCCCGTCTTCCCTGCCAGAGCCCGCTGCCATTAACAGACCCAAGGTGTCCCAACCTCACGCGTGGCGTCTTTGTCTCCCTAGGACCTCCTGCAGAGAACGATGGGGCGGGCGCACCTGGCCAAGGGGGTCGAGTTCCTGAAGCAGCAAATCCAGGAGGAGACCAAGTCCCTGCTGGCCGCCATCTCCCGCAGCCTGGACGGGCTGACCGTCGAGGGGGCACTGTCCGCGGGGCAGAAGGAGGAGCTGCTCACTCGGCAGCACAAGGCCTTCTGGGAGGAGGCCGAGCGCTTCAGCCAGGGTGAGCGCGCGTCAGCGGGGCGCTGGCCTGGGGCGCGGTCCTCCGGGGCCACCAAGCTGTGGGCTGTGGGGGGCAGGGCTGGGGGACAGCCCTTGTCAGGGCCCCGGTTCTGCCATGGGGGACCAGTCACTTAAACTCTCTGAGCCTTGCTTGCTCCCTCCATAAATCAGGTAAATACGAGCCCCCTCCTTGGTCAGGGCTCTCCCGCTCCATGTGGTCGTCTGTGACTCAGGCTGACAGAGAGCCCAGGGCCTTGCGGGAAAGGCACCCGGACCATGCAGAGGGCTGCAGAGGGCGGGCATGCCCAGAGGGGACACGTGCCCCTCCGCTGCCGCCAGCAGCCCTGCACACGTCACAGGCCCTACGTAGCTGCCGGGTGGGGCGTGCGAGGCGGGAGAGGGCACCCGACGTGGCCGTTTCCCACACGCCATCCTGCTCTGCTCCTGGGCGACTCTGGGAGCGGCCGGTAAGGGCTGCAGACTTAGTCCCGGCCAGGCCTTCGGTGGGACCACAAGGAGAAACCCCGGCCTCTCACCTGCGGGGCGGGCACCTCTGCGCCAGCTTCCTCGCACCCTGGGCAAGAGGGCCCATGGGTGCTGGTCCGAGGCTGTGCGGCCCCGGGGGCCTGGATAGAGGCACAGAGCGGGGCCTCTCAGGGCTCGTTGGGGTGTCTATAGGGGGACTGTGTGCCTAACGAGTTCTCCAACAGGCTCTGGCCCAGCGCGGGCCGGGACCCCGTAACTCGGGCCACCGCAGCTCACCACAGACAAGGGGCCTGAGCAACCGACATTTATTTCTCCCAGTGCGGGAAGCTGGAAGTCCCAGATGGGCGCGCCAGCAACGTGGCTCCTGGGGACGGCCCGCTCCCCGGCCCGCACGCAGCTGCTCCTTGCTGGGCCTCCCGTGGCAGAGAGACGGCTCTCTCACGTCTCCTCCCCTTCTGAGGCGCCAGCCCAGTGCCTCACAGCCCGAGCCTCATGCCCCCATGTAACCCCGACGACCTCCTTAAAGGCCCCATCGCCAAATGCAGTCACCACAGGAACTTGAGGGGACACCGTTCAGAGCGCGTTGAGCGCGGGGCCGGGTCCTGACCACAGGCTGGCGCTGGGCTCGGCACGCTGCTGGGCCGAGGGCCCCGGGCGCGGCGGAGGTCCTGTTACCCCAGTGCCCTCTCCCCGGTCCACCTGCCCCAGCCCCCGGGGGAGCTTGCGCTGGGGTTGGCCCTCCTCCCAGGCTGCGGGTCTCATAACGCATCCTCTTGGTTTTTGAATCTCAGCTGTGGTCTGAAACAGTGCCATCTTCCTGCCGACTCGGGCTCTCTGTCCCTTCCTGTCACCTGTCCTTCCCTGTGCCCCCTACACCTCCCTCATACTCTCCGCCTGTCATTTATCTTCTGGTCCAGTCGGCTGGCCGCCCTGCAGGGCAGCTAAATATACAGTCCCTGTGGCATCCTGAGCGTCAGGCCCACGGGGCGGTGGGGGTCCCTCCAATTCACACAGGGCCGGGGGCTTTGAAGGGCCAGGGACCCTAACGCCAGCCTCTTGGAGGCACATGAACCCGAACAGCACGACAAAAATCCGCCCCCAAGCTCCACCCCCTCTTCATGCTGAGAGGAAGCCAGTGCACGTTTTGGCAGGAGAGTCACCGGGGACACCCTGTGGCTTGTTTCTATTTCAGAGTTTGTCCGGCGAGGCAGAGATCTGGTGCAGGCGTCGCGGGTTCGTCTGGCGAAGGGGATGGCCGCGCTGACGCTGGCCCAGGAGGAGGAACGGAGGAACTTCCTGGCGGAGGCGCCGCTCACTGCTGACCCCGAGGGGTTCCTGCAGGTGACCCAGCCGCTGACCCAGCCGCCACATCTGCGGGCACGTCTGCCCCGGGAGCGGCCATGCTGGCTGACCGCGGTGTGGCTCAGCCTGGTCACCAGGCAGGCGAAGCTGGAGGCTGGGGCATCCAGCAGGCGGGAGGTCAATTCTGGGCCTCCCATGTGCCAGCCCAGGGACCTCGGCCAGGCTCTCTGAGCCCTGCATCCCTAGCTTCCCGGCCCACAAGCCAGTGCTGAGGGCTCCGTCGGGTGGGCCTCCCCCCGGCCTGGGCGGTGGTCTCCAGCAGCAGAAGTCAGGGAATGCTGCACGGGGGGCTCGTGCCCAGGAGAGAGCAGTCGCAGGGGGCCTGGTAGCAGCCCCCACACGGGGCTGGACAAGCGCACGGTCTGGGGTGTCCTGGAGACTGGGCTCGCTGGTCCTTGCCCGGGCCCCAGTTTGCAAGCCGCAGGAGCCTCTGGACCCGGGGCCTCACTCTTCCTGAGTGTACGCCGTGGGCGAGCACCCTTTAGGTCTGAGAGGCAGGGGTCAGATGGGGAGACTTTTCTGGGGGGGGAAATCTGCCTTTCTCTATCAGACTCGGCCCCTGTTTTCACTCGCAGGCTTTCCATGAGGTGCTGGAGAGGCAGCGGCTGACACGCAGTGACCTGGAGGAAGAGGATGACTTCAGGGCCGCCGAGGCGGCGGCTGCGCTCTGCCAGGTACGTGGGCTCCCGGTGGCCCGGCCAACACGCCTCCGGATCTGAGTGAGCGTGAGAACCCCGCAGCCGCCTGGGCCCAGGCCCCCGAAGCCCAGACCTGCCCTGTGTTTTCTAAGGGTGGTGCACACAGTGGCCTGTAGGGGGCGGAGCTGGAAGCAGGGACCCTGGGGAGGCATCGCGCTGGTCCAGGCAAGGGTCAGCGGGGGCCTGGCGGGGATGGCACAGGTGGGGCGGTGAGAAAGCGCGAGGCCAGGGTCTGTTCTGGTGGTCAACATCTCAGTTTCCTCCGTTAAAATGGGGGTAATAAGCTTTCTCCAAGCCTCGCAATGTGTTAGGACTATTATTATCCTCACGGTCTAGGAGGGCGTGTGGACTTGGGAGGGCGTGTGTGCGTGGGAGGGTGTGTGTGCCCCGGACGCGCTCACGGGGTCGCTCGCCTCTCAGCCTGGCAGGCCCGTCCCAGACCCGGTCGACAGGCATAACTCGTCGCTTTCTCTGGGCAGGACACCCACCGTGCTCCTGTGGGCATGGCGGCTGGGAGGTTGACTTGATGGCCACCTAGCAGTCCCCAGGCTGCCGAGAAAAGCGCGTTTTCCTAAATCCCCGCTGTCTCTTGACCTTTAAACAAACAGCAGAGTCTCAGCTTGACGGAGACGGATGCCACTAAATGGCAGGCCGTGGCACCTCGTGATTTCTGGCCCTGTCCAGAGCGGTCCTGCAAGGACAGGCGCAGCGCTGAGGGCCGCGCAGACCTGCTTGCTCTCTGGGGTTTCGTTCCTGGCCCTCCCGCTCACGCTCTGTCTCTTGAGAGCCTCCCGGGGGTCCGAGGGGGGCCTGGTGAAGTGACAGACGCGCCGCGCCTCCAGCTCTCAGGAGGAGTCAGGGCGAGGAAGGGTCGAGAAGGTGAAACTCTGGCCTCCAAGGAGGCGGAAGTAGCAGACACCGATAGAGGGGTCAAGACTGGGCTGCACGACATCCCTCACCTCTGATCCGAAGGGCCAGTCCAGGCGCCCGAGACCACCCGCTGGTCCTTTAATTCTCTAAAGGACGGGCCGGGAGCCGTTCTGCTCAGTCAGGCGCTACTGCAGCAGAAGGTACCGATTCGAGCCAGCCAGAGACGGGCCCGGGGGGCGGAGCCTGGGGTTCCCAGCGTGAAGCTTCCAGTGCCCTGTCCCAGCAGAGGCCTGGGCAGCCCTCGCCTCCTGAGGGGACCTGTGACCTTGAACACTGCGCACCGCCCACCAAGGAAGCTCCCTCGGGCCTTGCTGTCCACGCTTTTTATCAGGACGTAGCCACACGGACGTGCTCGACCACGTGTGTGCTGGCCTTGGCCTCCAGCCCCTGCGGGTCGAGCCGACACCACATGGCCAAGGCCCCCACCCTGCATCCTATCATGATCACAGACTCTTGGACGAGGCCCGAGACCCCCAGTAATCAAAGACCTTCTTGTCCGGGAGGACATTCCAAGGACTTAGAGGCCACGGTCCCGGAACCAGGGCAAAGGTCAGGCCTCTGTTTCAACAAGGTCTGTTCTTTCAAGCTCAGCAGTGAACGGTTAAGGCCGTTCAAGGTCACGCAGCTGGGGAGCCTGGATTCAGGCCTAGGGCTCCTGACTTTCAGGAAGGGAGAGTAAAGTATTGGTGAGCAAGGGAAGGGAGAGGAATGTGCAGCCTGCCCCGTCCCCCGAAAGATGCAGCTGGGCCCCCAAGGTCTAGCCCAGGGGTGAGACGATGGGGCGGTCTGTCAGAATGGATCACTGAGTGAGTAAACCAGCGAAGGAGTGAACCAACTGAAATGCTGGCATTCGCAGGACGGTGTTTGTTTCCTGTGGCGGCCGCAACAAATTAACACACACTCAGTGGCTCAGACAAGACGGGGTGATTACCTTGCAGCCCTGGAGGGCAGGGGTCCGAAGTGGGAGCCCTTGGGCTGAGGCCAAGGCGCCGGCAGGGCTGCCTCCCTGCTGGAGGCCCCAAGGGAGCATCTGTTTCCCAGACTTTTCTGGCGTCCGGGGGCACCCCCCTGCCTTGGCTCGTGGCCCCTCCTCCGACTCAGAGCCGGAGACGCTGGGCTCCTGCCTCCTCTTGCTCTGACTTCCCGCCTCCCCCCTTCTCTTATAAGGACCCTTGTGACTGCATTGGATGCACCTGGGTAACCCAGGCCCACCTTTCCGTCTCAGGGCCCTTGGCTGACTCACGTCTGCACGACCTCGTTGGCTGTGGAAGGGGGCGTATTCCGGGGCTTCAGGCACAGACCTCGCAGGGAGCCATTACGTTGCCTGCCACAGACTGCCCTGCTGCGACAGAGGGCGAATCAGTTCGCGTGTCCCTTTATCCAGGCTAAAGGACGATGCGTCGTCACTAAGGACGCAGAGCGTGAGAAATGCAGACCGGCACATGCAGGTCTACCTCTGAGGTAGCCAGCTAGGGCAGCGCGGCCCTCTGCTTTAACTAAACAAAGCCGCTGGGGGTAGTAAGTTACGTTTATCTGCAGAGGTAAAACGTGCCAGAGCCTTCATGGCACTAGCTGCTGCCTGATTTTACCACTCCTTCCTTCCGGTGAGTCTCCCGAGCAGCTCACCTCCCTGCAATGAGGTGCCAAGGAGAGGAGAGTCGCTCAGGGCCCAGCCAGACCACGTGGGGGCCCCTTCGGGCCGTGCGCCAGCCGCGTGGCCCTTTGCTTATGGCTTAGCCTCTCTGATCTAGGAATTCTCAGCTGCCTTCCTTGTAGATTGATCATGCGAAAGGAGTCACTTAACTCCCCAAAATGCCCCCCACAGCCCTCAGGATGCAGCCTAGCACCCGTACCCTGGCTCGTGATGGCCAGCCAGCCTGGTCTGGGAAGCTCCCACATGGCCAGACCCACGAGACCCACCTGACGTGGCCCCACAGACGCGCGCAGTGTGGCCCATGAGGCCCAGCCAGCCCCCGCGCGGCCCTCCTGCCGGGGCCCACAGGCCTGCATGAGCCGGCCCACCCGCCGCCTGTCCGGGGTCACGCCCCTCGCCCCCCTCCTGCCAGCCAACCTCAGACACCCCTCAGCTCCCCAGAGGCACCCCGGTCCCTCCTACCCCGGGCCTTGCCCATGCCTTTCCCTGCCTGAGACACGGGTCCTCCATCCCCTCAGGTTTGCTTGTCCTCATTCTTGTCTCCATTAAAAGTCGCTTTTTCAGAGAGCGCTTCTTGACCCCTCCCCAGGTTCCCAGTCAGACGCCCTGGGCTGCGCCCTCCCGAGGTCCGGCCGTCCGCCTGTGCCCTGCCCCGCCCCCCGCCCAGAGCCCACATCGGTGCTGGGGGGACGTGTGCGGGAACCCCCGTGGCGGCAGCGAGACTAGAATGTCTCCGCACCGAGCGGCAAAGGGTCCCTGCCGTCGGGGACGCGTCCCGGGAACCGCGGCCACGCAGAGTGACAGCAGTGCACCCTCCGGGTCAGTGCGCCGGCCAGAGGGCAGCGGCGGAGGCCGCGCTCGAGGAGCACACCGGGCTCTGCCCGTCTCTCGTCAGACCAGCGGGCTAGCCCGCCAGGTCAGAGGTCGGAGGTCAGCCCGCACCCTAGCACACCCTGCACCCATCTCGTCTCCGTGGCCAACACAGGCACATGACTGAACCCAAAGCTAAAGGACAGGAAGAACCTCCCCACTCCCCAGGGTGGTGGGGGGTGAAGGCCCTGCAGAGTCAGGGGACAGAGGCGGTGCCGGGGAGCGGGGGCGGCAGGAAGCCTGCTCCGCGCCGGGCCGTCCCCTCGCTCACTGCACCGTATTTCGCCGTGTAGCATGCTCTCCCGTGTGTAGCGCGCGCCCACGTTTTTGGCCCAAACTTCCAGGGGAAAAAAAAAAATCTTCTGTTTTAATTTCTTAATTCAATTATTTATTTATTTATATTTAGAAACAAAACCAATGACCCTATTCCGGGGTATTATTTTGCATACGGATATCGTTATTGCTTTCTGGAGTTACATTTTTAACGCAGATGCGTAAGTAAAAGAATTAAAAACATTCATATGGGTACGGAATTGGTACTACGCATGCATAAGGCACATCCTTATCTTTCCCTCAAAAATCTGGGCAAAAACGTGTGCATTATACATGGCAAAATACAGTAATCAACCCTCGAGGCAGATATTGTGCTCACAGATGTGCACGCCTCCCACAGATGAGAAAACGGAGACCTCCTTGTCCAGGCCCCAGCGGTGCGCCCCTCCCCCGCCCCAGTCTTTTCTCCGCTGGAAGCCCAGGGCAGGCGATCGGCCCCTGGGGCGGGGAGCCCCCAGGGAAGGCACAGAGGAGGGACGAAAGCTGGCCTCGATGTGGGTCCCCTAGGCCCCGTCGGAGGGGCAGTGCCGGGCCGAGGCCCGTGGCCAGCCTCCCTGCCCCCTCCAGGTCCTCACCCGTCGGTCCTGACCCGCGCACAAGCCCCAAGGCACGTGCCGCACGTTACTGCCGGTTCTATTTCAGGCCCGGAATAAATCAGTCTCCCAAACGAAATGCGTCAGCATTGAGCGGCCGCGAGCGGTGTGCTTTACGGCCTGTCAGAGCGTGTGACGGGGACTGCAGAGGTGGCTCTTTGCAGGGAGCAGTCAGGGCCCCCGCATTTTTTATTAGAAAGGGCCTAGGTTCATCAGCCATGTAGCGTTTACACAAGTTAACCTCTCTTGAATGTGTAGACCGCATATCTTTGTGGTTTGACGATCATGAAGGCAAAGGGAAAAGGTGGGTCCCCAGCCACTGCTATGGAATGATCGCGTCCAAGGAGGGAGAATCAATTTTAAAAGCCTGTCTCCTGGCCGGACACTGGGCCTTGCAGAGGCTGGAGGAAAATGTAACTCGGTCCCATGCGTTTAACCCGTGTTTCATTGTGACTTGTAACACGCATGAAGAAGCGGGCACGTGAAGCTGCGGACGGACACATGATTATCACAGCTCCGTCCAGGAACCGTCACCAGGTGACGGCAGGGGCATAGCCAGGCCCCCAGAAGCCCCCGCACACCCCCTCCTAACCCCAGGACCCCCCACCCATGGGAGCCAGATCCTGGCTTCTTCGAAAATCTGTCCCTTGCATCGGTACCGATGGAACCGTGTGGCCTGTGCTCCCGTGGGTCAGATTTCCTTCGCTCTTCCTGATACTTGTGACAGTCACCCGTGTTGTCACGCGTAGCAGTTCATTGTTCCCCATCGGTCTGTGTCAGTCCATCGTAGAAATGTGTCACCGTTGACCCTCTCCGCTGTTGACGGACATTGGCGTGGCTTCTTCGTTTAGACAGGTTTGCCTTCCGCGGACATCAGCCTTCCCGTAGGTGCTGCCTGGTGCACACGTGCGCGCGTGTCTCCTGGACAGAGACCGAGGAGCAGGGTTGCCGAGGTCAAGACTGTGTGGAGGTTCACTCCTCAGTCTCCATAGTGACTGATAGAGCCACCAGTTGGATTAGCATTTGTAACATTAGAGGTATTTTGGTTAGAATTAACATCTCTCCAATATCAGTGCTCCAGTCCAGAAACGTGGTATTCCCACTGCTGTTATTAAAGTCTTACTTAATTTTTCTTAATACTATTCTATAATTTCCACTCTTAGGTAAAATGTTTGCTATAGTTTCGTTTTTTTTCAGATTAAGGAATTTCCTTCCATTTCTGTTTAGCTAAGAGTGTTTCTTATGCGTGAAAATTAAGTTTTGTAAAATCTTTTTTCCTCATCTAGTCACATAATCACTATGATACTTTTCTGCCCTATTCTGTTCTTGGAGCAGATGACATTGATTTGAGCAATGCCATTAAGTGTATACAAATTTCAACTTTTACATCTTCCTGCTGCATTTAGCCTTTTAGCGTTACGGAGCAAACCCCTTTATTTCTAGTCATGCTTTTTTCCTCAGAGACTATTTCATCTACTATTCGTGTAGCAAAAAGTGACCTTATGTTTATGAGGTTCTGGTGATAGGCTTAGCCATTCGTTTTCAAAATAAATGTGCGCGAGCGCACCGGGGCTGGAATCGGCGGGCCCGGCCTGCGCGAGGCCTCCGCGGTGAAAAGGGGCTCGTGCTCGGCCTCTCTGCCGCCACACAGGTGAAGCCTCGGTGTCTCACCTGTAAATTTCTTTCATCAGTTTTGGGAAATGTCTAAGCCGTTATCACTGCAGATAGTGCTTCTACCCAGGCTCTCTCTTCTCTCCTTCGGGGAATCGAATTAAAAATGTTGGATTTTTCTCATTGCATCTTTTATGCCTTTATCTCCTCCGTATTCTCCATCCTTAGGCTCTCCTTACTTTGTCTGGATTTTCTCCTGATCTGTCTTCCAGCATACCAATCTTCTCTTCAGCTGCATCTAGCTGTACATTAGGTTCATGAAATTGGGCCACATTCTTTGATTCTAAAAAGGCTGATGGGTGCTTTTTACACCAAGCAGTGTTACTTTTTATAACTGCTGGCTCCTTGCTTTAAGGTGAAAGAGTGGCTCTGGCCTCCGTGAGCATGGGAAGCGTCCATACCCCAAAGTCTGTGCCTTGTTGTCGTGCCACTGTCTGGACTGCCTGTGGGTCTGACAGGTGACCCTGCCGTGTGGCTCTCTCCGGTCCAGGAGCTGTACCGCAGCACTGCGGGAACCTTCCAGACGCTCGTGGACGCCCTGTTCCTGCAGACGCTCCCGGGCGTGACCGGCCTGTCCCGGGACACGTGTGAGTACCTGAGGCAGGAGACCCAGGAGGACGCGGCGCTGCAGCTGGCGGAGTCGGACCGCTTCCGGAGACGGCAGTGGGAGCTGTTCCAAGAGCTCTTGGAACGGGACACGCAGGTGCGGGCCCTTGTACACCAGGGCGGGAGCCCGCAGCTCCGGCAGGCAGGAGGGACAGCGAGAGCCTTCGCTCACCGAGCCTCTCTAGGGCCTTCGCCAGGCGCTTTACTAAGGTCCTGGTGCCAGCCTTCGCCGCGGCCCTCTGTGTGCACGGGGCGGTGTTGGGGGCAAAGCCCTTCTGTCCTAGGACAGGGAGTCAGCAGATAACGCCTTCAGCTGATCCCTTGAGATTGAGCAAGGCCAGTAAAATCTGTTCTTTAGAAAGAAAGAAACGACATAAGGTGGTTCACAGGGCAGCGGGCGGGGGTGGGGGGCAGGCGGATTAGGGGTTCCGCACACAGGACTCCTGTTTTACAGTGAGTCTATTTCCTTATCAAAACCATGTATACAGCCCTGGCTGGGTGGCTCAGTTGGTTGGAGCATCGTCCCGTACTCCAGAGGGTTGCTGGTTCAATCCCCGGTCAGGGCATACACCTAGGTCCTGGGTTTGATCCCTGGTCAAGGCATGTACAGGGGGTAACCAGCCGACCTTGCTTTCCCTTACATCAGTGTTTCTCTCTCTCTTTCTCTTTCTCTCTCTCTCTCAAACCAATAAACATATCCGCGGGTGAGAATTAAAAAACATGTGCACTAGGTAGAATAATGGCCTGCAAGGATGTCCACAGCCTCATCCCCAGAACCCGAATATGGTGTCTGACAGGGCACAAGGGCCTCTGCAGGCGTGACTGAGGATCTTGAGATTTGGAGCTTATTCTACATTATCTGGGCAGGCCCAAGGTCATCGCAAAGGGCTTTGTAGGGACAGCTGTGGTTTGTGGACAGACCCCTAACCTTGGGAGCTGAATGCCTGGGTTTGAGCCAGAGCAAATCTACTCAGCCCCGCCCCCCGCCCCCGGCCCCTCCCCCGTGCTGGACTTGAAGGTAGAGGGAGGGTCCGCAAGCAAGCCCAAGAATGCAGGCGCCTCTGGAAGCTGACAAGGCAGGGAGAGGAATCTCCCTCTAGAGCTTCCAGAAAGAATGCAGGCTTGCTGGTGATTTGGCTTTTAGCCCCTGGAGCTCCGTTTCAGACTTCTGACCCCCAGGACTAGAAGATAAGTGTGTGTTGTTTTAAGCTAGAAAGCCTGTGGTAATTGTTGCAGCCACCCCAGGAGGCTGATGCACCTGTACATAAGCGTCTGCACCTTTGACAAAGGAAGTGGCAGGTGATATTCTGTAGCCAAGGCTCTGGCTGTGCTGGTGCTGCCTCTGAACGCTGCTCGGGGCGGGTTCCCATGGCCTGGCCCCCAGACAGGCTCTGTCCCTGGTGATCCCAGAGACCCAGCCTGAGCGCACTCGCCGGCAGCATTTGGCCAACGCGGGCCCCCTCCTTTGTGAAACACTTGCTGACTCTCTCTTGTCCTGCCGCCTCAATGGCGGCTCCTCGCCTCTCCCTGCCCTGTGAGCGCTGAGCGCCCCGGATGCAGCCTGCGAGCCGCCTCCCTGCCGGCGCGCCCCCTTGGTGTTCCCGGCGCTCACACACCACTGTGTTACTCTTCTAATGCCGCAGAGCAAACAACTCCAAACTAGCACCTAAAACAGCACACGTTCAGTCTGCCCCCGTCTCCGTGGGCCACGACCCAGGCCCAGCTGGGCTCTGGGCTTCTCCCAGGCACCAGCCAAGGCTGCCGCCGCCATCTCGCCTGGAGGCCCGACTGGAGACCAGTCGCTTCCAAGCCCTCGCGTGGATTCAGCTCCTCCGGGGTGGCCGGGCTGAGGGCCCGCAGCTCCCACGGCCGCATCTCCAGGCCAGAGCCCCTCACCCGTGAACGCAGCTCTCTGTGCGCTCCGCACGGACATGCGCGAGGGACAGGCACATTCAGTGTGAAACAGACCGCCCGCCCTGGCCAGGCTTCCTCGCCTTTCTGTTTATCCCTTGCCCTCTTTCCCCTCGCCCCCACCTCCAGGCGATGGGGATCGGTGCGGGTCCCACCTTCAGTCTCACCCAGACTGCCCCCCTTCCGTCACCTCCGCTCTGAGCACCCTGGTCTGGGCCCCTCTTGTCACTGGGCCGTGGCCCGCTGGTCTCCCCGAGTCTCCCTTGCCCCTGTGGCCTCTTCTCAACCCCCAGCCGGGGTGCATTTAACATATACGATAGGCCACGGATTGCTAAGATTTTAAGTATATTTTTATAGATTTTAAATATATTTAAACATCCCCAAACACATTTTAAATGTATATTGACATCCCAGAAATGGAGAGCGTCTTGATTTAATCAGCAGCGATTTTTCTCCCTTAGTGATACCTAAAATAACTGTGCATCTTATAATCCCTGGCATATTAGATTTGGTAAAAGACACTTTGTTGCATCATGTCCCTTCTCGGCTCAAAATTGCCAGTGGCTTCTCTTCTCATGCAGCTTAAAAGCCAGAGTCCTCACCGGGCCCTCCCAGGACCCGTGTGTCGGGACCCGGTCACCCTCTGCCCTCCTCAGTCCCCCTGCCGGGACCCGGTGTCCCTCCCACTCGCCGGGCACAGCCCTGCTGACCCGTCGGCCTCAGGTCTCCGCTGCCACGTCCATGGCAGTGAGGCCCCCCTTGGCTGCGGGGCCCCGCCCCCACCCAGGGCGCCAGCGTTTGCCTTCGAATCTGCCCCACCTACAAACCCACCTGTTGATAGAAGGCTGTACAACCAACCCTTAGCCGTACCAAGCACACACTCTCAGTTCCCTTTCCCTTCCTCTCCTTCGTCCACGAATGTGTAAAACAGTCGGCTTACCTGAAACCACTAAATGGCCTGGTAGCAGCCCCCAGGGCCGGCGCCCCAGCCCGCTGAATGGCTGCTGCTCCCGAACGTCCCTGAGTTTGCACTGGAGAAGGGCGAAGAGGCGGGGGCGGGGGGAGGGGGGAGTGGGCGGGGAGCGGACAGTTGCAGCACCATCGGGTCTGATGGCCTTGGTCCCCTTGACCGTCCTCGAATCCTGTTGCTGATTTTGCCTGCATTCTCAAAACTCACCCCAAAGACCCCTGTGTACCTTAGTGACAACGCGAATGTACCTTTTAGGGAATCCTGACTGTAGAATCTTCTAGGTTCTGGGTTCCCAAGCACATTGGCAGGTTGTGGTAGACTCCTCACAGCAGGAGCCAGGGACGGACTTTAACACCACACACAGTGTGGTCGTGGGAGATTAAGCCTAAGTGTTACAAGTTACAACGCCCAGAGCGGAAGTCTAGGCGGCAGCGCAGGCTGTGGTCTAGCTGAGTTCTGTGTGCAGCCTGCGCCCTCTGCAGGCTACTGAGGGGAGCGCCCTCCGAGCAGCTAGAGTGGGTGAAAGGAAAGGACTCGGCGTAATGACTCCTTACCGAGCTTCGGGCTGGAACTCAGTCTGAACTGCGTGCACGTTCTCCTGATGGTACGAAACAGTCAAGGAGGGCACAGGAGGGCCACACAAGACTTGGCCTCAGGGAAGGGCAGACCTAGATGGAGTCCCTGCTCCACGTTTGGAATGTTTAACTAGGCGGCCTTGGGCCTCACAGGGGTTTCCCACAGAGAAGCCCATGTGGGAGATGCACTAACACCCGAAACTACGAAACGCACAGGGGCAATCCACCGTGGGAGTCAGCACACTCGGCGCGCACCGAGTTCAAGGCGCAACGAGCTCCCTGAGAACAGGGAGAGAGCAGAGCGCCGTGGGCACAGGCTCAGAGCCGGAATGGATCTGGGCCGGTGACTTACCATTTCTTACCCTCCATTACCTCCTCAGTAAAATGGGGCTGGTCATACGTACTTCCTAGGGCTGTCTTTCATGGGAGCTTTTAAAACACCTTCTTGGAGGGTAATTTTCATACGTTATTGTATGCGTGCGGTTCAATGGTTCTTAGTAAGCTAACCCTGTCCCCCCGTCCGGGGCGCAGGTGTGGATGGAGGAGCAGGCCCTGTCTGACGTGCTGCAGGCGCACCTGCACGAGGACCAGCGGAGCATCGCCCGCCAAGGGCTGGGCCGGCTCGGCGGCCTCAGCGAAGAGTGAGTACAGCTCTCGGACGGGGCGGGGCCTTGTGTCCCCTGCGGCGCTCCATGCCAGCCCTGGGGTCCCCCGCCACTCACAGGGTGGTTTTGAAACCAACCACGTTGTAAAGACAGGGAGGGGGAGAAGTAGGTTTTCGGTTGTGAGTACGCGAAACACAGAGCGTATCCTTGCAGTGGTGTTTATTTGCTATTGTGTTATCACCCATCCAAACAACCGTGAAGCTACCTTGGCCGCGCCCCGAGTCAGTGTGGACGGGGAGAGCGCTGCGCGCCCTGGGCACAGGCTCGGAGCCGGAATGGGTCTGGGCCGGTGGCTTACCATTTCTTACCCTCAATTTCCTCATCAGTAAAATGGGGCTCGTGATACGTACTTCCTAGAGCTTTGAGGGGAGCTTTTTTTCTTTCCATAGGAGCTTTTAAAATGCCTTTTTGAAGAGTAATTTCCATACACTATTTTCAGTGTACAATTCAATGGTTTCGGGTAAATTTACAGATTTCTGCTCCATCACCATGATCCAAATTCAGAGCAGCTTCCTCACACCCAAAAGACCCCCCGTGCCCGTTTTCAGCTACTCCTCGTTTATCAATAAACCTGTATATTTTTGTTGCATATTTTTGCTGTAACTATTAGTATAGTATGGTTTTTCAAATTGCTACAAATTGTTTCTTTTCCCTTATTTCATACGCGAAAAATCATCTCGCTAGAACTGTTTTTGTGGTTGCCCGGCCTTTGCCAGGGAGCTGATTCGTGGGTTCAGCATGAGGCAGGTGGATGGGTAGCCGCAGCCCTGGATGGCGCAGGGGAGCCCCAGGCTAAGGAGACAGACTCATGCACAGGGCACAGCGGGGACCCCTGGTCACCGCGCTGAGGACAGTAGAGAGCCATTTCCCCTGAAAACCTGTGCCTTTGAGCTATGCTAATATTTAATCCATTTATGTCTAATGCAAACCCAAACGTTCATATATTTGGGGTTCAGAGCTATCTTCTTACTGTTTGTTCTACATTTGTCTCTGCTGCTCTATGTCCCTTTTTCTCTCCATTCTTGCCTTCTTCTGCATCAGTGTCTTTGTCATGCTATTTTCTCTCTCTTTTGACTTCTTAGCTCCCTATTCTTTTACTAAGCTTTTAGTGGTCCAGGAATCTTTAACGGCATCCTTAATTTCTCACAATCTAATATGTATTAATATGTCCCTTCTCCCTGGACAGAGCAAACACCTAGACGGCCTTGGTCCCCTCTGTTCCTCCCTCAGATCAGGCCTCTCTCGTTGTATATTTTTCCTCGATATACTTTCAACCCCAGGGGCTATTACTGTTTTGGGCTGTCACTATTCATTGGGACTTGCTCACATACTTACCCTTCCCATTGCTCTTGATTTTTTCCTGTATCTTTAAGCTTCCACCTGGATGATTTCCCTTTGCCTGACCTTCTTGTTCCTTCAGATCTGCTGGGGACAATTCTCTCAGGTTTTGTTTGTCTGGAAATGTCTATCTTACCTTTATTGGGGTGGGGGGATATTCTCATGGGGTATGAAATCATAGCCTTATTGTTGTTTTAAAATACTTTTAAATATATTCTATTGTTTGTGCTATTACAGTTGTCTCACTTTTTCCCTCTTCACCCCGCTCCACCCAGGCCGCCCCTCCCATAATTAGTCTCTTCACGTTGTCCGTGTCATGGGTCCTTCATGTATGTTCTCTGGCTGATCCCTTCCCCTTCTTTCAGTCCGTCCCCACCTCCCCGCTCCCCCCTGACAGCTGTCAGTCTGTCCCAGTTTCCCTGCCTCTGGTTCCATTTTGCTTGTAGTTTATTTTGTTCATGAGATTCCTCTTACAAGCGAGATCATGTGGTATTCGTCTTTCACCGCCTGGCTTACTTCACTTCGCGTGATAGTCCCCATTCCCATCCACGCCGTTGCAAAAGGGAGGAGCTCCTTCTTTCTTTCCGCTGCGTAGTGTCCCCTTGTGTAGATGTATCAGTTTGTTTTTTACAAAGACAACCTGTTGTCCTCTGATTTCAGTTGTTTCTGGCTCCTTTTCAAATTCTCTTTTGTTCTTTGGTTTTCGTTGGTGTATTATACTATTCCTAAACATGTGTGTGGTTTTGTGTATCTGTGTTGTATGTTGAATGAATCTGTTGTGCTCCTTGAATCTGTGATTTGCTGTCTTCCATCAGTTTTTGAAAGCTCTCAGCTATTCTCTCTTCAATATTTCTTCTGCCCATTCTCTGCCTTTGTGCCGAAGGCAGGCTCACGTGCCTCCGAAACCGGGGACAGGATGTGATCAAGTTAAAAAGATCAATAAAAGGACAGATGGCTGAATAAAACCCTGGTGTGCACCTGTGTCTGAGAGGACAGGCAGCAGGAGATGCGATGACGCCAACCTACCCCCTCTGGGAGACCCTCTGCAGGGCGTGACTCTGGGCATCTCTTGATAGCTCAGCGTACTCAGGTTCTGCAGAGACAGGGCCAACGGGGGTGTGTGTGTGTGTGTGTGTGTACTTATCTATATATCTATGGATGGATGGATGTATATATCTATCTATCTATGTATTATGTATCTGTACCTATGTACCTTTCTATCTATGTATCTATGTATCTATACCTATAGAGACAGAAAGAGGGGAGAGAGGAGCTGAGAGGTGGCAATATTTGCAGCTGGCAACTTGGAGACTCGGAAGAGCCTGTGCGTAGTTCCAGCCCCAAGTCTGCAGGTCCAAGCGCCAAGCAAGCTGGTGGCGCCAGGTCCAGTTGGGAAGCCAGCAGGCTCAGGATGCAGGAAGAGCCAATCTCTAGTTTGAGTCCTGGGGCAGGAAAAGGTGAAACCCCAGCTCAAGACGGTCAGACAGGATCCCAGCCTTCCCTTTGCTTCGGGCGTCAGCTGATCGGACGAAGCCCACACATCCTAAGAAGGGCACCCCGCCTTCTCGGGCTGCCCATTTAAATGTGGCTCTCACCCAGAGACACCCTCGCAGGGATAACATTAGATCCGATGTGCGGGCAGCGGGGGCGTGGCCAAGGTGACTCATGAAGCTGACCGTGCCACTCAGAGTGGCCAAGAGCTGACCCCCGCCCCCGCCCCTCTCTCCCCCAGGTCGGCGCGGTGCATCCTGCAGGGGCACGACCTGCTGCTGCGCTCGGCCCTGCGGAGGCTGGCCCTCCGCAGCCAGGTGGTCGCCGTGCTGACGCAGATGCGGCTGTCGGGGAAGAAGGGCCTCCTGCAGGAGCTGCGGGAGCAGCTGGCCCTGGAGCAGGGCTCCTCCCAGTGTCTGGACGAGCATCAGTGGCAGCTGCTCAGAGCCCTGGTGAGCTCGCCCTTCCGACCCCTCCTTCCCCGCCCAGCGGACGCTGCTACCCTCATTGTTGCAGGGAGGGGGCAGTGGCAGCTGCGGGGGCTGTGGTGTGTGCTGTCGTGAGAACTACGCTGCAAGTGCGTATGAAGGCAGCGCGGAGCAAGGTGCAGTCGTCACCAGGAGATCGGGAAAGGGGGTCCTGTAGTCTGTTTTAACAGATCCAAAGACAGACCCCAAAATTACAGGGCTGGGATTCAACCCCAGCAGCTGACTCCGGGCCCCAGGAAGCCACGCAGCTGGGGGGGACAGCGGGTGTCATCAGCGAGGGGCAAGCTCACACCCTGTTTCGCTCTGCCCGGGGGAGCCTGGTGGGACGCAGGCAGCCCCTCCTTCCCTGACTCGCAGCCCCACAAGCAGAGGCAGTGCCCGGGGCCCCGCAGGCCCCACTGTGGCTTCTGTGATGTCCCAGGTTATCCTCAGACTCCGATCTGGCCTCAAAACCCAGCTCTGCTGTGACTTTCAGGAAGTTACCATCTCTGAGCCCCTGGGCCCTCCTCACATCTGGCGTTCAGGCCTACACAGTGTTCAGGAAGAATGAGGAAGCTCTTGTATGTGGGACAGACTACAGATGGCACTGGGCACACCGTTGGCACTCAATAAATGCACTGGGTGGAGGGGGTACCTTCAGACACCTAGCTCCTCCACTGCGTTGGGCTTTGCACTCCAAGAGGCCGCCGCTGCCGGCCGCTCTGCCTCCCTGCCCCCAGCTTCGTGGGCCCTGGGAGGGCGGGCCCCACGTCCCCGTCCTGGCTGGAGCTCCGGTACCGGGCAGCGACGTGAGCTCGTCCCTTTCCTGGCCCCATCCCTCCCTGCCCAGGAGGCACGCGTGCTGGAGGAGACCAGCCGGCTGGAGGAGGCAGCGCAGCAGACGCGGCTGCAGCTCCAGCAGCAGCTCCTGGCCGAGGCCGAGGCGGTGGGCCGGCTTCTGCAGCAGCACACGCAGCGGGCCGTCGGGCAGGGGCTGCTGGGCCACGCGCGGGCCGCGGCCACCCGGAGCCGGGCCAAGGACCGGGAGGACTTTAAGGTGCGTGCCACCCCCATCCCCGGAGACCCGGGGGCAAGAGGGTTGGGGTGTGTGTGAGGTAGGGGCAGACGGCAGGTCTTGGAGGAGCAGCCAGCTGGGCACTGGTCTGGGCTGCACCCTCCTAGGGGCCTCCGGCCTTTTGGAGGTTACCCATCATTTTACAAAGTGAAGGACGGTAATCTTTAACCTTGGGTGTGACGGTAACCCAGGCCCCACGTCTCCAGGGATGGGGCATCTCAGCACTTCCTCTCTTTTCTGCTTTGGGGTGGAAGGTGTATCCTGGAGGAATGCATATAACTGCAAGTAACAGAAAGTCCTACCAAAATGACTCAAATATAGAAGCTATTCATCCCATCTAACAAGAATACATGGACTTCCAGGCACAGAGGCACTATGATGCGACCAAGGGCCAGTTCTTTCTGATTTGCTGTTCTTAGTCTTAGTGTGTTGCCTCATAGCCTCAAAATGGCCACTGACGCTCCGGACATCAGATCTGCATTCCAGGAAGAAAAGGGAACATGACAAAGTCTTCTACTTGCATGGGGGCTTTGCCTTGATGTTCTGAAATGGAAGCAAACTTTCCCTAACACTGCGTCTGACTGGCCAGGGTCACACACCCAGCCTCAGACTGTCCTTGACCAAGGAAAATAATATAATACAGGGCAGAGCAAAAGCAGGTGTCCAGTTGCGAGTGCCTGAAACAGCTTATTCTTGTGTCCTTCCATCTCTTGTACGAACAACTGTAAGCCTATTTTGCCCCACCCTGTCTGTCTTATCAACTGGTTTAATCCAACCACACGCTGTCTGCCCGCCCCCTGACCAGTCCAGGCTGGGAGCAGCTGAAGGGTAGAGCCAGGGCACTGGGAGGGGCCGCGTGCGCCCTCTCGCTGAGCCCCGTCCCTCCTGTTCACAGAGGACGCTGCTGGAGGCGGCCGTGGAGAGCGTCTACGTGACCAGCGCGGGCGTCGGGCGGCTCGTGCGAGCCTATTACCAGCAGCTGGGCAGGGTCCTGCGGGACCATGAGGAACGCAAGCTGGAGCAGCTGAGGACCCTGCAGGGTACAGCGTCCTCCGCGGGGGAGGCCCGCAGCTAGGAGCCAGGCGTGCTCCGGGTGCAGGGCCGAGAGGGGCCTCAGGCTTCTAAAGTTCCATTTTGGGGAGTCGTATGTTGTGCAGCCTGTGATGGAAGCCTGGCGTCCCCACCCCGCCCTGCCCCCTGGGGACCGCGGGCGGTGTCGACGGCTCTCCGTGAGCAGGCGTGTCCTGCTGAACCCGCCACGCGGCACCCACCCCAGCCCTGCAGAGCTGAGCCCTCAAACACGTACCTTGACTGCCGTGTGTTGCATGTTGTAGGAGAGAGGATGGAGAATTACAAGCTGCGGAAAAAGCAAGAACTCAGTGACCCTGCATCGGGGGACAAGATGGCGGGTGGAACTCGTGAAGCACCCCCAGGCGTCCACGAGAGGTGAGGTCTCCACGCTCAGCCCCCAGCTGTCATGTTTCTCTCGCAGCTTCCGCCGCTGGTGTGGACGCCCAGGAGCCCTGCCTGGCTCCCTGCTCTGCCCGCGCCCCCGCCCCCCAACAGGGGCCCGGCACAGGGCTCTGCCCGTCAGGTGTGGCCCGGGCTGCGTTTCTAGTTCTCACGGGCGCTCACAGCCCCGACGCAGCACTGCCCCCTCTCTCCTACCTCAGGGTCTCCCAGAAGCGGACCCTGGCCTGAGGCTGGGGGGCAGGTTGCCATGGGAGGCGGCCCCAGGAAGCTCAGGGAGGGAGCAGAAGGGAGGCCGACAGTGTCTCTGCTGCTGCCTTCGCTGTGGCTGCCACACGCCACACCAGGGGGCAGGGGGCCTCACGGTTCCCAGGGCGGTGCCTGGGCGGGTGCTGCTGTTTCTCTGAGCCCCACGTGCCCTGGGAGCCAGGTGTCCTCCGGCCAGAGGCTGTGGGAGGAGCCTTCCCAGGCCTGCTCAGGCTGTTGGCAGAATCCAGTGCCTTGTAGAACTCAGGCCCCTGTTCCCTGTGGCCGTCCGCGGGGAGTCCCCTGGCCGCCATGTGTGACCCCCAGTTTCAGCGCAGCCATACCGAGGTCCTCTCTGCCTTCTTCCTCTGCCCCGTCTCTGACTCCAGCTAGAGAACGGTCTCTGCTTTTAAGGGCTCCCTCGTCAAGGGCTCCGCCCAGCTGCGTCCTCCACCAATCGGGACTGGGCTGCCGCCCTCCTGGCTTCTCAGGTGCACACCCAGGAAAGCAGCTGCCTGGTTTATAGGGAGGAGCTAGGACGATTCTGCAGCTTCAGATTAGGGTGGGCCCTTCGGAGAATGCCCCCGCCCCAGCCCGGGGTTACAACCTTTTTCTCGGGTAAAGAAATCGCTTGCTGCTCAGACACTTGGCAGCTGCAGGGCCTCAGGGACACCCGGCCCCTCTGAGCTCCTCCTGCCCTCACCTCTTCTGCTCTCAGCCCTGCTGATGCCCCCGAGCCACCCTGAGGCCCAGTGGAAGATGGGCCCGAGATTCCGTAGGCCCCCAGAGTGAACCGCTTTCCTGACACAGTGAATTGTGGCTGTTCTTCTCACGCGGCTCCCAGGGCTCACGGTGGCTCTCAGTCACTGGTTCACAGGGCGCGGCGGGCCCCTGGGAAAGGCCTCCGAGCCCCGCCGGCCACGCAGGCCTCACAGCCCTCCTTCCCTCTGCCAGGGTGCGGGCGCAGCAGGGGAAGTTCCTGGCCCAGTTCACTGTGCACCCGCGCGTCCGCCTGGAGACGTGGCAGCGGAGGACGGGCGCCCTGGACCTTCTGGAAGCGCAGCTGGAGACCCAGCTGCAGGTACAAGCTTCGGGAGCAGGCGGGCCAGGGCCAGGCGGGCAGGGCGGCCGAGAGGTGGAAATAGCAACAGCAAGAGGCTGCTGGCCTTGTGACCCCAGGCCAGCAAGGGGGCCCCGGGGAGGGGACGGCACCCGCCCTCGGGGTTCCCTGTTGGATGGCGCATCAGCCTCGCGATGCGCTGGGCGCCACGAGGCCGCGGGGCTGTGTGCATCCCACGGCGCATCTGCGGTGCCCACTCAGGCCAGGCCCTGAGCACCTATCAGCCCGTCTGGTGAGCGTGTTGGGGGGTCGTCCCCTTGTCACTCCGTGGGCGGCTCCGTGTCAGGGCCCCCAGCAGCATCTCTTAGGCAGGGGTGTTGGGGACCGAGGCTCACACTTTAGGGAGAACCTACAGGGAACTCAGGCCTTGTGACAGGAGGCGGCGACCTCATCACAGAGAAATCTCATCAGTGTGCGATCACAGAGTGCAGCTCTGAAGGCTCTGAATGAAGCCGTGGCAGGGGCCAGTCCCAGCGAGGACCCAGCCAAGGGCGGGGACACCCAGACTCCGGGAGGGTCCACACAGTTAGTGAGGCGCGCGGCCCGGCCCCGTGTGGTTCATCTGGGGCCAGGAGGCAGGAGCTGAGACTCCGGGGTCAGGGGGAGTGGCTGGGGTCCGGGGCCAGCTGCCACCGCCTCCGTGGGCCGTGAGCACCTCAGCGTTCACCTCTGTAGAAAGGGGGTCCGTGACGCCCATGCGGAAGCGAGGAGGGACAGCTGCCTGGCAGGAGCTGGTTGATGTCAGCTGCCCCTGACACATGCCTCTGCCCCGCCCCCAACCTCCCCGGCTGCCTCTGGGAGAGCTCTCCTCCACGCGGGGGCACGGCCCATGGGACACCCGGCTGACCCTCTTGCTGTGCGTTCAGGAAGCCGAGCAGGGCTTCATCTCCGAGCTGGCAGCCTTGGCCCGCGTGCCCCTGGCTGAAAGCAAACCGTTTTCCAGTAGGCGCGGACCGTCAGGTACGTCGTGGGAAGTGGGGGCGGGGGCTGCAGCGGGGGGGCTCTCTGGGCTGGGAATGTGGGGTCCGGTCCCAAGTCTGCCACTAGCTAGCTGTGTGGCCTTGGGCACTGTGCTGACCCTCTCTGGGCTTTCGTGTCCTTATCTGTCAACGAGCAGCCTTAGCTGGGGGCCCCTTGCTCTCCACAGTATTTCCAATTCCCAGGTCCGCTGTTCACAGCGGTGTCTGCTGTCTGACTCTGTTTCCCCATCTGTGGAATGGGGATAATTAACCCCTCCCCCTGCTGGAGGCAGTTCAGCCACGCCACAGGCTCCTGCTGCCGGGAGAGTGGCCGGAAGGCGTGGGCAACACACAGGTCTCTTACAATAAAACTCTGCGTCCCCTGTTCCCACTGCTTCGGGAACTGCCGTAGAAACACAGCGGGAGCCTGGGGGCCAGAGCCCGAGTCTCCGCTTGGCCACGCAGGGCCGGGTGTGCGGCGCTGGGAAGCGCGTTGCCTCCCGGCCTCAGCTTCCTCTCAAGTGAAGCGCGCAGCAAAGCAGGGAGGCCCAAGTGCGCACCTGGCCCACAGGGACCCTCTTGTCGGGTGGGGCTGGGGCGAGACTGAGAGAGGCTGTCACTTGCCTGAAGTCACAGAGCCCACGTCCAGGTCCCCGTGTCTCCACAGAGAAGCCCCTGAGGACCAAAAGGAAGAAGCCTCCACTCCAGGAGAGAGGGGACCCTGGGGGGCCCAACAATGACGACCCTGCCTCCGGGGAACACCCCCCAGGATCGCTCAGGTACAACAGGGACCCGGGCTTAGCGCCTGCGGACGCTCACTGACCACCTACTGTGCGCGTCGGTGTGTGTTGCGGGGGCGGGGGGTGGGTACCCAGAATCCAAGTTCTGACCGGCTGCCTATCTTGTGTGTTTTATGCAGCAAAAGGCTGAGCCAGCAGGACAGTGACGTCGGGGACGGGGAGAATCCCAAGAAGATGCTAAAGAGAAGAAGCAACTTGTAGTTGAAGGAGAGCCGTTGGGGACTGAGCCTGAAGCCCTGGTCTGCGCGGCCCCTGAACCTGGGGAGGGCGGGGTCTGCGGAGCCCGCGCAAGTGAGGCCAGCAGACACCCCTGTGCTGGACACTTCGCAGATTTTGTGTCTCTCTGGCTCCGTCCCTCGGGGTCTCTTCCGGGCCGTCTGTACCTCCCGCCACTGAGCCCGGTGCCGCCGAGCCTGCCTTCCGCAGCGTGAGGCCCTCATTCCCGCCCGGGCCCCCGCCCTCCGCCCCTCGGGGCAGTTCGGTGGGAGCGAAGGGTCTCCAGGCATTGTTGCTGTTTTCTGGGTCGGGACCCTCCTCCTCCATCTTCTCCACCCTGCTTTCTCCGTCCCATGAACTGAGGCCACGGGCTGCCACCAGGACCTCATCAGGATACGTGTCCGCCCCTCCTGGGCCCAGCCAGCCCAGGCCCGGTCACTGGGGTCTGAGCCTCACGGCCCCACGGCCCCGACAGGGACAGAGTCAGACAGCACCCCCTTCCCACAGAGGAAGCGTTCCGGGGGCACCGCTGCCCCGTGGACGCTGAGAGTGTCCAGCAGTTCCAGAACGGCCCCACAGACCACTGCCAGGGGAGGTCTTTCCCACCCGGAAAGAACCCGGCTCTTTCCATGGGGAACAGGGACCCTGAGCCTCAGCACTGCGGATGTTTTGGGTGAGGCAGTTGTTTATTGGTGGCGGGGAGGGGGGTGTCCTGTGCATGGTGGGCTGTGTAGCGGTGCCCCTGGCCTCTACCCACCAGATGCCAAGAGTGCCCCTAGTGTGACAACCACAAGTGTCTCCAGACACTGCCCGGTGTCCCCGGGGGTCGTCCCTGATCCAAGGCCATCCCGGGGGAAGAGCTGGGCGTTTCCATACGTTTCCAGAATATTCTGGGCTCTGGGAGCCCCTGTCTCAGGGGTTTTCTGAACTGTTTATGACCTGAATTTTTATTTCGTGAAACCTGAATCAGACTCTCCAAGGCCGGAAAGAGTGGCTTCTTAACAGAAATAACCCACAATAGTGGTACCTGCCAGTCCTGATTGGCCGGCGGCCGGGATTTCCAAAGCGGACCAACGGCCCCCTCTGGTGGCAACATTAAGCATTTCATGGCTCTGAGACATCTTCAACAAGCTTCCTTCCGCAGTTTTTCCAGAACCTGGTTTGCGTTTCTATTTCTGTCCTCCGCACTGGGGCATTCTGGGGGCAGATGGCTCCCACGCTGGGAACGTCTGGTTTGGCGGGAAGGTCACGGTCACGGCGTCGCTCCACTGCCTCAGCCTCCTTGCATGGGAGCCGTCCAACCCCCAACCCGGCGCGGGTTAAGTTTCCTTTCCCAGGGGTCGTTCCTCCCCGGCCCTGGCCGCGCCGCCGCAGCTGCCACGCGGGGCAGTAGGGGGCACGTAACTCTTGATAATGACCTGAATGACGACACCCCCGTCAGGCCAGTGGGCCATTCATTTTATTTTTTTCACAAGCTTTGAATTCAGAAATAAGAGCCACAATAAGTCGGTTGTTAAGTAAAAATGGGGGTGATTACAAAGGAAAACTTTGTACAAAACTTTAAAAATCTGACAGCCCCGTCGACCTCCTCAGAGGGACAAGGGCAAGGGCAACTGGAAGCAGCTGTCCGTCCCCCCCACCCCAGTCATCAGCCCTAAATGGGGACGAGGGGCCCCTTTCTGAGTGTGAACCTGGCTCGGTCGGACTCTCCAGAGCTGGCTGGAAGGACACACACAGACCAGAAGGACATCATGCCAGTGACGCGCGCCACGGAGACCGGGGTTTCCGACACAGACGCGGATGACATTTCTCAAAGTTGCCCTGAGAGTTCACAGACGTCGGGGGGCCAGGGCGGGGGGCTTCTCTCCAGTGTAGACGCAGGAGGGGGACGAGGCGGCAACGTCTCCCCATTGAGAGTGGGGGGGCGGCTGCCCTGAGGGCTTGAGGTCGCGGCATTGTGCCCACACTGGTCCTCAGCGACTTCCCGCCAGACGCCCTCAGACTTGCATACGTAACTCAATAACATGCATCAACTACCCTAGAACAGCTACGAGGGTGCAAAGGAACCGCTCCCGAGTCGCGGAGCCGGGGCTGTGGAGTGCGAGGGACGTACGAGACGATGCTAGGACCTGTGCTCACTACGGAGGGCGATGAGGACGCCATGCTCAGCGCGGGCGTCGGCATGACACACAACTCGGGGCAAGGGGTTTCCAAGCAAACATACCACACTAGTACCACTTCTTCCTAAACGCGAAAGGAAAGAACTTCATTCTCGTGTCCCCCCCCACCCATCGGTTCCAAAGAAAACTATGGGTCTGAAAACCACTGGCGGGGGAAGGAATGGACATCATTCCCAGAATCCTTCACTCTAGCTCATCCACTCGTCGGTGGTCAACCGAGGCTGGTGATGTTGGAGCGGCCACCAGGGGGCGCCACGATGCGGTGGCCGGTGCGCCGGGGGTTGTTGTCGTCTATCTGGGCACCTGGAAGAGACAGAGCCGATCGCTTTAGTTACCAGCTCCACTCGCTGCTCCTGAAGACTGGGTGCCCCCACCCCGCCACGTCCCTGGCCTTCGGGACACAGTCCTCATCTCTGCCCGGCCCAGGCCCATCTCTGGAGAGGCACCCCCACCTCCACAGGGCGCACTGCTCTCTCCTTGGAGCCCCTCAGGCCCTGGGACACCCTCTGACATTGAGCGCTTTCTTGTCTGGCTTTACGTTCTTGAGACAGGTGGGCACCCACTAATCGGCCTACTGCGTGCAGGCACAGACGTGGTGCTTTAACATAGGCTGTCGAGCTTAGAGCACACAATACTACAGGAGGGGAATTTGAAGGTTGGCTCACATTTCTTGGGGACACACCTAGAGGTCTGTATCCAGGGCCCGACGCTCCGAAGGTGTTCTGTGCGTGGTGTGCTTGGGTGTGCACGTGTGTGTGCGCGCATGGGCATGAGCTACTCACAGCTGCAGTCACCCACCCCATTTGCAACGGGCAGGTCTGCATGGCGGAGGCAGCGGTTTTTATTTAAAATCTGCAAAGCCAGCCACCTCTTCTAATCTCATGCATCCTCTTGCAGTTCAGTGAAGATTTAAGCCCCTAGCACCAAGCCCAGCGTCGGGTGCTCGGGAAGCATATCCGGGACGCGTGGAGGGCGAGGGGTGGCTAACGCCGGGAGGAAGGGGCATTGTGGGGAAGGCTCTGGGTCCAGTCGGGAGGCTGAGGTTCCAGGACAGTGCGCGCCTGCAGCCTGGGCAATTTGCAGTCACACACGCCCCTCGTTTGGCCCCACTTCCTTTTCCGAAAAACAGGAGCAGAGGCCCCTCCGCCCGTCACACTGGGTGACCTGGGTAAGCCACGGGCAAGTGGACTAGGGTGCCAACTTGGATTCTCCCTCCTTGTTTCACTGGCAGACAGCGTATCTTCCCAGTGGTTCGGGAATCTCCTGAAGGCCCCAAAATCAGGCCTCTGCTTACCACCTCTTCCCCTCACGATCACCTGCACCTTCCTGGCGCCAGGTCGGCTTCTCTGTAAATACCCGCCGGGACAAAAGGGCCCCCGCACCATAAACCGCGCCACACCTCTGTGACGTCACCCCATGCAGACAGGCACAAGGATGCCTGTGAGGCTGCTCCTGGTGTCGAGATGCAGGTGGCGGCCAATGAAGCCGCCGGTCACGCGGCTGTGAGGCTGGCCCAGGGCCATGCTGGGGGCCTCAGGGCGGGGCGGGGGTTGGGGGCGCTGGTCACGGGACCTTCCAGCTGACTGCCTCGCTGCTTTTCTCGGGTGTTCTCTCCGCGTTTGACACCAAGCGCGAGCGGCATGACTTGAGAAAAGCGGTTTGCAAGCCCGACGGCACTTCCCGGCGCTGCGCCCAACCCCTGTCCTGGCGACTGGGGTTGCCAGGTGAGAAATCGAGTTGTGTTTAGGGTCTGGTTGTGCAAAAACACCAGCTCTCTGTGAACGCTCGCGGCACATCAGCGTATACAAAGCTCTTGCGTGAAAGGCTCTTGGAAAGTGGCGTGGACTGGCCTGAGGGACCCCCGATTTACACCCCACTGCACAGTCACTGAGCTCGACGCTCCCCAAATGGAGAACAGGTCCGCCACGCCCACCATTTAAATCGATATTTCATCTCCTCTCCGCCCCTTCCACTCTTTCGCTAAGCGTCCCCCCTTTTCTGTTTCGAGGTCCTGCACGCCTGCCAGGCCAGGAGTCAGCCCCCCGAGGGCTCCCTGACCAAGCTCGGCCCGCCTCCTGTTTTCGTATAGTCCACAATTTAAAAAGAGGTCTTACATTTTTAAATGGCTGCATTTTGATTGCCATTTCATAGCTTATAATATCTTGGTATAATGAGCCTGAAATACTTTACTACCTGGCCCCTTAAGAAAAAGTTTGCTGGCCCCAGACGAGACTGAGGGCTTATTCATCACCACATTCCCGGAGCCTAGCACATGCTGTCGCCTCCAATATTGTGCGGGGCGACCCCACTTCCATGTTCCCAATGTGTGCGTGGCTGCCCCCCTGTGGTGATCCTGCAAAATTGCAGGCACATGTACCCAAGACGATGACCACGTCTGAGCAACAGCGCCAACTTCAGGTTTTGCCCAAGTGCATTCCTTGAGCACCAAGTCCCAGTTGTTTGACACTGAATTTCTCGAGGCTGTAATTTCCTTTTTAAAGAAATAGTAACAGCAACACTCTACACACAGGGTTGTGAGGACAAGTCATGAATCCCAAGAGCACGTGATAAAGTGCAGTGGACAGGACAGGCTCAAGATGGTGGCTCTTCTGTCATCACGCCACGCTTAGCTCCATGGGTAAGGGTGTAAAAATGTCTCCAAGTGTGACTCAGGATGAGCCAATTTCTAGGTGGACTCCTCAAAGCCAGGGTCAGGTAGCTCTCTGCTGCCTGTGGGCCCCCGTGGCGCCCTGGCCTCCCCCAGCCCACGCTGCCCCGCCCAGAGGAGCGGAAGAGGGCGTCCCCGGGTCCCCTCCTTGCTGCGTGCCGGAGGCCACGCGCCCATTTCCACAGGAGCGTGGGCCCCTGGCAACTGCTGTGGTGCGGAGCCTCGGCCGCTGGGGGCCCTACCTGATAAGCTGAAGTTGGACTGGTGGAGGTTTCTGATGGGCGGAGGCTGGTGCTTGGAAGGCGAGGATTTGGCAGAAGGAGCAGGAGTTGCATATTTGGGTGTAGCTGGCACCTCGTACACGGGACCGTCGTACATGCCCCTGGGGACCCCTTGCAACCCAGAGACCTAAACAGAGGGAGGGCAGGGCGACTGAAGGACCCGGTGCACAGGAGCCCGCAGGTTCAGAGCCCTGCAAGCAGGACAGAGACCGAGGCGGCCACAGGGAGGCACACACCACACAGGCACCCGCTGACCCCGTGGACGCACAAGTGCGCCACACATGCAACACGCACATGCAGGCATGCACGCAGGCACACAAGCCGGCCCTTCTGGCAAACATCAGCCCTTTAGTGTGGGAAGCAGGTTGCCATGGTGACAGGAGGGCTCCCCCCGCCCCCCGCCATTAGGGAAGACCATGGACCACGGGTGGAAGTTTATCTGAAGCATGAGCAAGCTCCCCGCTCTGAGCTGGACCAGAGACCGGCCGGAGCCTGCTCCACGCCCTTTTCCCTCCCAGGGTCAGTGCTAAGTCTCTCCAAGGAAAAGCAGGAAAGAAGGGTGCAGAATGGGAGGGGTGAGGAGGGTGATGGGCCACTCTCAAATGCGCTCAGTTGGGTATTTTCGTTAAAACGGCGATGCTGCGGGCTCAGAGCCTTCCCAGCCATGACGCTGGTCCGTCCTTCACAGCGTCGGGCGCCAGGTTCCAGTCTGCAGGAGGAGGGTCGCGACCCCGCACAGAGCGGGTGGGGACCCGGTGCACGCTGGCCAGCCACACCCAGCTCTCTGCCCGCCCCCACGGGCGCACACCCCTCTACACTGCGCCATGCTCGGCGACCCCCACAGTCAGTTCCGACTCAGCCCTGAGAAGCAGGCAGGACAGTCCCACGGCTCGCATGGTGGTGATGCGCGCTCACGCCACACCCGAGGACGCAGACACGCACCTTGCTCCTGATTCTGACGCGCTGGTAGAGATACTCGGGGAAGGGCTTCCGCGGGATGAAGCGGCCCATGCCCTTGCTGACGCTGAGGCTGCCGTCCTCGAAGACGATCTTGCCCTGGCTGACGACCACCAGCGGGGAGCCGTGGCACTCCATGCCCTCAAAGATATTGTACTCCACGGCCTGCCGGCGAGAACCGCCGCTGAGCCGCGCGGCCCGGGCACCGGCCTGCGCCCCCCAGACCCGGCACCGCTCCTCCGGGCTGTGCGGCACCCCGCTGCCCGCCCCTCGCTGCTGGGCACCTGGGGGTGAGGGGCTGTCTAGAACCAAGCTAACCCTGCCTGACACGGCAGGAAGGGGAATGGGCCTGGGAGTCAGGCACCGCGGCTGCACCGTGTATAAACGGATGCTTCTGTGTCTTTTTACACAATGTGTTTTCTTTAGGATGAGGGTAATTTTCGAAAATTAAGTTACTGGGCAAAGGGATGTGAGCTGTGTTTGAGGCACTCACTACCTCTTGCCAAAGTGCATCCTGAAGGCTTCAACCCAACCGACAGTACAAGGGCCATGGGGCGGGGACACCCTGCAAGGGGCAGCTCCTCCCAGCAATGGGGAAGGTCGTTTTTATATTCTCTCTCTCTCCCTCTCTCTTTCTCTTTCTTTTTTCGAATTTGAAAGACAAAACACTTCCTTAAACTACATTCTTTTCATTACTCCTAATGTGAGTACAACCGGCACTAGGCGACTGCTTTCAATTATTTAAAAAGTAGGTCAGGTGCCTGGCAAAGGAATTCAAGATTCAAACAGTACGTGCTTTTGAAAAAGTCGGTCCCTCTTCTGAGGCAGAGGCCGCGGCCTCAGGCGGCCTTTTCCGCCCCGTGAGTTTCCAAGTGTGAATGGTGGCCTCGCGTGTGGCAAGCGCTCCACGCACCTTCGCCTTTTGTCAGCATCCACGTCGGCGCATGCCCGCGGTTTAAAAGAGCCTCTATTGCTCGCTGACCTGCTGGGCTGTACCCCACCACGGGGACGTACCATTGGCCACTGGACCAGCTCAAGGGATGGACAATCGGGCCGCTTCTCTGCCTTTGCTAATAAACGCCAGGCCGAAAGGCCCGTCTGTGCCCACGCCAGCAGGGGGGCCCATCTTTCTGGAGGTGGAGTTTGCGCCCAAGGCGTAAATGGGTTTGACCTTTGATGGGTCCGCCCTCCAAAAAGGCGGCACCTGGTTTCAATTTCCAGAAAACCCCTGAGCTCGCCTGGCTCCCGTGGTCCGACCACACCTGCCTCCAACAAACGCCTGGCGCTCAGTCTCTGGCACAGGTGAGAAATACTAGCATCTGATCATCACAATTTGCACCTGGTTAATTGTAAGTGCGACTGGGTCTGTTTTTAAGTGAATATCAACCATACGTTCATTTCTCCTGTGTCACTGTGTTGCGTTCCTGCACTGCTCTACTTGCTGGGTTCTGGGGATGGGTGTTGGGGGATGGACCGCACCCTCAGGTTTGCTGGACGAGTGAAGGCATCCAGTGCACACAGGACGCAAAGCGCAGAGACAGCCCACAGGCTCGGGGAGCGACCCCCAGGCTGTGCACACACACAACCGCGCCGGGTGCGGCCCCTCCCTGGGCTGCCTCTGAGCAGCAGACACAAAACAGAGCAGGCGGTTTCTAAAACAGATCCCAGCCTTTCCAGCTTGTTAACTAAACTGAGGACCAACGTGGGACCTGGTACTTCCCCTGGTCTGAGAACGTTCCCGTCTGGGGCAAGCGCCGAGAGAGGGGGCGGGGCCGGGGCAGGGAGACAGACGGCACGTGCTCGGAACAGCCACGGAGCCGGCCCTGCGCCCCCCATCTCTCCAGCTGGCGGAGAGACCCGAGTGGCTGAGTCGCGCCGGGTACCAGACCGCAGCCCGGCTGCCAACTGCACACCCCGGGTCTCCCGGGAGGTTTCCAGGTGGCTGCAGAGCCACACCCGCCCACCCAAGCCAGGACTTACCGACTTGTGGCTCTTGGCTGTTATGGTCTTCACCTTGTCGGGGTCCCAGATGACCACGTCGGCGTCCGAGCCCACGGCGATCCGCCCTTTTCTGGGGTACAGGTTAAAGATCTTGGCTGCATTGGTGCTGGTGACCGCGACAAACTGGTTCTCATCCATTTTGCCGGTAGCCTAAGGACGGGATCCGCGGGTGAGAAGACCAGCCCGTAACAGGGCCGGGAGAAGGGCCGACAGGCACAGACACCGAAACCTGAAACTGGCGGCAGAGTCCTCGAGAGGAGTCCTCACTTGTCTCCTGCCCCCAGCTGCCCCATCAGAGCGGAGGCTGAATTAACCGCTCACAGGCAGGCTGACTCTTGCGGAACAGCCATTGCAGCATCGTACCAGTGGCACTGGGCCCAAGCTTCTAGAATGTTCCTGGGGGGGGTAGACGGGGTGCCGCCTTACCACTGCTTTGTCCCAGACGACGGTCATCCGCTCCTCGATCCCGTTGACACCCTCGGGGATCAGCGTGAAGTTATCCTTGCCCACCGCCTTCTGGGCGGTGCTGTAGGGACAGTGGCCACTACCCGTGACCTGCAGGTCTCCACTGGCAAGAACGGAAACAGGGCGGGGTTCAGAGCTGAGTTCAGACTGAAGGGCAAATCCCAACTTCAGACGCCCGACAAAGGCTCGAGCCTAGCACCCCAGAGCGGCTCCGGGGAACGGGCTTGGGGCGCATCACGGGCACTGGGGAGTGATATCGGGAGGCCCTTTGGCCGCGGTGTCGGGCCACAAACTGGAAGGACCCTGGGCACGGGGAGCCGGTTCTAGGTCAGTGTGGCTCCGGGCTGGTCTGGATAAGGCTCCCCAGGCAAGCCTCCTCTCCCACACCTGGAAGAGAGGGATCCGGCCAGAAGAGAGGCCAGGCTGTCCTGCCCCCAAATGCTCTGACCCTGGGGTGGCCGGGCCCGGGGAGCAATCAGGTGCTGCCTGTGGGACGGGGTGGGGCTTGTGCATCTCACTTTGTGAGGAGAGAACCCTGGGGCCCCCAGGAAGGGTGGGGCTTGGTCTGACTTAGGTTTTAAAATATCTGGGTGCCGGCTGGGAGCAGACAGGGATACACGGGGACACGAAGGGGGCAGGACGGCGGCAGAAAAGCCTGTCGGGGCAGAGAGCGCGGCAGCCTGAGCCGGGATGGCCACAGCCAAGGGGCGGCTTGTGGCCGGGGTCTGTCCCCGACTTGGACTTGGAGCCGCCCACCAGGCACCAGGCTGCCGGCGAGGAGGACGCTGCGGGCTGTGTGAGTCCAGGGTTTCACACCTTTCGGGGGGGGGACCAGATTTCCGCGGGGGGTACATGCCCTTGGCCCCTTGCGCCTCCTTCCGACCAGAAGCCCCATCTTCTCCTTGCCGGTCAGGCGAACTCCGCCTCATCCCCGGGCCCCAGGCTGCGCTCCCTCCTCCTCCCTGAAGCCTCTGTGAGCCTCCCGGCTCTGAGCGTGCACTCTGCCCGCCCCCCACCCCCGAGCGGCCAGCACCGCACAGCACCGGGCCTGCTCTCGCGGCCCTGAGAGTTCTCCCCTTGCCCGGCTAACCGCATGGAAGTGGCGAACGTGGCTGTGCCCCTCCTGTGTGCGCGCAGCACAGCGCAGCGGCCACTGAGCGAGCCGGAAGTTCCAGGCCCTCACCCACACGGTCTCCCGGCCAGCTCTGCCGACACGCCACGCCAGGCAGAGGCGTCGCAGGCGACGGGACCTGCCCAGAGCCCATCAGTATTCCTAACCCCGGTGGCCCCCTGATGTGCACGGGGGGCGAGGGACAAACGCGGGGTGCTCCCGTAGTCGCTGGAGGCGCAGGAGGTGGCCCAGCGCCTGAGCCAGCCCGGTCTCCATCCCCCGCCCCCGCCCCGCGGAAGCCCCTCCCAGCTCTCACCAGGCCAGCAGGGAGGTCAAGTGGTCGGGCGTGGTGGGGTCCGGGCTCAGGGGAGGGGAGGTCACAAACGCCGCCGCCTTAGCCCAGTTCTTGCTCCAGTAGTGGGTGCCATCGGTCCCCAGGCTGGCGGCGATGGGCTCGCCAAACACAAGGGGGCCTTGGGGGACACAGACAGACACGCGCAGTTAACAGCGAATGGTCTCTCGTGGGAGATGCCGATGTAAAAAAGCAGATCTCAGGCCACAGAAAGCAAACCGGCTAAAGGCGGTGAGCAGCCCGTCCTCCTCCCAGGCTTCACCCCGGAGACCCCGCGCCCACACTCAGCGCCCCGCGGCCGCGCGCAGCAGGTGCCGCTGGCCGTGCCCTCGGCGTTGGGACAGGACTACGACCTCCTTTCACAGAGGGGTCAACGGAGGCACAGAGACGTGATCTGCTCTCTCAGTCAGGGTCCTGCCAGAGGTCAGGGGTTGAGTTCAAGTGTCACATTTGGGAGGTGATGCCAGGACACCCTGGCTGGGCGCTGAGGACGTGGCACGGGGGAAACACGTCAAGTGAAGGTGAGTGATCCCTGAGTCACGGCTGGGGCCTTGCAGCTCAGTGCACGGGACCCCTTCCGCACTGCGACAGCCTCAGAGCGCCCCGCCCCGGGGACAGGGGGCTGGGCTGTGCATCCAACCTGCTGCTTCCCGAGCACCCACTTCCTCGAATTTCACCCCGCCTTTCGGGGAGGGGACAGACATGCCTCCTGGAACACCCTTTGTGTGAGAGACAAAGGCCGAGGGGGGGAGGGGAGAAGCAGTGCAGGCCCGCAACACTGCTGCAGTTACCCAGCCACCCCTGCGGCGCAGACGCCCTCGCCCAAGGTCGCCCTCGCCCAAGGTCGCCCTCGCCCAAGGTCGCATGCCACACGTGGCGCCTCTGGAGTCGAATCTGAAACTGCTGGCCCCATCCTCCCTTCCCAAATGTGCAGGAGGCCCCGGGGCGCGGGCTCGGCAGCGGGCAGCGAGTCTCCACCCTGGGCGGGGGCCCCCATCAGTGAACTTGGACTTGCCCAACGCCCCGCCCTCAGCAGGCCCGTGCTGGGCTGCGCACCTTTCTTCCGGGCCAGGGTGATGATGTCTGCTGCGCTCTTGCTCATCACCTTGGTGATGTACACGGGGCAGTTGATCCGGCCCGCGATGGTGATGGCCCGGAACACGGCCTCGGCCTCCAGCTGGGGACACAGCAAAGCCCGGGTCACCGGAGGGAGGGCGCGAGGGCAGGCACTCCCCACCCCCACGTCCCCAGGGCCCCTCGGAACCGCAGGGCTCCGATCTTCGTTGCGTATGGTCAGAGGAAACCCTGCCGCCTCAAAGGGGAGGAAATATGGCAGATTGTAAAAAAGAAAGCAAACGTTAAGCCAACATGGACTTGGTTAGAGGGCCAGGAGACAGAATTACAGTCGTAGGCCGCTCGGAAGAATTCTGTGTGTTCTGTCAGGAGGGCACAAACCGGGCAGCATCAGCAGGCCCGCGAGATGGCGCGTCGTTCACAACATGCCTGACGCAAGGGAGCCCATGTGCCCCCTGTGCACCGTCCCCCCCCCATAGCTGAGGCTGCTATGCTGGGTCTCTGCCCTCCAGACCGGTGCCTCTTGAACAAAAGGTCCAGTTACGTTGTATGCAGTTTTGTTTTTAATTTCCAGTCCGTGACACCCCGAGCGTGGCAGGCACGTAGCACCTGCGGCAGCATCCGTGTGCTGTGAGTCTGTGGGCGCTGCTGCGGGTCTGCCCTGACCTCTCACCAGGGACCAGAGACCCGCAGTTCGTGGGGACAGTGGAGCTCCCGTGCCGAGCCCCTGGGGGAAGGATCTCTCTAGCTGAGCTGTGTCCCCAGGTGTCCGGCACGGGCCGGGCCCAGAGCAGAGGTCTGGGGGGACGGATGTGATTTAATAAGGATTCAGGGGACATCCTCGATTCAAAGGCTCCCAGGATGCCCTGCTCGCCTTCCTCTGTCCCCGCACCCACACTCACAGACGCACACGCTAGCACACGCTCCCACATACACACACATGCACAGAGTGCATGCACCGTCTGCGGTGCACACAGTGCTCACACCCCCATGCGCACATACACGGGCTCACTCGCAAGTGCCCGCACACTCCGCCGCTCCCAGGGGAACACGTCGTTTTCCAGTCTCAGGGACGCAAGGGACAGCCGTCTCACAGGCACGAGGCCTGGGACCTGCAGCTCCACTTTCTTATCAAATACAGAGTCCTGGGTCCTTATCCAGTGTGGACACTGGACTGTCCCTGGGGCACTGGCGTGACGCTCCCGGGCTGCCTGGGCTCTGGGGGCAGGGCCCTGCCCTGGCTCCTCTGGCTGACCTGCAGGCTGCAGGGCTCCCGAGTCAGGCGTACCCGGGGAGGACCGTGTGCTGGCCTGCTCGGGGCGGGGGCTTGGGGCGGGGGCTTGGGGCGGGGGCTCGGGGCGGGCAGGGCCCTGGCTGGGCTGCTCCAGCCGGGACAGCGGTGGGCAGGCTCAGCGGTGGCAGCCACGCCCCGGGCAGGGCCCCTTTACCTCCTCAGGCCGGCTCAGAGCGTGGCCCTCGGGCCCCGTGATGCCCATGTCCAGGATCCGCTTTTGTTCCTGCAGGACAAGAGCAAGGAGGCAGCCATTACAGACCATCGGAAGTGGGGGCTGGGGGCGCTGATCCCCGACGGCCCTCCCTCCGACGGGCTGAGCCCAGGGAGGGAGGGGCTGGCAGGGCTCTTACATGGCCTGGGCGACCCAGCCCTCCCTCCACCACACCTGCCCTCCTTCCCCTGGGCAGCCCCGGACAACCATGTCATGCCTGCGCTCTGTGCCATTTCCCGGGACAGCTCAGAAAAGGGGGGGGTGACAGATGAGCCCAAAGGCCCCCCGCACCCTCCAGGCTCCGAGCCCCTGACGCAGGGCCGTCTCGGGAAGACGGTGACATTTGGGCAGCGCACGGACCCGGAGATTGAAGCCCCTGAAACTGGGAGGCCCACCCCAGGCCTGTCTCTGTGGCTCATGGCACACGGGTCAAGCCTCCATCCTGCCTCCTTTACTCTGGGGACAGGAAGCCTGTGTCCCCGGGTTCCTGTTGTGAGGCAGCGAGGCCGCAGGTGTCAAACGGCAGCGCAACACCTGGCGTATGGGCGGGGCACCTCACCCGGCGGCCGGCTCTGTGACCTGTGCACAGCGCCCCCCTCCCGGTACCTGCCCACCTTTCCAGCAGGAAGCCTCTACCTCCAGTTCATCACATAACCTCCGAGTGGCTCCCTGAGCTAATGGCCCAGATTCAGACCCTTTGCTCCGAGGTTTTCTTGTCCCAGGAATACTTTTTCTCCAAAAAAAATTGCCTTTCCCTTTGTGCCGATCTCAGTGGTGTGGCTGCTAATTTTAACTCTGCCATTTCTGGGCCATGACTCTTACCGGGAGCCCCGGGCCGGGTCCCCCATGGAAAAGCCCGCAATTTCCACGGCCTCTGTGGTTATCAGGCTCGAGCTTGTGATAGAAATGTAATCTGGAAACCGTTTCCAGATCGAACACCTGGGGGATCTATTTGAAAAATGGAATAATTGCCACTATGGAAGATGATGTTCACAAAAAGATTTTATGAGGTGGACAGATCCCTATGCGAGGTTGTTTAAATGTCATTTACTTTTGCTGTTGGGAAGGAGGGACTGGCAGAGGGAGGAAGGAGGGGGAAGGACAAAGGTGCCCTAACAGGAGGAAAACGGAGATCCCTAAAGAATGCGGCAGGTTCCTGGAGAAAGATCATGGGCTGAGTACTTGCATGATTTCTGCTCCCTCGGACGCCCTGTTAAAGTGACAGGAAAAGTACACAGAAGCCAAGAAAACACAGCGGGGACAACGGAGGCAGAACTTGGGAGGCTGTGAAGCAGACGTACAAAAGGCAGCAAACTCACGGAACTGAGGGAGTTAACTCTGAAGTCCGCCGTGGGCGAGCCGTGAGGCCCCACTTGTGACGCTTAGAACGGGGGCTCCAACGGGGGCTCTTCCGTCTCCACGGGCGCGCTGTTTAGCAGCTGCTAATGCTGAATTACACAGCCACCAACCAGCCACGCCACTCCCTCACACTAACAGTGTGAACATGTGTTTCACAGGAGACGGAACCAGAAGCGTCATGGAAGCTTTGTGCACGACAGCCCCCCCCGTCAAAACTACCAGACCCCCTGGAAAATACGCCCGGACCTATGCCCGCGGCGGAATTGTACAGTGGGACCTACACCCTGTTGCACATCATGGAATGGGAGGAGCGAATCCCACAGGCCTCGGACGGAGCAACAGAAGCCAGACAGGAGACACTGCGTGGCTCTCTTTTTATGAAGCTCAAAACCAGGCAAGCTGAGCTGCGTGTGGCGGGCGACGGCCAAGAGGCCCCAGGGAGCCGCCTCCTGGTTCCTGCGCCCCCGTGCAATGCCCTGTCCTGGGGTATTAAGCAAAGGGCCAGACCCTCAAGGTCCACAGTGCAGGCACGTCACCCCGTGGTACCGATGAGCAAACTGAGGCACGCAGACAACAGGGCCGCCAGGGGCCTCGCTGCAGGGGGGGCGCGCAGGCCTCATGTCAGCTCCGCTGTCCGGGCCTTGGCTGCACCCTCATGGCCCAGTCCCCTCATTGCTCAACGCTGGTACCTCCCCACTCTGCCATGCCTTTTGCAAGGCGGAGGAGAGTTCTGGGGTGCGGGGTGGAATGCGCACCACTCACCTGAGCTATCAAATCCCCATTTTCCGCATGGACCAAGATCACAGCTCCCAGCCCCTTCAGGAAGGTGAAGGCTTCGTAGAGCTACGGAGGGGGAGACGGGGGAGGGGGGAGGTGAGGAGCAGGACCATCTGCAGAGACTGCCCCTCCGCTCACCTGGCCCCCACGAGCAGCCCTGCCGGCCGCTCCGGTGAATGGATGGACCATGAATGGACTGTCTCCATCAGCAACAAGTGCGCCTGGGGAGGGACCCGCCCTGGACCCTGAGGGGGCCGGGGCGGGGCAGACCCGATCACAGTCACAGCCCAGCAGGACTGCACCTGTGTCTGCGTGTCTGCCCCCACCTCTGGCTTTCGGTTTGCGTTCGCCTGCGGGTGGTGCCGGCTGGTGCTGGGAGTCGTCGTTCGTTTTCCTGAAATTGTGTAACTGACCCTGCCCAGCCTGTGTTGTGACTGCCCGCAGACCTCGGGGGATGTACCTCTTTACAAACTTTTAGCCCTTGTCATCTGATAGAACACCGTGCGGTGGGGGAGGGTGGACATGTTCTCCAACAACTCTAATGCTCCGAAAGCAGACGACCTGCCCAGCATCAGCGGATTTAACCAGCACGGGCCCTGCCCGCCACCCAGCTCCTCCTCCAGCCCAGGAAGGAGCTGCTATCCGGCCTTCGCATCTGGCAGGGCCACAGCCACCACGCTCCGTCTGCAGGGCTCCTTTGTCCTGCACGTGTGCAAGACGGCCCCGCCCCCCACCCTGTGCATTCACAGGCAGGCACGGGGAGGGCGTGTTGCTGGGAGGCGTGGAGCATTTTCAAGGACCTGAGCCCAACACCTGCTGGACGCCCTCGGTGACCAGGTGGGGCTTCGAGGGCGGGGGCGGGGGGCAGACGTTAGAATGGAACAGGTGAAAATCGCAACGCTGCGGCACGCCGCACGCTGTGTTCTCCACGGAGCTGAAGCAACGTTCAGCTTCCCCAGGGCCTGTGGGCCTGCATGCGAGGCATCTCAGAGTAAGGTCATCTCTAACTCCAAGGGTTTGTGTCGGAAGGCAGGACGCGTGCTTCTCCCGCGCACGTCACACTCCACGGTGACAAGGATCAACAACTTATTAATGCCGACAGGCAGCTGCTGCGGGCTGGGCACTGTCCCTTACAGCCTTACTGGTAGTAAAATCACTTCACCCTCCGGCAGCCTCTGAGCGGAAAGCACAGAGTGGTCAGGAAAGCCGCCCCGGCTGCACAGCAAGGTCCAGGCCTCCAGCATCCACACCGCCCCGCCCCCCAGCACGCTGACCCACACTTTTTAAGAAGCAGAGGGCAGGGCAAGGATGACAAAGGCAGGCCTGGGTCCCGCTGGCAGAAGGCCAGGTGCCCGCTAACTGGCCGGCCCACACATGTACTACATCGAGCAGCCTCTCCCTAGGCTGATATCCTCCAGGCAACGGCGGTTTGACGTCGGCCAGGCCATCGGTGCTCACGCCCCCCAAATGAGGAAACTGAGAAAGGAGGCAGCTTGCAGTCAGCTTGGGGGGGCGGCCAGGGCTCTCCTCCCAGGTCGGAGCTCATGCAATGGTCCCCACCCCGGCTCGAGCCCCAGAACCGACTGCGGAGTTTCCGGGATATACAGCCTCCTGAGCCCTGCCCGTGAGCACCTGTGATGCGGTCCAGGGGTCTGTGTTTTTAGCGAGCTCTTTAGGTGGTGCTGAGGGTGGGCCGGTGCGGGAACCTCCATGCAAGGGGCCCCCGCTCCACCCCACGCTGCTGGCCAAAAAGGAACGCAGGCCCAGGAGGGACGCCGACAACGCAAGGCCACGTGGCCGCTCAGCGGCGGAACCAGGGTCCGACCGCGGAGCTGGCCCCGCCAGTGCCCACAGAGCCGGCCCGCTCCCGCCCAGCGAGGACAACAGGCGCGTGGGGGCCTACCTGGCTATCGGACATTTGGTAGAGGTCCTTGTAGGCCATGTACACTTGGAAGGAATTGACGCCTGTTCGAGACAGAAAGGGAACAGAAAGTGCACGTAAGGAAAACGAAGCATGTCTTCCCTGTAAATGGATGATCACAGCACAGAGCGCGAATGGCCAGGGTAGAAGGTGCCTCGGAGTTCAGAGCGGGGACACACGCCCAGCCTGGGTGCGGGCGAGGGCCGAAGGAGGCCCTCCGAGGTCCACTAAAGGAGGGGGGGGGAGGGGGAAGGGGGGGAAGGGGGAGGAGGAGGGGGAGGGAGGGGGCGGGGGGCCACAGACAGTAGGGAGAAGAGGGGACCTCGGGTGCTCAGGTGCTAGAAAGCGTCCTGTGACTGAAGCGAAGGCCACGCGTGGGTTTTTTAAAGCCCCTGTATTTTTCGTTACAGTGAAATGCAAGGAACAAAATTCAAAGCCGCGCCCACTTTGAAGGGCGCGATTGTTCAGTGGCACTCGGCGCATTCCCAGTGCAGCCATCACACTGTCCACAGCGCCTCTAAAGGGAGGGACGCGAGCAGACCTTCCGTCTCAGAAACACCCCTCCGGAAGCTGAGCGGAGGGCGGTGGGCGGAGCCGCAGGGAGGAAGGGAGGCGGGCGGCAGGGGGCGGGGCCGGGCCGCGGCTGCCGGGGGCGGGGCCGGAGACCCAGACCCTACTCCACCTTCCAGTGGCCTGAGACGAGGGCCACATTTCATATGTTATTTCGTCCTGCACTCCTGTAACACGTCCTTTGCGATTAACATTTGCTCATGAAATCAGAAACCATTTTGATAAAACAATGAAGAACTTAAGGCAAAAGGATGAAACAAACTGGACTTCTTTTATATTACGCAATAGTGAAGACAAGCCAAAAATCTTTTCTTGTGTACAAAGGCTTGGCAACAAACAAAAATTTCCTTTCCCCAAAGTTCTGGAAAAATGAAAAGAAAAAAATAATATTCAGAGATTAACATAAAAGTATCCATTTCTAGTTTATCAAGTAGGCTTAAATAAAAATAATAGGACAATTAATTAATAGTATGTTCCTTGTAAAGATAAACCCTTTTTTAAATACAAAAACAAAAGCTCAGTATATTATACACAGGTAAAACCAAAAGTGAAAGTCAAACAGGTAAAAACCAAAGCGAGAGGTAAATTCATAGTTAACTGCTTCATTATTTTTTTTCTAATCCTCACCTGAGGACACACTTACTGATTTTATAGAGAGAGGAAGGGAGGGAGGGGGAGAGCAATATCAATGCAAGAAACATCGATTGGTTGCTTCTCACACGCACCCGACAGGGGACCGAACCTGCAACCTACGTGTGTGCCCCAAATGGGAATAAAACTCACGACCCCTCCGGTTTACGAGAAGATGCTCCAACCACTGAGCCACACCAGCCCAGGTGCGCGCCATTATTTTTTAAAGGGGACGGAAAGAGTAAGCTTCCATGATAAAAAAATGTTAAAAGAAATGCAAATTCACCAGAAATTAAAAGTAAATAGTACAAACAAAAGCAGAAATAATGGATTAGAAAACATGGCAGACTTAATAAAAAAACACACCCCAGAAACTTATCCCTTGGCAGGGGAGGAGTGAGGCAAAGCCATTCAGGTGAAACACTTCAGTGAAAAGGCCATGACAAATGTGACTCGTTATAAATGAAAATCTTCTGGAAGTTCATTCTTAAAAACTCAAAATAACAAGCAAAAACCAACACGGCAAACATACCTGCAACAAAGGTAACAGAGGTTTGAAACCTCCGCCTCTTTGAGCAACACCAGACAGCGGTTACTTCCGGGGACGGCGGGAGCGGGGCTGTGACGGGAATCTCGGGGGGCCTGTCGGGGCGGGGGGCCCGGTCCGATAATCTACTAATAACTGACTGGGGTAGCCTCGTAACAGCTCATAAAGCCACGTTTTTGATGTGTGCAGTTTTCTGTATGGTTTATTGTATGTTAAAGAGATTCAAATAAAAGCAAAGAAGCAAAACACACTAAAGGCAAACAGTATTTTCAGACACTTAAAGAAAAATGGCTAAGTAATAAAGATAAGGAAGAGGTGTGTTATTTGTAATCAAAGTATCTCACGTGCAAACCTCAGCGTTGTGCCCCGTGTCTGAAGGCCACCCCGGGCCGTGGCGGGACCGGGCGGTAGCCGCAGGGTGGAGCGCGGGCAGCTGGGTGCGGGGCGCAGACCGCACGGCCTTTTGGATACATGGGAGGTAGGTGGCGACAGTAAGACAACAGGACAGTCCCCGGGCATCTGGCTTAAAGAACTGCGCAGGTCGTAAATAAACTCCTTTGGTTATTAGAATAAAGACTAAAGTTTTCAAATCTCAAAAATAAAAAAGTTGCCCAGTGTTAGTGAACATGCCTCAGAATGAGTCCCTCCTATGCAGCGCGGGACAGTGGAAACTGGCACAACCCACCTGCCACTGCTCAGAGGGCCGCTGAGCGACACGTCGGAGCGGTAAGCGTCTCGTTTCTGCCCTGATCCGCGTCCCACCTGCGCGGGCGCCTCAGGGACTCACACAGCTCCCCAGCCCCGAGGCGGCCTCACAGGTCCTCCAAGGAAGGAGCACAGAACGGCAACTCTAAACAACGGACGCCTCTGGGGCGGTGGACCCATTCGTAACCCCCTCCAGCTCTCAGCACTCCCTCCTGCTTCCTAGCGCCCAGCCGTTTCCCCGTCCACGCTCTAACCTGCCAGGCAGCCGAGTGCCCACCCGTGGCCCCAGGGGGTGGCTGGCGGGCAGCAGACAGTAAGCTGAGCCGCGAGGAGAGGCCAAGTCCAGCTGATACCAAAGGACACCTGGCCGGCCCCCAAAACAGATACCCACCCCTCAGAGGACAGGCTAGTCCCTTCCCCCCGCAGGAATGAAGGGGGCAGAGGACACGGGTGTGGGGTGAGAGGGAGAAGAGAGGCAGCACAAAGAGGAGAGGGCGGGGCAGCCCAGCACGACCGTGGCACGGGATCCCGGGGTGCGCGTGTCCGGCTCCACACCGAAAATGTGGGGGTAGCTTCAGCCAAGCTGGGGGCGACGGGTTCTGAAGTTTGTATTCAACAGGGAGACCCTGATGTCTGCTGATTCCGGTGAAGAAAACTTGGATTCATCAACAGCCAGCATGTTTCTTAACTGCAGGGTTTTAACATGATAATGTGTGATAGGAATATCCAAAAAAAGAGTCAACAGTGAGCATTTCCCAAACTTGCTGGGCCCCGGAAGCCTTTTTTCACGGAATATTCATTATCTCGCTCATCAAACTCTTCCTGATCCCTTCCTGTGTGCGAGCGCCATCCTAAAAACTCCTAAAAACTCGAGAGGCAAGGGAGGGAGGACCCCTGTCTACAAATAAATAAGATCATTTCAGGCAGAGATGGGCGATAAGACATTAAAGAGGCTGCTGATGTTTAAAAGTTTCACGTAAGTTTTGCAGCGACTCCCGCGAAGAGGTAACGTCTGCCTGTCCTTGAACGTGGGCCGGCGTCGAGCCCCGCTCTGGCCAACCGTAATGCAGAGGTGACAGTGCATACGTCCCTGGCCTTGGCCACAGCGGTCCTGCAGGTCACTGCCACCCTCCTGGAGCCTCCAGGGAAGGCGTTCACGACAGGTGGCCGGAGACCGGGGACAGAGGCGTCCTCGCCGCCCCCGCTGCCCCCGCGGAGGCCCAGGCCGGAGCGAGCCAGGGTGGGAACCAGGGCAGCTCAGCTGAGCCCGAAGCAACGCGCCATCCGCAGAGCAGGGAGCAAATAGACCACCGCTCTCTCCTATTAGCTGTGGCAAAATACACACAACATGAAATGTGCCTCTTAACCCATCGACAGAAGAAACGTCCGGACCTACAGAGGGTTTTTGGGAGTTGATTTGAGCCACAGACGACACAGGCCGGGAGCAATGCCTCAAGTGCTCCTCCAGCCTGTCATCGCTTGGGCTCGACAAACTCTTACAAGACTCTCCCCAGGGGTGGCCGTTTCTTAGGCTGACATTCCCTCCACGCAGCTGGCAGGAATGGGCCACGGCGCAGGTAACGGGGTGCGCTCTCCTGAGGACTCGTGGCCGACGGCACAGGCGTGCTGACCGAGAGGCGCAGAAACCACAGGCAGGGCTGGCTTAGGGTACATGTGAGCCTTTGTCTAAGGAAGTCACATGTCTGGGGCACCACTGCCACCGTGGCCTGCCCAGCGAGGGGTCTATGGTCTGATTGCCCTGTGAGGTGACTTCCCACAGAACCCCCACTCCTTGTCGTCTGCAAACCATGTGTCCAGTGTGCGGTGTTAACTGCGTTCACACTGGGGTGCAACCGCCCCCGCCATCGCCTCCGGAACGCTCCCTGCTGGCAAAACCGACAGTCTGTCCCTACTATTCAGCAACTCCGCACCCCCGGCCCCCGCCATTCCACTCTTCTATGAGCTCGACTCCTCTAGGGACCTAGAGTGCCATCGCACGGCGTCTGTCCCTTTACGACGGGCTATTTCCCCGAGCGCGTCCTCCACGTTCACGCACGGTGTGGCGTGGGGCAGAGTTCCCCTGCTTTTCAAGGCCGAATGACAGTCCGTCGTGCGGGCGGGCCCGTTCTGTGTACCCGTTTACCCACCGACAGGCCTTCAGGCTGTTTCCTCCTGTTGGCGGGAGAGTCAACGCCGAGGCTCCACTGCCCCCGGTGCCAGCGCCCTGATGCTGTGGGTGCGGAGGAGCCACTGAGGGAGCCTCAGAGGTCAGCGGGGTGGCTGCCCAGCGCCACACGGCCAAGAAGTGCGAGGGTGGGTCTGATCCCCGGCGGCCAGATGGGGAGCTTTCTGCTTATGCTGCTGCTTTCCGTAAGGACGTGACAAGTCCTTTCATTGTGCTCTTGTGAGAGACGGAGAGAGATGGGGGAAGGGACAGAACGATCATCTGCCTGCTTTTATTAGATGAAAAAAGAGAGCCAGTGACGTGGCCACGCGGCGCAGGTCAGTGGAGCCGCTGGGCCTGGCCTGTGCTCCTGGGGCACCCCCTTCACCGTCGCCCCCCATCCACCGCCTCCAACGGCCCCGCCACATGGAGGGCGGGGAGCACCCAGCGTCCACGACCAGCCTTTGCTCTATAGAAGCACCTGGCCCGGCGAGCACGGCGCCCTAGCAGAGACGTTCCTTCTCCCACAGCAAACAACGGGGACGGCCTGCAGGGGGTGCCGTGCTGAGCCCCAGGGCCACCTTCAGGAACGGAGGACTCATCCCCCACCCGCAGCCGCTGGGGGCGGGGCAGGCGCAAGACGCTCAGCTGTCACTGAGCCACTGACAGACCCTCCACGGAGACAACAGCTGAGCTCCAGGTCATGCCCTTCCCAGAGGGCCCCTCCCAGGGCCTGGCTGACCGGGGTAGCAAGTCCCCTGCCCCTGTCCTTCCTCGGGACAGGTGTGAAGGGCGTCCGGGATCAGAGCGTCCCGTGGCCAACCCTGCTTCCTGGGCATCGCCCGCAGGGGTCGGTCCTGAGGGCCCTGTGTGGGAGGCGGGGTGAAGGTCCCCTAAAGATGCCCGATCCCTAGAACCTGAGAGTGAGTATGTTCCCTCCCAGGCAAAGGGACTCTGCAGTGGGATTAGATTAAGGAGCCAAGACAAGAGGCCATCCTGGGCTTTTTGGGCGAGCCCGACGTAATCCCCAGGGTCAGAGGGAGACGTGGCGACGGAGCCGAGGCCGGGAGGCCGCAGGGCCCGGCCAAGGAGGCCGGCGGCCGCAGAGCCCAGGAAGGCATGGAGCCCCCTCCCCCAGCCCCCTGGAGCCTCCAGGAGGACCGCCCGGCCTGCACCTAGAGCCTGGCCCACAAGAGCCACGTCTGACCTCTGGTCTGTCATTTGTGTTGTTTTAAACGGCGAGGTGGTGGGTTTGTTCCAGTGGCAGCAGGACACTGATACACAGCCACTTCCTGCCTCCCTGACAACACAGTTTTTAAAAATTCACCAGCGGGTGCTTGGTCAAGCCGGGATCGCCACGAAAACGGACACGTGGCGCTAATAAATTAACAACTAACAACACAGAGTCCTTACCACAGGCCAGCACCGCGCAGGCGCCTTGCAGCCAGCCTCCCACCTGGTCTTCAGAACAGCCAGTTTCCAGGTGGGGAAACGGAGGCAGAGAGGTCAAGGGACTGCCCTGGGGATGCACAGCTGCTAAGGCAGAGGCCTCGTCCACGACATTTCATGGAGCAAAGGAAGCATCATGCAGAACAGTATGCATGTTATAATCCTATTTATGTAAAAATTACATGTACGACTGTGTACACCTATAAGGAAATAGGATATGTATGTACATATTCAAAGGTTTTGTACATCCATATACAAATAGGAAAGAAAAATGCCAAACTACCACTTTTTACATTATACGCTGCCATATTGTTTCAATAAATACGTACAAATTCTGAAACTTAAACCAAGAAAAAGCACTTTAAGCCCTGGCTGGTGTGGCTCAGTGGATTGAGCGCCAGGCAGAGGCCTGGGTTTTGGGCCAGGTGCCCGATAGGGGACGCACAAGAGGCAACGACACACTGATGCTTCCCTCCCTCTCTTCCCCTCTCTCCAAAAATAAATAAATAAAATCTTTTTTCTAAAAAAAAAAAAAAAGCACTTTACAATGCTGGTTAGACACTTAAACCCATGAGTGCACCTAAAAAACCTCACCAAGTCCTTTCCCTGCAAGCTCCTAACCAAGGGAAGAAAACATCTCTCCGCCCTCTCCCAGCACGATGCACCGAACGCGGCCCCACAAAACCCCCTCCCGCAGAGCGGCAGCTCCCTCGGGACCGTGTGTACCCCAGGCCCTGGCCCCCTAGCTAGGCTGTTAAAACGGATGTGCTGAAGCCCCTGGTAACGAGGAAGATTTCTCAGGATTTAACGTTAGCTGAGGACGGCAAGATACAGTCACCCCCCCTATCCGTGAGGGGCCCGTTCCAAGGCCCCCCATGACTGCCCGAAACTGTGGATAGTACCAAACCCTATCTATGACTTTTCCTATGTATGCATACCTATCACAAAACTTCATTTACAAGTTAGGCACAGTGAGAGATTAACAATAGCTAATAATAAAATAGAACAACCGTGACAATATACTGTAATAAAAGTTATATGAGTGTGATCTCTCCGTCCGTGTCTTCTGCCCACAAATACGATAACTTTTCCATCCTAAGCACTTGTGCGCTGTGGCTGTGGCTTTTGCAGTTTGAGGTACGACAGTAAAACTAGCATGAATTTCTTTCTCCTTCTTCACAATTTCACGAAGATTTGTGTACAGGTCTTAGCAACGTCGGCACATGATTTTTTTCCGTTTTTCATTCAGGCAAGAACTTTAGCTTTTCCACTTAAAGGAAGCACTTGATGGCCTCCCTCTGGCCCGTCCACATCGCCAGCACCCCTGCTCTTGCACTGGGGAGCCATTATCAGGCAAAGTTAGGGTGCCTGGAACAAGAGACCTCCAATACTGCGACAGCCGATCCAATCGCTGAGCCGGCGGGCCACATGGCCAGCGGGCCAGTAAGGTGTTCAACTCGCGCCTGAGGCAGAACGGAGCGGGACTTTACCACGCCACTCGGAGGAGCACACCATGGCACACAGAGGAATCGTTTAATTCTGCAATTTTCCACTTAATATTTTCGGGCCCTCATTGACCGTAAAGAAATGAAACCATGAAAAATGAAGCTGCAGCCAGGGAGGACTCCTGCACAACACATTGAATTTTCTCCGATAGCGATTCTGTGCAAAGTAAGAGTGTGATTCTCAGGGACCGCGCCAGAAGGGCGATGCCTTAATGCTACAGAGGACTCAGGCACACAAAACCCCGAACTCATGCCAGGGATACAATCGGCAGTCACGCCAGGAAAAGTGTGCACAAAGTGCTTCGCGGGATGAGCAATTAAAGAACAGCATGTGTAGCGGTAGACTGAATCTCCCCCTTCAAATCAGCAAGGACTCCCGAGAAGCCGCGGCGCCCAATGGTGCGGACATGCAGGGAGCCAGAGACATGGGTTTGTGGGCGTTCAGGTGGATCCACCTTTCAGGAAAGCAATTTGGCACTAAGTGTCATGATCCTGAAATAATCATAATTTCACTTCTGGAAATCTGGGGAAATAACTAGAAATGCAGACTAATGTTTATATGCAAAGATGTTCACCATCACACAACCTATAGTGGAGCCAATAGAAAACCCAAGTGCCCAATAAAAATGAAACAGCTGAGCAAATTAACCATTACAAGCTCCTAAAATTATTAATGAAGAGTAATGATTACTCACAACACACAAAGCACAAAGAGAAGGCTTCCAAGTAACCGCTATCACATAACTATATAAGGAGAAACTCGTCTAAACGGGCAAGGAACGGCAGGGAACAACCCGTACCATTAATGGCATGGGGCAATGGCAAGGGGACCAGAGGAAAAACATTTTTCCTTCTCTCGATGTTCTGACTTTTTCTGTATCGTGGTAATGGTGCTTTTATAATGAGAAAACACAGCATATCTATTTTTTTAATCCTCACTGGAGGATATGTTCATTAATTTTAGAGAAGAACAGAGGGGAAGAGGGGGTGGGGGAGAGAGAGAGAAACATCAACTAGTTGTGTCCCATACACGCCCAGGCCAGGGATCGAACCTACAACCTAGGTCTGTGCCCTGACGGGGAATCGAACCAGCAACCTTTTGGTGCACAGGCCAATGCTCCAAACAACTGAGCCACCCAGTCAGGGTGGCAAGTCTATTTTAAAGACTGAAAACAGCCCATAGCTCTCCTTGAAGCACTGAATTCATTTGAGGCTGCCTCCTCAGTCTCTGGAACTGCTCCTTCCAGACTGACCGCCTGTGCCCCGCGCCCTCCTGTTCCCGTCCTTTGCTTCCGTGTGCCTTCTGTTCCCGTCCATTCACTGTAAGGCACACGGTGAAGAATCCACTCTGTGCAGAGACACCCGGTGTGAGCCCAAACAGAGGCAAGCCAGAGCAGGAGGAGGAGCTGCGTGGACACAGCCCCCTCCCCCACAGAGCTCAGGGTCTAATGGGAGAGCCAGACAGCCAACCAGAGGCCTGTGATCCAAGGACAATGGAAAAAGTGCCTCAAAAGAAGCCTAAGGAACCTCCTATGCAGTTCTGACTGAGATGCTGGAGAATGGGACAGTTGAGCTGGGTATCAGAGTAGAAGAAAGGGCGATCCGGGGTGGGGGGAGGAGCGTGAGCCAAGGCCCGGCAGTGTAGCAGGGTTTGGGGGAAGCCTCACGGACAACAAGCACCAGGGAGTCTGTGGTAAAGAAAGACAAGTGCAGCTAGATCCCGGGGGGCCCTGTGCGCCAGGGTCACGAGATTGGGCTTTCTTCTGTGAACAGGCAGCCTCCAAGGACCTGTTTTCCACTGTCTGTGTCACAGTATGCAGCTCACGGCTGGGCTTGTGGTAGATGCAGAGGAAGGGATTTCAATGCCATACAATCAGATCCGCCAAAGACACAGGGACTCCGGAACCACGCCCCCACCCAGGGCTTTCACTGACCTTTGTCCTGCACCAGCACCTCCAGCTCCTCCCGAATGCCGTCGTACCAGCCTGTGATGTCCACGTGGAGCGAGTAGTCGCAGCAGGACTTGGTGTCAGCTGCTTCATGCCATTTCTCAAAGGAGGTCAGCAGGCTAGACCCAGGTTCTGGGACCACATGGTCAACTGGGACAGAAAAACGTGTCACATTCCAAGGCGTTTAGGATCTAAGCTTCTCCAATGGTGGCCTCTTCGCCACCATCATCATCACTGACATCACCATCACCACCACCATCATCACCCCCACCGCCATCGTCAATATTACCATCATTGTCATCATCAAATGACAATTGTCACCAGTGATATTGTCACCACCATCGTTAGTCTTCATTACCGTCATCATCGCCACCATTGTTATTGTCCTCTGCAGCATCATCATCACTATCAAATGCTCATTAAGTGTCAGATACTCCACAGAGGTTTTACATAAATTATCTCGTTCAATCCTCACAACCATTCTGCAACATGAATTTTAGTATCCCCATTTTTCAGATGAAGAAACTGAGGCTCAAAGAGCATTAGGGACCTGCCAAGGTCACCCAACTAGTAACCAGGGTGGGGGGAATGCCCACAGAATCTTGTCAGCTGCAGAGTCTGAACTCTTTCCCACTGTTCCACACTGCATTGGTTCGGGGGAGGGTGCTATTTGTTATGCAGCACTATGGTAGCAATACTGACCAATACAACTGCTTCCCAGCTGTGTGACCCTAAAGAAGGTTACTTCACTCCTCTGAACCTCTACTCCCACATATGTCATAATAATACCTATGTCACTAATTCCAAAACTCTAGCCATCAGCATACCATGTTCAGGAACCTTTTGCTTTATCTCCCTACAATCCATATCACCTTTACTTAACACTTTTCTTAAATCAAGTCACAGTTTCTAAAAATCTAAATTCTGACTTCAGTCTAAACTTAAGCAGTAACATCCATGAGGTGCTAGTTATTTTATTTCAATATGCATTAAAATACTTTAAAACTTTCAATGCCTATAACACCTCTAAAATCATTTTGTGAACCGCCACCGGGACGTAATACACCAACCTTTACAGTGGGGTTGTGGTGACAATCACATTAAACGGCACCCTGAGCAAAGTGCCCGGTGCACCCTGAGCACTTGCGTGTTGCTGATGCTGCAGACAAGCCACCGTCTCTGCCCCTAAGGCCCCTGGGGTGCAACTCACTGATCATCGTGGTCCCGCCCGCCAGCGCTGCCCTGGTCCCTTGGAAGAAGTCATCAGCAGCGGTCATCCCCTGGGACGGCTTCTGCAGGTACGTGTTGACATCGATACCTCCGGGAAGGACCATCCGCCCATTGGCCTCGATGGTCTTCACTCCGCCAGGAACAATTAAATTCTCTCCTATTTGTCTGGAGACAAACAACAGACACGGCTTTGGTTCTTAGATGGAAGAGGAAATGGCAGCCAGCTGTGCAGCTTCAGAACCTTCAGGGAAACGTTCCTGAGCCAGATCCTATGCAGGGCACTGCGTGGACAGAGGTAACTCAGGCAGGTCCCTGCCCTCGAGGGGCAGGTGGTTACAATCCAGTGCAGCAGCTGGGTGGGGAGCACGAGGCGGGCTGCTTCACCAGCCTGCTAATCTGGGAAGGCTTCCAGGGGGAGGTGGCAGCAGAGCTGACTCCACCAGAGGTGAGACCAGCATCGCCATCAAGTGGGGAAAGGGCTCTCCAAACAGCTCGTCACTCCAGAATGTGTCACACACTTTTAGCAAATGGCTCAGGGACACAGAGGAGAGTGTTTGCAGGAGGACAGAATGAAAAATCCCTTTCGCCTTGCAAGCTTTCAAAGACAGTGTTGTGGGCTGAACGGTGACCCCCCCCCAAAAAAAAATTCACATGCTGAAGCCCTAACCCTGGGACCTCAGCATGTGACCGTATTGGACACGGGGCCTTTAAAGGTGACCAGGTGAAAATGAGGCCACCAGGGTGGGCCCTGATCCAACAGGACTGGTGTCCTCATCAGAAGAGGAAGAGACAGCAGCAGCCCACGTGCACGGAAGAAAGGCCATGTGAGGACATGTCAAGGAGAGGGCTGTCACAAGCCAAGGACAGAGTCTCAGGAGAAACCCGCCCTGCTGCTGACATCCGGACTTCCAGCCTCCAGAACTGAGGGGTCAGCGTCTGCGGCTGCAGAGGCCCAGCCTTTCTGTTCAGGCGGCCTGAGCAGACCAGGCCTGGATGTCACCGCAGGGCTGGACAGGAAGCCCCCCAGGAGAAAGTGAAGAAAGATTTTGGTCCCAACACACGTCCTTTCTTGAAGTGCCAAGGCTCCGTCTGTAAGCCCAAAGCTCCTCTTGCTCCTGGCCCCTGAGCCCAGTTCTGGAAACTCCGAGGAATTTGGCCAGGTGTGTGAGGCTGGATTTGGGAGCTGCCCCCAACTACTGGCTCTGTCACATGGGGCAGAGATTTCGCCTTCTGCCCGCCACTCCCGCGTGACAGAACAGGGACCAGCATGTGCGTCACAGCCCCAGCACGAGCCTGCTGACCGCGGGACGGCTCTGGCTGAGCCCCACGCACAGGGCCTGGGGGCTCTTCGTACAGGCGAGTCCCTTCTCAACCCAAGTCTACACCACCACCCCGCCGTCTCCATCCCTCATATCCCCCGGAACACAGCACAGCCACGCTGGGCCAGAGCCCCGGCTGTCCAGGCCCTTGATGGGCCTGGCAGCCCAGAGAGATGGGCTTCCTTAAAGGTCTGTTTCTCAACGCACTTGATGAGTCCATCTTCCAGGTAGACGTCGGCATAGAAGGACTGGTCGTCATTGATGATGCGCCCGCCTTTGATGAGGAGCCGGTCACTCTGCAAAGCCAAGCAAACCATCAAGTGTCACCGGGGAAAAGCCAGGAATTTCTCTTTCTTTTAAATATTATTTATTTATTTATTTTTAGAGAGCAGGTAAGGGAGGGAGAAAGAAAGAGAGGGAGAGAAATACCCATGTGTGCCCTTAGAGTGCCCCCTACTGGGGAACCTGGCCCACAACCCAGGCACGTGCCGACTGGGAATAGAACCAGTGACCCTTTGCTTCGCAGGCCAGCGCTCAATCCACTGAGCCACATCAACCAGGGCTCCTTTTTGCTTTCAATAAAAATGACTCAAATATTTTGAAAAGTAGCAAATGGTGTAAAATAGCAAGGCCTGACTTGATCAGGAATCTCATGACCTTAGGAAAGTTCACGGTCACCTGCTCTGGGCCTCGCTCAGCACCTCTCAGAGAGCCCTCCCCCTGGCTGCCTGACTGGAGTGCCACGTCGCCCTGTCCTGCCGCAGACCCCACGGCCCCCACCCACCTTGTGTTGACACAGCACGCACCGTAGGACGTCTGATGTGCTGCACAGCCCGGCACAAGCAACGGCCCCTTTTTATTACCAAATCTTTTATGACAAATCATAAGCATGCAATTCTGTAATGTAACAATATCACACTCAAGCACACCATAGGAGATTTTAGGTGACATGTTTCAATTAAAACTATAAATTATTACAGCCATATTATTACCCTACCAACCACACTCAAGCAGGCCTTACTTCTGCCAGACCCTGTATGTATTTACATGTCTGTCTAAAATGGGGCTTGCCCTCCCGACATCAGTGCTGTGATGTGTCACTCTGTGGGTGACCTTGGCACAACTCACAGGGCACCCACCACATACACGTGGATGTGGGCAGATGTCCTTATGAGGCTGTCTGCTCCATGGGGCAGGGACTTCTATTTTATTCACAGCTGCATCTCCTATACCTTGGACACACCCTGGCTGGCTGGCTGGTTGGTGGGTAGATAGATGAGTGGATGCATGGGTGGGTGGGTGGATGGATGGATAGTGGATGGATGGATGGATGGAAGGATGAGTGGATGGATGGTGGGTGGATGGATGGGTGGATGGGTGGATGGATGGATATGTGGATGGAGAGGAGGGAAGGATGTGGATGGAGGGGGGTGGATGGGTGGTTGGATGAATGGATGGTGGATGGATGAGTAGATGGGTGGATGGATGGTAGGTGGTTGGATGAATAGATGGTGGATGCATGGGTGGGTGGATGGATGAATGGATGATGGAGGATGAATGGATGGATGGATGAGTGGATGGGTGGATGGATGGTCGGTGGGTGGATAGATGAATGGATGATGGATGGATGAGTGGATGGGTGGATGGATGGTGGGTGGTTGGATGGTGGGTGGTAGATGAATGGATGGTAGATGGATGGGTAGATGGATGGGTGGGTGGATGGATGGATGGATGAGTGTGTGGATGGATGAGTGTGTGGATGGATGAGTGGATGGGTGGATGGATGGATGGATGGGTGGATGGGTGGGTGGGTAGTTGGATGAATGGATGGTGGATGGATGGTGGGTGGGTGGATGAATGGATGGTGGATGGATGAGTGTGTGGATGGATGAGTGGATGGGTGGATGGATGGGTGGATGGATGGGTGGGTAGTTGGATGAATGGATGGTGGATGGATGGTGGGTGGGTGGATGAATGGATGGTGGATGGATGAGTGTGTGGATGGATGAGTGGATGGGTGGATGGATGAGTGGATGGGTGGATGGATGGGTGGATGGATGAGTGGATGGATGGATGAGTGGATGGGTGGATGGATGAGTGTGTGGATGGATGAGTGGATGGGTGGATGGATGGGTGGATGGATGGGTGGGTAGTTGGATGAATGGATGGTGGATGGATGGTGGGTGGGTGGATGAATGGATGGTGGATAGATGTTGTGATGGATGAGTGGATGGGTGGATGGATGAGTGGATGGGTGGATGGATGGGTGGATGGATGAGTGGATGGATGGATGAGTGGATGGGTGGATGGATGAGTGGATGGATGGATGAGTGGATGGGTGGATGGATGGGTGGATGGATGGGTGGGTAGTTGGATGAATGGATGGTGGATGGATGGTGGGTGGGTGGATGAATGGATGGTGGATGGATGAGTGTGTGGATGGATGAGTGGATGAGTATATGGATGGATTGTTGGATGCCTTGAAGGACTAATGGGTGAAGATGGAGAAAAAAGGCGTCACAGCCATGAGACAAAGAACTAGAAGCTATGATCCAGAGAAGAGAAGTATGACCCAGCATGCCCTGCTCCCCAGCAGGGGGGTCGCTGGAGGAAGGGGCTAGAAGCTCGACACCTGCCTCTTATCCCTGGGAGGGAGGCCAGCCAAGGCATGCTCATCCCAGGGAGGGCACCCTCTAGAGGCACCCCCAGACCACAGTAAAGAGGAGGGGCAGGCTGTGCGCATCCAGAAGCAGAGATATAGCACCAGAAAGCAGGGAGCCGTGTGTCACCAGAAGCTGGTAGGTGGCTTCCGGGACATGGCCTCCCGCAGGCAGACATCTGCCTTGTCATGTTTAATAGCAGGCTTTTCAGGCTCAGCCTGAAACGTGGTATTAAATGTGCTGTGAGCCAGAAGATTGTTCCCGCCCCGCTCTGCTCCTCCTAGGATCAGGGGGTGGGACTTGTGTTCAAGTCGGTCCCCTCCCAACTACCACCCAATACTGCCAGCAGCTCCTGCCAAGGGGACCTCCCCACCAGCGTTCTCGGGGGCCTGCATTTTTCTTAAAAAAATAAGCCCCTAGTAAGGCAAGAGCTGATGTGACTGTCTCATTATCTTTCTTAAAATCAGTAGTGCTTTTGCCTTTTAATTGGCATCTTCAAAGCCATGTTCCTTGGAACTCGAGGTCACAGGGGCCCTACTAGATGCTGTCCCCAACGGGCATTCCCAGGAGTAGGGAGTTGAGAAAACTCTGGGTTAAACAGGAGCGAGACCATCTTTGGGGCAGGAATTCCAGACCCTTCCCTCTGCTGCTGTGTAATGTGAACACTCGCGTGGGGAACCGAGTTTACATCTTTTCCAAACGTAGATCTTTTTGCTTTGTGGAAAATCTGACAAGGAGACTTTCCCACAGAAGACGTCTCAGGAAATGTGTGTGAGGGCCTTGCGGCGCGCTCCGACCTCAGGCGGAAGCGGGGCTCCGAGTCGGGCAGCTGCCCACGTTCACACAGCTAACGAGGGCCTGGGCGAGACCCAAGGCTTCCCAACTTCCTCTCCAGCATCTGCTCCACTGACACACTTCGGCCACTTTTACAACGTTTTCAAACTCTGGAATCCATAACGTCCCACAATCAGATTCCATTCAGAAGAGAGCCAAGGCCTGTGACCCAAGGACCTAACTCTCTGGTGCTCCTTTTGTTTTTCTTTTTTTGCCTTTAAAAAAAAAATTAGTGATTGATTTTAGAGAGAAGGAGGGAGGGAGGAAGAGAGAGAGAGACAGAGACTTATTTGTGCGTTCAGTGGTTGATTCTTGTGTGTGCCCTGACCGGGGCCCAAACCCTCAACCTTGGCGTATCAGGACGGCGCTCTAACCAACTGAGCTCCCCGGCCAGGGCCTGGGGCTCCTTTTCCTCACGCAGGAAATGCAAGTGTAAAAACTCGCAGAACTGTACACCAGAAAGAGTCAATTTTATGGGGCGTGAAATTTTAAGAATTACAAAGTCACACATTTAAAAGAAAAAGAAAACTACTTTCGTGCTCACAGATTACCACGAGGAAGAAACAACATATATGACCAATGACAAGCTCCATATAAAAACCACTGTTAAGTACTTGGAAGAAAAGAAGATAGCTAATTAAACATTCCACAAAGCCCTCACAGCGAGGGCCCGTCAGAGCCTGCCGGCTCATTCCACAGTGACGGCAGGGACCTAAAGAGAATTATGATCAGCATGACCGGTGTTCTTGGGTCAGTGCTGTGTAAGGACAAAACGTCCGGAGTCAGACAGATGCAGGTTCCAACCTTCGGCTGGCCCCCATGCCCTCGTCTATAAAATGGGGACAAGTGTCCCTCACTCACGGGGCTGCTGGGAGAACCTCCCAAGGGGTCAAGTGCTCAGCACAGGCCTGGCACGTGTAAATCACGGGTCCAGTACACACTGTTTATCCTTTGGTCTGTAGCAGGCGCTACACTCGCTAGATATTTACGGAAGGCGTGTGCAGCGAAAACAAATAGTTCTCGCCCTGAAGGAGCTCTCAGGCAAGCGGGGGAGACTGGGTCTCTCCCAGGCCTCTGCAGCCAGGGTGGGACGGGCTGGCAGAGAATGGCAGGAGCCCTCCCCGGGGGATACGCCATCCCGAGCTTGGAGAACAAGGGGGAACCAGCCCCGCACCAAAGGAGAACAGAGAGTGCGGTGAGAGGAGAGAGGCACGCGGGACAGAAGGCGTCGGGTGGGCTGGGGGATCTGAGAGTGGTCTCCTCTGGTGGACGTGTGGCCTCAGTGGGGGCCTGAGGAGCTAACGGGGACTGGATGGGACTCTGATGCCGAGGTGGGAGGGTGCCTGGGTTGGTGGCCATGTAACAGGGGGTCTTCATCTGGGGGGACTCACACACACGGAAGTTTCTGCACTCAGAGGCCATGCAAGCACCGGGCAGAAGCAGAAGCCGGGGAAGTCACCCTGTTTATGCTGCCCTCAAACCTGGGGCCCCTTGATAAAAATCAGTGCCAATCAAGTTTGCAAAATGCATCCAGGGCCTTAAAATTGTTCAAGGCTGGACTTAGAAACCTGTGGCTGGGAATCTGTCCTCAGGAAAACATCCCGAGCAAGGGCAAGGGATTGTACGCCAAAATGTGATCCCGAATTAGCTAAAACCATCTCACCACACCACTGAGTGGGTGTCATTCAAATACGAAACTATTTCCCTGGGATTTTTAAGAACAACCAATAGCACCGAAGAACAAAATGTTAGCTGAAAAAGCAAAGTACCAAACCTTTTCTAGGGTGGTGATCGTGGGGTGA